TGTTCTATACCAGGATGAGTGATGTTTCATGACGAAAGGAATAAATAACGATTTAGAGGATTGTAAACAATCCCACGAACTGGCGAGCTTTTTAGTTATGATGCAGATATGGAACATCGTTGGGGCCTCGTGTGCTGAAAAAAATACCAAGAATCAAACCTAGCATCAATATGTACTATTTCAAAAGTTCATACTAATCAGGGTTTTTATGCTGTGCTAAAATTGATACGAGGCCTGTTTAGTAAGGTAATTGCCATTTTTTCTAAGTCTTTATATTTACATGTAGTGTCGTACCTTTTTTACATATCTAAACTATATAGCCTCCCCCACCGTCACCAGGAACGTCTCCTATTGGTTGCAGCGCACTACATGTATTTCTAATATTGATTGCATATCATTCAACAAAGAACTACTCCCGAGATGGAAGGGAACTAGCATTAAAAAGGCGTGTAGCTATTGTAATTGATGGATATAAAGGAATAAATACTGATAGAACCACAGCTATATTTTTATATATGATCAATGTCGAATTTCCTTGATACCATTTTATCATGCATGAACTACATGTATAACATAATAACGCTACTCATCGAATGACTTAGACTGCATACTAGAGGTAATATATCACAGATTACATATAAGGAGAGGTGGTGATGCCTGTACCTTTGAATGACCCAATAATCCAGAATGACAGCAATAATCTAACTAGAAATTACTATCGCAGTACCGCCCGCACCTTCATTTCCTCATTACATTTGGGCGGCCGAAGGCCGCACTCCGCTTGTATAAACTAAACCACATGTACCCAAATTTCTTGAATCACGACGCCTTCACGTTTCTCTCTGTAGCAACGGTTATCAAACTGTACTGCAGTTACTTTATTTAAAGTTATCGTTCTATAGAATATATCATACTAGAATTAGAAACAGTAGGCTCGCGGTGTCAATAAATACAATTCTCTCTCCCTACCCTTTATATTTACTATATTACTCTACACAAGAACAGCCCTCAAGGGAAATACCAGAAAAATTGTCAAAATTATATGAAAGATAATACATGAGTTACTCGACTCAGGATCGGTAGGAACGAGTACAGAAACGGTTCGAATCAATCAGTCGGAGGACTGTATACAATCAAGGCCCCCCAAGGATACTCCACCCGTCCACCCACTTGATCTGGAAAATGCTCCAGATCGCATTTTCCAATCTCCCTGATCACCGTGACCACATCCGCGCACCGAACTCTGATTCTATAAGGCCCGCACATGCCAATCACCGAGCTACCATACGCAGCAAGTTTTACACAAGCTTCCGTAGCCCCCTCTCGCACCCTGGTTGTCTGGACGCATTTAGTACTGTTGATAAGTAAGCTTTCTGTCACCTTAACATCCTCCCGCAGCGGAGAGAACATCGACGTTTCGCAGTGGAGTGCTGTGGTAGGCACCGTGGAGTTGGTCCCGGCTGATTGACGGGTGTAGTGTCGAAGGCTTTGATTTGATATAGGCTGGAGTTTGTCTGTGGGGTATCCGTTGAGAAGACAACCAAATAAGAAGAGGAAGGCGGTGGCGGCGAGTAGGGGGACATTCATTTTATTCTCGAAACTAGAGAACTAGACGTAGTTTTGGGTGCAAATACTGTTTGCTGTAGGAGTAGTAAGAACGGTGGTGGAAACAATACTGGTAACAATACTGGTTAATACTTGGGTTGTTAAAATGGAGATAAAGTTTATCCAAGGCGAGGTTCGGTCGATTCCTAGTTATAAATACCAAGGCTCTACTTAGTTGCGGCATTGAATCTTTTGTATCTCCTTGTGCCCATATTAACGCCAAAAATCATCGGGAGCACATATTATATTAGACATGACTGAAATTCTATCGAAATCATGAACCATTAGTCAGCAGAATTTTCGCTTTATAGCCATGCATAAAAACAAAACTACGGAAAGTTGTAACTCCCCAAAGACTCGGGCGTTATAAATAAAATTTGAATTTCAATACGAACGTTAATAAATGGACGGGTGTTTGTGGGCTAGGGTTTTTTTGTATGGGAACTACCAACCAAATTGGGGGGCAGCTACTATTAGGTATCGCATAACCTGCAGTACTAAATGCTAGAAGCTTAACTATGTTTGAGTCCGAAAACCTTAAACGTTCGATCCCACTTGCGTCATTTGATCATGTAATCAATCTCAATCTCCAAAAATCACTCGTGCCATCCAGGCCAGGACTTATCCCCCTCAACGTCTAGGTACTTTGCATACCTAGTAAGTCTGATCCCCCGCTCATTTGCCAACAAACACATCACACTCCTTCCGATCACCTGTGACTGGCTCCACCCTAAAACACCGTACAGCAACCCGTTTTGAAATACTTTTCCTGATAGTGCGAATACACTCTACATAGAAATGATTGGACGACCCATTTTTTTTTAGCCAATCGGGATCCTTCTACTACTCTGCGAGTTCACATCTTCCTAGTCATGCGTTAAAATTAATTGCTGTACTCTATGTGCTCTGTTTTGAATTACCCATCCCTCCATCCATTCATCATCATCATCACATCAGTCGATCGGTCCCCCACTTCGGACGAATATCAGTCGTCAATCAGGCCAGAATCCCCCCCTCATCCCACCTCGATCTGGTGTTATTTTCAACAGTTGTCCGTCAGAGGACCAGTGAAGAATGCTTATTGGTCAGTCCCGAGAATAAAATCAGCTGGAGTGAGACTCTATTGTTTCTAATAATAAACGTGTCAGAACATAAACCACAAGGGAAGTACCCTAGGATTAGTCTTTTTTCTAGGCTTCATACTCCATACAGATCGCTCTAGAGTCTGCCCTATAACGTTTGGACTCGGGCTTTTCAGGTGATACCTTATCCTCGCCCAAAAGGCCGCAACTCTTCCTCGGTATCGGATGGTTGTCACGCCCACCACTGCGTCCTTGACGGACCGAGATGGTCCCACGTACTACCGAAACAAACTACATAGATCATCCCGACCCACAGGTCCTGACCCTGGACCCTGCCTTGAATCTTCCGACCCCACCAAAATAAAACGTGTTTAGGGTTGGGCCCAAACATGATAGCCACGTTCACGGTCCATCGAACCCTCGGAATCCGTGCCGATGGCGTTACTGTAAAAAAATAAGGTCTCCCACTAACCCGGACAGTAACCGGCCGGGGAAGGTCGGCGTTATGAAAGAGGAGTTTTTGTCGTTGAAGAAAATCGACGCGCCTGCCGCTGCGATCTACCTACCCCAGGAAAGAAAAAAAAAGTGAGAGAGTTAGAGTAGCCTCCCATAGGACACGCAGCTAGCGAAAACTCAATTTTTCCTCCGAACCGTGGATAGAGTTGGACTGGCCGGCTGCTAAAAGTCTCAGCCGTCACAGAAACTACAAACTGCACCTCCGACCCTATCGAATTCCCATCACGAAAAAAAAAGATGATGTCGATAGAAAGAGGAGAAATTAGGCGAGTCCATGCTGCAACCCTGAGGATAGGTACCTCTATGCTCCGCGCCATCGGTAAAACGAAAACTTTGGGATTAGATCCAACCGGGTTACTCGATCATTTCCATCCCTCGATGCAAGGTAAATCCAACCCCGTATCTGCATACTACGCCAAGAGTAGGCAAATCTCTGATAGACGTCCAGTTCTTGCCTAAGGCTGGAACCTCTGACAACTCAAGAGATGGGTATTATCTCTTCCGCATAAAGCAATGCATGCCAAATATTATTACACATACATTTGTCGGAGGACAGCGCTACGAGGACCCACCGAGTGACATTTCATGAGCTCTCACTTTTTTTTTTCAGATCACGTGCTCAAGACTTATCTTTTTAGAGAAAGATAACATCTAAATCAAGCTCGTCGGATGACCCCAAACACATCTTTTTCACGCGCAAAAGACGGAATAGATGAGTAATTATTTTCGGTTCACGAGGCCGCCGAGGCAAGGAGGCGGGCGTATAAATTGAGTAACCTCGTCCTGGTGATTGACAAAAGTGTTTTACATCAGCGTCCCTGAGATGTGCCTCGAGGTAGGGGCTGGTAATACAGGGCTGTATTACAGAAAATCGGACAAAGGAGTGCAGCTATTTGCCGGCCATCTATGTAATGATTTTATGATCATTACCCTATGATCCTTAGCCTTGTAGACCTGTTGGGTCCCCTAACTTAAGGCGGCGAGGCCTAGACTTGCAGTCTCTTCGAACGCACGATAAGTAATCGCTCCGATATCATCTTGAACGCTGCATGCAGAAAAGTCTTGTTTTGACACATATTTTTTTTTCTTTACATCTCTAGAATATATTTAGAATGTATGTAATAGTAGTATATCGACAATTACCCTCCTTTCTCGTAAATACAACATCTCCACTTGTCATCAAGTAATGGGAAAAACCCTGGTATATACAACACCAAAAAAAAACCTTAACATAAGAAAAAGAGAAGATAAACTCCAAGTTGCTCAAAAGCAAAAAATATAAGAGAAAACCCCCCGGAGCTATGATCAATCCAAAATAAAACCCGGGGTAATGAAGTGATAGGATATAAAACCGTTTATAACGTGATCATAAAATGCCGAAAGGAGAAAAAGAAGCGAATGAAAAGAGTGAAGAGGAGAGTGTGGTTAGAAGAGTGTCAAAAAACCCAAAAGACAGGTTACATGTACGGTATCATAAACGAAAAAGAGATTTGACAAAGAAAAATCAGGCCCCGTAAATGAAGTCGCGCATTTTTAACATCCAACAACCTCCCACGAAAAAAAAAGAATAGATAATAGACACCACATGCACCCGTTTAACGCCTACCCAGAAATAAAAAACAAAACACTAATAATACTAATGTAAAAAAGGACAAAGAAAAAAAATTGAAAAACTCCAAAAACCCTTTAACTGAAAAGAAATAAAGAAAAGTAGAAGAAAACCACAACACCGATGAATATCGCAAAATGATGTCCCTTTTTTTTGGAATTTTCAATCAACTCCTTCTATCATGTTGTTCAAATGTATAACCGAGCTTTGTCGGCGCAGTACTCGGTTAATAACCGCTCTAGGTCCACTAGTTTGAAGGGCTTCGTCATGAATCCCTTCATACCAATCCTCGATGTCTTCTCGAGAGCTTCGGTTGTCGCGTCTGCTGATACGGCCAGTACGATGATGTCGTCGGCGTATTGTGGCATCGCAAGTATTTTGGTGGCGGCTTCGTAGCCATCCATGCGTGGCATCCATAGGTCCATGAGGATAAGATCGATGGGTCGCTCCCTTGGAACATCCATGATCTGTACAGCCTCCACGCCATCGCATGCTTCATATATTTCTGTGTATCCGAGCTTCTTAAGCATGTTGATAAGAAGCTTTCGGTTGATCTTGTTGTCTTCAGCGACCAAAATGCGTAGTGGCATCTTTTGTCCTAGATTTCTGTCATACTCGACAGGCTTCCTCCCTCGGGGGAATTTAGCGCCGGGATGAGGAGGTGATTGTGGTATCGGGTTGAGCTCTGGTGAGAATCTTGCCGCCTGTGGCACTGATGGAAGCGCGGAGGCGTCCTGTAAAGGCGATGGACCAGTGAAAGGGCTCTTACGATTCAATCCAGTGTCGAGAGACCAAGTTCCCAAAGGGTTTGGGGCGTTTGATAGTACTGCAGGTGTGACCAAAGGTGTTCCTGGCTGAACCACTGGTGTTCCGGGTGCACTGGCTACATCCGTAAATGTCAATGGCAATTTAATCCGAAACTCAGAGCCCTTATGTGGCCCCTGTACTGCCGTCCGTTCGCACCACAGCTCGCCACCCATCTTCCTTGCAATTCCTTTTGCCACCATCAAGCCCAACCCAAGCCCATCCCGCGACCGTGTCAACGATTCGTCTTCCCTAGCGAATGCCGTGAATAGTTTCGGCAAAAAAGTTTCGGGAATGCCCTCCCCAGTGTCGGCGATTGCGAAATGGAGGAATCTAGACTTCATTGTGGCTTGCACGGCAATCTTTCCATTTTCGGTGAATTTCACCGCATTGTGAAAAACGCTTGAAAGAAGCTTGGACAGTTGAACACCGTCAACTACAAGACAAAAAAGGTTAGTACATCCTCACATGACAGAATTGCAAACGTCAGACTTACGAAGAAGGGTCTCGGGTAATGTTTCGTCCACCGTTAACTCTATTTTGATGGTGCTGATAGAGCCTCCAGGCACGGCTGTTTGTACAGTTATTAACTCTCCAAGTGGTGTCTCTACTGAACGTGTCGAATCCGGACGACCACCAGACCGTAACGAATCATGTATTATCTGTCTTAATAACTCGCGAAGCTTTATTGGCCGCGAGTTGAGCCGTACCCCACCTGATGCGTCAAACATCAAAGCATTTGAAGGTGTCGGTGAAGCTACTGAGGGGTAGTTTGGAATCGCGAATTCTCGTCGGTCTGCATCCACCACATTCTGATCGGTGGATGGCGTATTTGTGCTCCTCCTTGATCTGTCTAGTAATGGTGACCCTTCCCTATCATAACTCAAGCCCTCGCTAAAATGCCTCATTTTGTATGGTTGGTGCTCGTCAGGGGATACTGATTCTCTTCGTCTCTTGCTTCTTCGGGGGTTGTTTAATAATGAGTCGACCTCGTCGACATCGAGTTCGTGGTTTGGTGAACTATCCGAATCATCCCCGTCGTCTCCAAGTCCAATATCACGTGTAGGTGTTGAAGGGACTTCCATGTCGAAATCGTATGCGTGAACCATGTTATCTGCAGCATCAACTGCACGTCTTGTGCTATCTAAAGGTTCAAGAAACCAAAATCAGTACCAACCCTCAAAACCAAAACAGGGCAACAAAATATACCTTGGGCAACTTCGATACTCTCCCTCAATGATTCCACCATATTTCGGATCTGCTTCATGTCCCCAATCTCCCATTCGGTGGCTTCTAATACTGATGCATACATTACATCCAGCATCCCCACAACTCCTTGCATTGGTGTTCGTAATTCGTGTGATAAACTCCGTGCATATGGCCTAAGTGATTGACGATAGCTGACCGCCTCCTGGGGAATAACCTCGTTTGGCTTCTCTGTGAACCCATTGCCCTCCAACATTCGGTCTGTGACCTGATCCTCCAAGGCGTGTAAGAACATCTCCAACATCCCCCATCCCAACTGAGGCCTTTCCCTCAATCCATCAGCAGTCCACATGACTCCAAAATGTGCAAAACACTTGCCCTTGTGAAATAATGGTACGGCCAGGTAACCTTCGGGGAGGATAGGCATCGCCCCAGCGTTTGGGTTGTTTGGTGTTAAAGTCGCGAGTCCCTCGGGGATGATGAGTACTTTGTCGTGTCGCATCCATTGACAGGGGCAGCCGTAAACCTGATACTTGTAGTCCCGGTACAGCCCTGACTGGCCCTTGTGATCGTTGAAGTAGAAGGCCAACCCCATCAAACACGAACCCGGTTGCCCAATAGCTGGCATCTCCACCGCTGAGTTCTCATCATCAACCAACACTCGCTTAGCCACGAATGCATACTGAGCGCCCATGATCTCCGACATGCCCTCCATTAGATGTTGCCAAAAGTCGTATGTTGTTGAGCTCCGTAGCTTCTCTTTCAAGTTGAATGTTTGCTCCAAGCACTTACTCTCCAAATCAATAAAGTTCTCCTCCATCCTTGACCGGAAGCCCGGTTCTCCCATATGTACGACGTCCATGGTGTTTGTTGAACCGATGACGAGCGAAGCACGGCTATAAGGATCGTGGTCGTAGGCCTCATAAGACTTGAGGCTCTTCTCCGCGTCCATTGCATTCATTCGAAAGTGGGTGGCAGAGGTCACCACCCGAGTATTTGAACGATACTATCTAACCTGGGGCCGGCAAAAACGGTTGACGTCTTGTCACGGTGTTATGCAGACGGGGGGAGGGGTGGTAGGCGTTGAGTAGAAGTGCCTTGCCTAGACTGCTCTAAAGTAAATGTGATCTGTGACAAAAAGGATCTTCTGCAGGATGAAGGTGGGTATGTATATCTCAAGGCGTTCGTTCGTGCGTGGGTAAAATACGTGGAGGCTGATTTCCGGGTGGTCGAATAGGCTACCACGGTACCTGTGCTTATTCTGATGATTCGGGGAAAGAATTGCGCGCGCAATGACGAAGTGGGTTATTTTTTTCCTCGATGAGATGTATAACCCTAGGTTGCTGCGCTTCACCTAAATTTTTACTTTCCCTTTTTTTCCTTTCTTTTTTTCTTCCCCCTGTGTTCTTGTTCTAAGTCTGTCGTAGGCAAGGTGGTACAATTAGTGTCCACACGAGGAGAGGAGGATAATAGGTGATCGAGAGGGAGAGGACGAAAAAAGAAAAGAGCTTAATGCAGAGAGAGGTACATACCTACCAAACAGCTAGCCACAGGTCTTTTTGGTCATAAGAGGCCTCGTCCGGGAGACGATCCGCAAATGCAAGTGGATTCCGATTGTCCAGACCGTTGGCGAATGGACGGGAGTGGAGGGGTAGGTTTCAAGGCGATGCTTCTGCTCCTGGCACTGGTGCCCGGAACGATGAATGAAGAATTGGAATTGGATATTTGTATCGGATCACGGGTGGCGGACTGACGATGTGTCTCGGGGAGGGAATTATTCCGGAATATTTTGACCTGAAGAATAAAGCTGTAGCTTGAAAAGCACGCGAAATAGTACAGAATATCCAAGATACTGGGAATATGGGGGATAAGTCGATAAACGAGCAGTTTAGTCAGGCACGAATGCATGGATGAACGTTTCTTTTCTTGGTCACCGTGGGACGAGATATGTCTCTCACGAGAATATCAAAGCCACTTTGCAGGCTCTTTTTCTGTTTCTTATCAAACAGAAAAACACCACTGATGCCTGCCTGCCTGCCTCTTGCCTCTTGCCTGTATGCTCTTATTTCCAAGTGACTGACTGACTGAGCAACAGTCTGGTCCCTTTCTCCTGCCCTTCCTTCCCTATCAATGGGGCAAGGGATTGCTGGTTGTTGTTGTGGCTTCTGGGTTGTTATTTTCCACCTCTTAGCTTCCTATGCTTTCTACCCTTTCCTTTCCAAAGCAGTAGTAGTTGCTGACTTGACTGTCTTGTGTCTCGTGTTTCGTGATCTCTCATTCGCCCCTGACTTTCATCTGGGCTCTAGCGAGTAATTCCTCCTCAGTGAGTAGTAGTCTGTCTGGTCTGTCACTCAGATGAGTGAGTGACTGGGGGGCCGCAGGACAACAGCAGGTAGGTGTAATAGAGAGAAGGGGGGTGTCGTTAGAAGAGGAAAGATCCCCAGACTAGGTACCCGCGTGTCTGTATGGCTGTCTGGGCTGTCTGGGCTGGCTTGTTTAGCTGGCCTGGCTAGCTGACGGGGGTGGGCTCTTTGGGCTGGTTGGGACTCTAGCTTGCTGGTCTAGGTGCTAAGTGTCGGGAAGGGGATAGAGGAAAAAAAAAAAGGGCGTTGGAATGAAGTTTGCGCCGCCAGCCGCCGATTCACCAGGGCTTTGGAAGCTTGCGTGCTGGTACTTTTCCTCACCTGCCGTAAAACCCTACATTCCTTCTTGGGTAGGGTAGGTGATGGGGGTGACACAGTGACTCGTGGGTGGTGACCGGTGATGGGTAACAAATTATTGGTCAGTTACGGGTCGTGTACGGGTCGTGTACGACCTAGCGCTTCTCTGCCCTACCGACAGATTGCTGGAGGACTCTACTGTGTTGTGAGTGGTGATGCCCTTTTCCTCGGCCCATCACTCATCTGCAGTTCTTCGTCTTCGCAAGTCATAACTCATAACCAACCCTCTCCTGCTCTTCCCATTCGTTCCTCTGCTCCCAAATAGTGTCTTTGTCACCCAAAAACGGTAACGCTGCGGGTAGTTGTGGGGGGCAGAGGTCTTTGCTGGTTATGCCCCCTTCCCATTATGGCCCGGCGATCTTTGTCCTCGTCTCTTCGACGTTCTGGTGCGACACACAGCCGAGTCTGCCGCTCTCTATCGTGGTCTGGACCGTCTCGGATTCTCCAGCGGTTTGCTGCTACTACCCCATTCGCTCTGCCCTTCTCTGGGCAAAAAGAGAGCTTCTCACTCATATCTAACTATCCTCTTCCCCCTCTGCCCCTTCGCCCAGTCAGCCAGCAAGCCAGCCCAGCCCAGCCAGTCCTTGAAATTTTAATCGCTAGCTAACTAACTACATACATTATTCTGGCTTGTTCGTTCGCGCGCGGTCAGTCGAGTCTGATCCACGTTTCTCGTGTCTTCCTTTTCAAACCACCTGAGCGCGTTCGTTCACTCGCTGACCACTTTTTTCCCTTTCCCTTCCCTCCCCTAAAAAAATCGGAAATAATACATGCTGTTGCCTACATATTTATCATCCGGCGTATCAATTCAAAAATAAAATGTGCACTTTAATTCACCCCCCTCTTTCCCTCGGAACACTTTCTCTCACCCCCCAGCTAGCAGATCAGGATCAGAACCAGATCAGCGAAGCGTGTGTAGAAAGAAAAACATCATGCCTACCCTATCCTACATATGTTATGCAGCCTGTACATCTCTAACTTACATCTGTGCACCCAGTTACAGCTACATAGCATCACCTTTCCAGCGCCCTACCTGTCTGAAAATAGGCTGACTGACCATTTAAAGAACAAGAGAGAAGGAAAAGAAAAAAAGAAAGGAAAAAAGCTCAACAGTAAGGACAAGGTGCGCGCTAAAGCTCATGTGTGCGATCTAATCTAAACTTTTGTACCTGGGTTTGCTGCCTGTGTCGGGTGTCCCGCGCGAAAGTAAAAAGAGCAGCAACGACCAGAGAAGAAAAATTACAGAGACCCGGGCCTAGACCGCCCACTGGTTTCCCCTTTCGTTAGGTTGATAAATCCCTGTACGGGTCGTCATCATGCCTTCCTACCTACCACCCTACCCCCCTAAGAAACCCTACCACCCATCCATTCCCTTAACCCCCTCCCTCCACCCTTCCATTCACCCCCGCCATCTGAAATTCTAGACCGTCGTCCGTCGCATCGGTGGTCCTGGAAATTTTTTGATGGTGTGATCTCACGATATCTACAACACGACTACCTAATCGCTGATCTGACTAACTGCCTGGGAGGTTGAAGCATGTAAGTAGTAATCCAATAATACAATACTCTCTCTTTCTTTCTCTACCTATTGTTCTCTGGCTCATGGCTGCTGGCTCATGTAGCAAGCATTAGCTAAGCGCAGGGTTGCATTGTTTTGTCTTCCCTTCCCAGCGACGCAACGCAACGCACGCTCGCTAGTTTCTGGCCTGTAGTGGCTCCCCGACGCGGCAAATGTAATCCCTCGCTAATAAAGATCGTCGCTCCGAGAACGGGAACATAGCAGGTAGAGTAATGCTCTATGTAAACCCGTACCGCCAAGGCTAATCATGGTGAATACCGTCGCGGCATCATCATGGTCAAGAAATCCCACCAAGCTTTTTAGGCCCATGGCAAAGAGACCCTTTCATAAAGGAAAACTCCATGCATACCGTAGCCCTAGCTAGCTACTTAGCTAAGTAAAGTAGAATTGAGGTATCTCCCTTGATTTGCCTAGAGCACTCTACTCCACTCTAGAGTAGAGTTTCTAATGTTACTCTACACACACCCATCCAGGTGTCTGTCCCCTCAATACCTCACCCACTCACGTTTTCCCTGCGCGCCTCACTCTTCCCGCGAAGGAACGGGTTGGTTGAAAGAGGAAGAAAGAAAGAAAGAAAGAAAGAAAGAAAAGTGCAACTATCACCAGAAACTGCCGACCCCGAAACGCGGTCGCCCGAGGACAAACCGAACCCTTCCTTCCCGGTGGCTGACCCAGCGGTTGGGGACTGCTGTACTGCACTCCAGTGAAGGGCCAATGATGGATTATGAAAGGAAGTGAGGGAGTAACTTAGATACATATGTAGTGAGTGAGTGAGTGAGTGGCCTATCACAGAACCAGAGACATCCCATCATTTTCATGCAGTATGTATGTCTGTACCTGTATGTAGAAATTGTTTCCTCCGCACGAACGACACTCGTTTTAGCGCAAGACCCGTCGCCATCGCCGCACGCAGCAAAACAAAGGAAAAGAAAAGATGGAAGGTCAGAAAACGTCGATGATGATGAGTTATCATGAAACACGTTCATTCGCTCGCTCGCGCAAGTCTACTCTAATTGAGTATGTAATTCACGCACAGATATCGGGGATTGTCGATTCCCTATTACCTGATCATATATGTCTGTAGGTAAATATATTCGATGTCTGGCTTTAGAATAGAAAAGGGGGGTCGGGGGGGAGACGTTGGAAAGGAAATCGACAAATTCGATGGCAAATTCAGGAGGGTAATGTTTACCATATCGAACCTTATTACGGAGTTGCTATCCCTACCGTCGACAGACATCAACAACCACGCACGCCCTTCCTTTCCCCTTCGCTCCCACGCGCAACACGGGCCTAAGTCAAGTCAGTCAATCAATCAGACAGTCAGACAGTCACCTACCTATGCTAACATCCAAATGTGTCTAACCCAATGCTGTCAACAACCCCAACCCAACAACGAAAGCAGAGAGGGTGTGTCTAACTACATGGGGCGGTAGTAGTTAGCAACAGCAGCAGCAGCAACAACAGGAGTAACAGCAACAGTAACAACCAAAGGGTGTCAACCACCCACACCACCCCTTAACTAGCCCGCCTCCGACCGAACCCTGATTACTTTATTCTCACCTACACTCACTACGAGTCTATTTTTCCCCACCCCCAGCACAGTGAACGAAATAAAGAAAAGAAAAAGCAGTAAGGCGTCAACCGCGTGTGCCCCAAGGCACTCTTGCCTCGCTTCTTCTGCTTCTTCCAACCTCCAACCAGCGCATCGCAGACGACCTAAACGCCCACTGTCGCTTCGCCCGTATTCCCTTCCCCCTTCCCCCTGCCCTTCCCAACCGATGATGAATGAGGTTGCATACATAACATACGGCAACCGGCACCCCCTCCAAAGTAGGGTCTCAATGGTCTAGACCCCCGTCCCCAAAACGAGTAGATACGCCCAGACATTTAAGGGACCGGGGAAGCGAGAGATGTATGTATGTAGGTAATGTATGCAGTTGTTCCACATGTCAACAAGGACGACGGGTATGGGAGTTCTCTGTCACTGGTAGAGTACATACCGGTCGCTGGGTCGGTATTGTAGGTTTGGTAGGTTGGTATGTTACATGTAGGTACTCTAGAAGCATTGGAAATAAAGTGTGTTGAGGCCAGCTCTGGCTAGATCAGTGCTCTGCTCTACACTTTCCCAAACCCTCCCGGTACCGGTGCGACTCGTTCCGGCATTGACACGAGTAAAGTGCAGATCTGCGCACTGGACTGAACTGAACTGACACACTGACCTTACTGCACTTGAGTGCTCACCACCATCAGCCAACCGATGTGTGGATGTATGTGTACATGTAGTTACTGTACCTACGAGCGAGTAGAGAAGGTAGAGTAGGTACTCTAGAGTAAAGATAGATAGAAATGTAGCTGCTAGGTAAAGTACCTACTCTATTCTAAGTAGACAGCCCAACATGGGGGGGAAGAGACTCGGACAGCCAACCAACCAAACACTATCAACTATCTGCCCGTCCTCTACATACCTAGAATAGAATAGAGCATGATGAGTACTCCACTCCACTCCGCTCTTCTCTTACCTACATGCTTTGCTTTCCCCTCTTTAGATGCTCTACAACCTCTACTCTATCTCGCACTTACACGCGAGCCAGCTTTCTCTTCCCCTCAAATCAGCCCCCCGATCAACACCATCCAGCTATCTCCAAATACATACGTGGTTATCATGTCAAGAAAGAAAGTAATGAAGCACGATAGGAGCCCTGCCATCCGGTCCAATATAACTCTCTCGTCTCTCACGTTCTAGGCCCTCTCTCCCCTCTTCCCCCTCCCCCTCCCCCTCCCCCTCGCCCCACTCGTGCTGGCTGTCAGAGAAAAAATGCCATTGCGGGGTAGTAATGTAAATAGATAGACCGGACATGGGCCCTACCTAACCCTACTTCTATATACGGACTTTCCTCGATCCTTCTATCCTTCCCTCCTCATGCAAAAAATATGGAGCAGGTAAGATATGTAGGTAGGGTACACCTGAACCTGAACCCGACGATACGTCCATGACGTGTAGTGTCCGCCGCGCCGTGCTTTGCTTTTTCTTGCGTCCCCCTTCACACCCCCCCCCCCTCTCTCTCCTTCCTCACTCTCCCCGGCTTTTCTTTCTTTGCTTTTTTGCGGATCGGATCCGGCTACTCGGTGGGAGGTGGTTCTAGGCCCTGGGCCGTAAATTAAAAGGCATCGTGGCCTTGAGGTATGGTAGTAGCACAGTAGTAGAAGCAGAAAGGTATTGGGGTGGATGGTTATTCCGGTTGATATGAGGACCCTTAGTATATTTCTAATGCTCTATCTACGTGGAGGTACGTTTAGAGTGCTTGATGCTTGATCTATCTGCTACCTACCAGTATATGTATGTAGGTGTCGACTTGTTGTACTCTACGGAGTTAGTAGGTACTTTATGTGCAGATGGCTTTCCGAGGAGGTTAGAGTGGTGGTACATACTGGTGGTATCTGCCGAAACTTTGAGTGGGTACTTATTCAACATATGCTATTACTCTACAACTACTCTACGAGCTCCAAAGTGTGGTTTTTTCAGCTCTCTGCGGCTATCCATCACTCGTGGTAGTAGTTAGAGTAGGGAGCAGTGCTTGTACATAGAACATGTGCCCAAGGTAAAATACTCAAATGTTTATGCAACCGGTAGGCTACCTGCCTTACCTTACCTTGCATACCATGTTTAGAGGGTCCACTTCCAATACGTCATGACATGTTCCTTCCTTTCCCCCCCACTGCCACTCCCAAATAACAAATGCACGCTGACTTGACTGAGGGTTCGGGCCCGTTATTTTTGAATCGCCAAGATGAGCCCATTTCAATCGATGCTTAATCTGGTGGTACCTCTTCTGGGACAGATGTTGGATCATGAGTGTGATGCGGGTTGCACACTGCGAGTACTCACTAGCACTAGTACTGTGTCACGCATTGGTAGGATCACACATCATTTGAACCCTCAGAGAAAGCTGCCGGGAGAGTGAGTGAGCCGAGAGAAGAACCTAATCTATATCCAAATAGTTGAAACAATGGCCATGTGTGAATATAATACTTGCTCATCTATCCCATCACAATTATCCCACTAAACCCGTACATTAATCAACAAACATCCGCGGGGGGGGGGGGGGTTAGAATAGCAATAGTCAGGATTAATATTCGAATCTTCGAGGGGAGAAAGCCGAAATACCACCGCCATGCAGTGCATATCTCTCTGGCTACCTAGCTACATATCTAGTGAATCATAACTAAACCAAGTATTTGGTTCTCAACAAATACAATCTGTCCTGTCCTCCCAAATCTCCTCATTTGTGCATGGGGTCATCCCCCCCCCAAAATGCTGTCAAAACATATCATAGACTGGATCGGTGAGATTGATCTCCAGGACATAGATAGAGCACCTACATACCCAGATCCTCAAAACGTTTTCATTTCAAGGTTGACCAGCACTCCATAAACGGCAATCCAAATTCCATTTTCACGGTAGCCTCAACCATATTAAGGGTTTCCTTCTTCTTTATTTCTTCCACGATGAGACTCATCACATTTCAACCCCCCTCCTTCGACAGGAGCCAGTTAGAAGAATCTCACAGATCTAGCCAATTCATTCCTCCTCAATCCCAAATATTATTCCCTTCCTGATTAATATTAATCCCTCACAGCCTTCATCCTATCTTTCTTGCCCACACTCTCACCCGTCATCCTTAAATTTATGGGCTGCCCGACCCGTTCTCCGGGCGACCGGGTCACAGGATTTCATTGGACGGCAGCCTCGCACGGAGCACTATGTAGACACCGTGATCATCTACCGTTGCGTATGGGCTGCGGTCTAGAACTGGATATAATCGACCAGTCAGCCCAGCGGGATGGTGATGTTGTCTTCCTCTACTACGATACGCAGGATGAGAGAAGGTTGGGTTTAATCCTGTAATATCGGCCCGGTCCGCAAGAGTAATAGAGTATGTAAACTAACCAACTACCGGTCCCGTACGAGTATTAATTGCTGCCTTAATGGCCACAATTGAAAACCATTTCATATCAAAGCCACTCCTAGTGGCTAAATCAATTCCTTTGACTCTAATTTGAAATTGTTTTTGTTCGATCTTTGAGCAATACTTGGCTTTCTGGCAATCGAAAAAAAAAAAAAAAAAATACCCTCTCAACAAATTATTATTTGTAGGCCTAGGTAGCACCATACTATGGAACATCCCTCTCCCTGCAGCGCCCGGCGCTTGGGAAACAATGATAGATGTGATAGGGTATCCCAATGGATCATTTCCCAGCAAGGACCGATGTGTTTTTTTAGGTTATTACCAAATTCAAACAACCTTTACCATACAGACGGAGCTCCACATTCGTTCAATTCTTTTACTCGTTCACTATATTTCCGGCCAGAATGTTATCCAGACACCAGATGAGCAGAACGAGTAGTAGTAGGAGGCTCCGATGAGAATGAGGGGGGGTGGTGATCTCATGCCTGGTTTGTGCACGGGTTTCTGCGCTTGTTCATGGATTCACTTGTGCCCGTTTTTCCCGCGCCCGTGTTGGACCGGCTGGTTGGCGCGCCTACATACACTTCAGTAGTTAGCCGTCAGTGACACAATTGTAATTACAAACAGGAGCGGACAAGCACATGCCGGACGGGGAAGGGAGTCTGTTCTATGATATGATGCTCAGTGGTAGCTGAGTTTGGCAAGTAAAATGTACCGTTAAAGGGAATCTACATGACTCTCTAATTCACTTGCAAAAAAACTACCATACTATAAAGGTTAGCAACTGGTCTGTACCAACAACACCAAAGTGCCGCTTGGGGTACATACCTACATACCTACGTGGGCAAAGGCCTTCAAACATAACATCGGCGATCGAGAAGACGTAGATAGATACTTCATTGGTTGTACCATCACTACCTAGCAGCTAGCAGTTGAGAGTAATATTTGGATTCACTTATAAACGCGGCATAGCCAAAGCCTAGATGAATGGGTCGAGATCTCGGTCCGCCGACAAATTTTCGTTAGTAGAGTTATAGTGAAAGCTTATGATCGTCGGATCTGCATTGGAGCCTTTTATTCTAATTTACTTACTGTTAAGCAGTAGACTCCCATCTGATAAGATTGGTTTATGTGGAATCGAGGTCATGGAGCTGCAACTGGAAGTCCTTTTATACACGCATTGGTCATTATTCTCCAAATAGAAAACTTCGTAGGATATACCATAGAGCCTAGGCACGTACGTACCAGTAACTTGCAATGTAACGTATTTCAGGAGAGTCCCGTTTGGTGAAACTCGACAGTCTTAATTACAATTCTCGAGTTTCTAGAATCGATCCTTGACAGTGGATACCTGAGTTTGCAAAAAAAGTCACCACAACCGAGTGATAACCAGTGAATGAAAATATTTCTCCGATGCACCCAGTCCACATATCTAAAAAAGGGTCAAACCTTAGGATTTCTAGTTTAGAAATGCTTCCATACACTGCATAGAATCTTCAATTCCGATTCCGGAGGTGGGGGAACAAAAATACCCCTAACCATCATGAAACATTCTGCTTAGTCGCCGAGAGGCCTCTTCACGCGCGGAGATAGAGTTCTTGAACTGAGCAAACGCCGGACGAAGCCCGGTATATGAGACCTTCGGTTCGGTGTCGGATGAGCTTGTTAAGATGGTCCGACCGATATCAAGAGCTAGGGAGAGCGGTCCAAGAGTACATGGACAAAAATCAACCAACCGCCCTCCACACAGTTAGTTCGGAGTATTGTGATCTTCCTAATACGGGGTGTATTGTTAGGGGTGTATTGTTAGGGGTGTATCGTTAGGGGGCGTTTTGTTACGCGCATTGTTAGAGTGGCATGCATTGTTCTGGCCTCTGTGTGTGAGGGGGTTTTTGGAGGAGAGGGATTTTCGGTAGGTAGTATCCGCTCGGAGTCTTGATACATGTGTTTTGCCAAGAATTTCCTTAGCAGAGCATTTCAGAGTCTCGGGCTGGTTTATGTACGGACAATTCTAGGGTGCCTAAAGAACACGGTCAACGGCCACGGCTCGAATCCGAAATGCAATAATTATCTCTTTTAGCGAAGAATCAAGATCGATCTCCCCGCTCCCGCTCTGAACTATGGCTTCCGTATCGGGCCGTGACCCGAAAGTTAAGGCAAAAGCTGTAGGTAGGTATTTCAGGCTTTCCCGCGATACGCAATCTCGGTTTGCGCTCGGTCGTTGTTAGGGGGTTGCTTATGTATCTATGTACATACAGCCAGTGCGTCTATCTCGGTAGATACGGATTGGTCAAGTAATAGATGTCTAGATCTGGTGTATGACTAGAGCATGCTGAGGCGGCGACTGCTAGGAATGGTACTTATTTTAGGCGAGTACCACTCATGGGAATTTCGGGAGTAGCGATATTAGTAAAATCCAGAATCCGGATGGATGGTAAATATTTCAGATCATCGTGTTGAAGCCCGTTAATTTTTCTCGAGCTCTGCCGCTGATCTGAGCATATGAAAAAAAGACTGTGGAAAATTACTGAAACAATTGAGCAAGCATGATAGCCACGACCAAATAATATTCGTGATCTAGGTTTCTCAAAACCTTTCCCCTTTGCCTCGGCAAAGTTTATAATAATTAATATTGATATCAGGGGTCTCAGCTAGGTGCGTCTCAATCGTGATGTTGTCTAGTTTCTAGGCCGGGTAATATGTGTAGTAACCATTTCTACGGGCTTTTGTGAACGCGTGCGTATTACCTAATTAATAGGCCTCAAGCTAATGAATTCTAATGTCCGATAGGGCGATTGTACAAGCGACATTGGTTCTAATATGTGATGCTCATTTCTTTGATGACTTATCTGTTGCGGTTTAAAGCCAAAAACGCCACGTTCAAAGGGCTGTTGGAAGACATGTACGTCTTAAGCCAATAGGGGGTATAGAATAATCCGTTCTAGCATCCGTCATAGCCATCCAGTTAATTACATGTAGGTTATTTGGTATCCGCCATCGATATTTTCTTGTGATATGTAACATCTAATCTCTCGTTTCCTTCCAGAAAGAATCGCACCGGAAGCGCTCCCGCTGTTACCAACACATCCGCGGCAATCTCTTCCCATAAACGAGATTTGTCGGGAAGATGGATCTGCGTGAGTCTCAGCCCTAGAATAAAGTTGTTGCCCATTCAATGAGTGTAATGTAGTGTCACGGGGGCAGCATTTCCGACTTGTATATATCCGGATAAACGCGGACTCTCCTTAAACTGAGACCGTAAACAACCAACAACAACCAACCAATAGTAGCACCTACAGTCGTTTCTGGGTGAACGGCGAACTCGGTTCGATGGCGAATGGGCCAATCAAAGTCAACAAAAGCCAACAAAAGTGTGCCGACCCCTTTGCCTTGACTGATTATCAGCCCGAAAAGTCGCCATTCGTCATCGAGCCGGCTTCGCCGTTGACCTAGAAACGACTGTAGCTCTTCGTAACAAAACCGAAACAAGTAACACTTCGCGGCCGAGATTCCAACAAAGATTATTAAACGGAACTCCCTTAAGATTGAGCGGTCTAGATTCTCAAGTTTTGTTGTGGGGGCTGGGCATGAACCGCAGTTTGTATGATATTTGGATTCTCCAACTTCGCTCCGCAGCCTGTTAAAAGTAACCTAGGTCCCCATTCTTCGGGTCAATATTATTTAGTGTATCAATGGTTCAAGTGAGCCGACCACGAGGCGGCGTTGCGTTTTTGACATTCGAGAGACTACCGAGTGTATTCAATCGCGGTTCGGCCCGCCAAGTGGTATACCTCGTCATCCAGATTCCTCGCCTAAAGGTAAGAAATCTAGGCTTTCAACGCTAACCTCGACCTTGAGCTGGTTTGTTCGGCCAGATCTAGTATAATCCAAGCTCCATGTACTGTGATGAACAGAAATCGCGTTTCATGGCAACTATTGTCCCGTGCCCGCCTCTTTCGTCGGGTCTTATTTTGGTGGTTGGTGATATGACTTCATAGGAAAGCTAAAGCGCCATAAACACCAAATTTAGTTACATGTTGTTTCCAGAGAGTGAGCACGAGACTTATCTGGGGAGGTAAAGTTTACCTTAGGATGTGTTAATTATCATTCCGCATCGGTGCATCTACTACGTGTTAATTCCCTTTATGCGGGTTAATAGTTGCAGCTCAAACACAGAACAGCATACATACATGTACTTCTGGGCAGAACATTGGTTTTGTTGGGATGGGTGTTGTAATACATGATTATTGTGATGCTTGTGGGAGGGAGTGCTGGTGTCTGCGGTGCTTTGAGAGCTCGCTGTGCTGTCCTTGTGGTGGATGGACGCACTGGCTAGACCCCAAACTGAAGATGAGACAAAGAAAAATTCGAGGACGAGGAGGCTAAATGTGATGTAGCCACCCGTTGTGGCCTTTAGCTAGTCTAGTAAGCTCCCTTTCCACTAGTGTGTTTCTAGACTACAATACAAAGTTACTGACGGAGAATCGAGCCTTTAATTGGTAGATTTTATTCATGTCGAATCTCCAAAAATTTAATTGAAATATGGTATCGACAGTTTTTGCCTCAGAAATCACGTGCTTTTCGTGGAATAGAATCACCAAAAATCACTCGTAGCACAGGTCTTTTGCAATTGTATTAACGCAATAATTTCAACCAGCCTCGCCATCCGCAATTCCTCTGGTGATACCGATTAAAGAAAGGCTTAAAGATATGTTTATTATCACCATATCTTTCTTTAGTTTAGCCCATCACGTCCAGCCTCAGTAACTGTTCTCAACGTATCTCCGAGGTCTCCACAAGCGTTATTTAGTGCCTCGAGTGCAGTTATTATGTCGTTCTCCACTGCTCTCTTCTTCTCCAACAAAGATTTAAATCTCTTCAGTACCATAAGTTGACGACGCTTTCTTTTCCCCACCTCACTGTCAGACAAGATCAAAGTAAAGCCCGGAAGGGGGGGTGGAGGGGGGCAACAACTCACTCCCGAGCCGCAACCAATTGAATCCATTTTCTTGCCTTCTTTTCAGAAGCCTCAAAATCCAATTCATATGCGTCTTCTATTTCCGTACGGCGGCGAGCTTTGCGGTCTTTCGACTATAATCCCCGACTGTCTTAATACTATGCAGAGTAGAGTAGATGATAAGGGTACACGCACAGCTTGCATCATACTCTCTAAGATCTTACTTAGAGATACAATCTCATCTTCTCCCTGCTGTGACTGTGACGGTTCCTGGGTGCCAGTAGTCTCATCGTCAGAGGAAGCTGCTGCCGCTGGTGGCGATAGCGGCGCTGGAGGCGGAGCAAGAAATGGGGGCTTAAACTTCTTCTGTTTAGTGACATTAGGTCCTAGTGCAGAAATTTTGGGTGGCATTGATTCTGATGAGTAGAGACTGACTGCACTGAAGCTGGTGATGATGGACTTTAGGATGAAACAGAATCCAGTGGTGAGTACGAGTATGGCCTATTTAAGGCTCGAGTGTAACACGTGTACTTAACAACATGAACTCACGAGGGGCCAAAATTAAGCTTTTTGGGTGATACATTTATTCTGCAAAACTTATTATTCAGCCAATTATTTGGCAAATCCAGTAAAAAGCCTAGCTACAGTTGAATTCAATAGTTAAAGATGACCAATGATTCAACTTTCGTAAGTTTACAAATGAATTGAGTTGATATCAGTGTCTTGAGATATGAGAGGACCTAAACCGCAAGCTCATCTAGTATCACGAGTGTGTTCTCTCAGGCCGCAAGATTTACTTCCTCCTACTTGTGTGTGTTGGCTACGACACAAAGCTAGCTCGAGGAAAACAACTTTGCCCATCACACACGATGTCAACTCAGGTAAAGAAAATACTAGCAAATATACACTAAATAACCTTACACTGGCTCGGACGCTTCTTTTCTACCTCTTCTTCCGGATCCGGGTCCCAAGATAGTTCCAGCCAAAGTTCCTGATGTCGGGATTTCCAATCAGAGTGTCGGATCTTTGTCAAATCTCTGGAGTTCACTTTCACTTCATCCCCCCTCTCAGCCACCCATCTTAGGCGACCGGACTCAGTTTTCTCGTAGTAACCGGCACAACGGAGAGATGACCTTCGGGTTTTTGGTGCCCCACCCCCTTCCTCGTGTAGTTTGAATAATATTTGTACAGGATAATTTCGAGATACATCATGGTATGTACGGCATGTGCCATGTCGGACTGAGATTCCTCCACAGTGACGGATATGTATGCGCCAAATCTTCTCGTTAGGAGTGTTTCGTATTGTTTCCCGAGTGGTATTATAAGGGGTTGCTATTGTGTGAGGGCAGAATTTATATTGCTTGTATCTCTCGTCGTGTGTTTCCTGGTAGAAATCCACCTCTACCTCAGCCTCAGCCGGCTGCGGCTCGGTGCCGTCTGCCTCCCTATTCTCATCCGCATGGGGAGAGGTCTCATTATCCTCAGTTTCAACGGGCTGGGATTCGATACCACCTGTCTCCCTACCCTTATTCTCGTGGGGTGAGGTCCCACTACCCTCAGCAACAACACCCTCGAGCTCAAGAGACATAGCCTCCAGAGACATAGAGCAAGTGTCAAATTCCACGCGTTCCTTCATCTCGGCTTCCTGGTCTAATTTCCGCTGCAACTCGCTCCTGGGATCCGGCCGAGTATGCTGTTTCCGATGCGGCGGAGAATTTTCGGTCAAGTTTGGGTCATAGTCATACCCTCCCCCCGCTTCCTCTGAAGCCATGAGCCATTTCATCACTTTAGAATCATGTCTTTCCTGTTCAACCTCAAGCTGGCCTGCAGGAACTCTAGACTCATGAGACGTGTTGGGACCGAGAGGGGTACCTCGAACTCTATCTGGGCGCAATAGAGGCAGGTTTTTATATTTATATACTTGTTGTCCTGACATTGATTATATCACACGAGTGACTTTATAGTTGTCGGAGGGGCCGCACTGCTTGTCGAAGGGGGCGGGGACGTACTTGTGTTGAATAAAATAAGAGCGAGATGTTACAGTTGCAGCCTGAATAGGAGGATTCAGCTACTTTATATCTAGATAAAACCAGTTACAATAAAGTGGCCGGTACGTGAAAAAATACTGCAAATGAAATGTGGTATCCTCGCAAAGGGTTGCTCCGCAACCTTAACGTGTCAGCTATTTGCATCATGAGGGATCACTCGCCACCACATGCAGGACTGAAAGCTTGATGAAAGAGCGACCTTGGCATGTCTGGTGGTGAGAGTTGTCCGCAGATATCATGGTACTAAAGGACTTGGAACGAATGGGCATACAATCTAACCCGCCCTCGTAATTACGTAATGACATTCCGCAAGGCTCTCTGGTTTGGTGTGACCCTTAATCCAACGTACCCCTCACCCGCTGGTGCGCTGTAGAACCGACAACCTCATATCATCAACAGAGTTGTTCATTCAGTCTCGAGTATAACTGCGCGGCCAATCTCACAGCCACTACGCTATCTCAGTATGCTCCCGTAGCTTGTTGTCGCAAGTGAACTAGTATAGTGCGACTTACAGAGAAGAGCAGTCTCCAAAATTATTTGGGGTGATTATATAAGGATGTGCTCTTTAAGAGGCCCCCCCTCCCCTTGAAGGGCCTACCGGCCATACCCTCGATCATTTTAACCCAGTATGATCGAGGCTTCATCGGTGGTTCCTAATATATGTTATAGATACACCTACAGATATCTCATCTACTTGATCAGACGTTTTATTGACCTTGTCACCAACTGCTCCTTCATCATCAAACTCTCAAAGTCTGCAGCTAGGGGTAGGCGTTCTTCCAAGTTCTGGGGGAACTTCGTTGTGCTATCTCGGGGAGATAATTGAATAAGGGCGGTGAAGTACCCTTCCTTCTAAATTACAGCCTATACCCCAGAGTTCGTTTCAAGCACAATATATATTGGCTGCTAGGTTATCACGAAAATAGTATATTCTTATTTATTGGAATTGGAATTATTGATATCTGCCACGCCAAGACCCAATCAATCTGGGGGTACTCATCGCAGCATGGTAATGACGGCTTCAGCTTCAACAGCGGACATTATCACATATTGCTGAGAGCACTATCGACTCTCTAGGATCACCGGGAGTGAGTTGCTCAAATTTCGTAAAGGCTGTTGTTGACTAAACTAATTCGATTACTAGAGCAAATATATGGGAAATGCCGTTGCAAGCCTTGGCACGGTTAAGAGATTGATAACAAAACCAAATACGACTGGAATGTGCCAAGAAATTTACTAAGATCGCAGAATATCAATCATGATATATCACTCGCATCCACCAGAGTTTTCCAAAGGACAAAAAAAAAAAAAAGTCGGTCTCGGCTGAAACCCATCCTGATAAACTCAAATTCAACGGTCTTAGGAGGAATATTGCTCTGTGGTATATACGGGACACATCTGGTCTGTCACTCAGGACCGGCCGGGAGGGGAGGGTTGCGCCAATCGCTAAAACCAACCTGTGGCGTGAATCACAAATAAACTGAGGAAGCGTAGATATAGAACCTTAGCGCTAGTCGGGTTTTGAAACAGGAGGGGTTAAACTGAGGGTTTTGAAATGGAGATACTTGTAAGTGATTAATTCAAGAAAGAATACGCCAACTACCCAACTCTTAAGGAAGTTTCCACAACAGCAACTAATTAATTAATGAACCGCTGAACTTACACCTCAGTTTTGTCTTGAGTAACGCGGTGGTGCCCTAGGAACGAAACGTCGAGAAAATGTACCACCACATGCGGTTGCGTTCAAATCACACCAGCTCAAAGCCACACATTCTACGGCAACCCACCACCCCTTGCCTCAATCCTTGAAACATCAACCGTCTCAACCAACCGCGCGCCTGATCAGTAGACGTTCGCTCCGCCCATGACGTGCGAGTAGCTGTCAAACTCGCTCATGTCAATCGATACCCGCATTCTCCGGTGTGCTGGTCTTACTGTGCTTCTTTCCAGAAACCTGGTCGATGGGGTGAGTGCGCGATGCACGCACGGTGGGGTGGCGATGGCGTCGAGTGATATTGCATGATGCTCATCCTGCCGATTAATGAAGAAAGCAAAGATATTCTACACACCCTCTCTTCTCTTGCTTTTTTTTATTTTTGTGTTGCGGATCCAAGGCGATTGAGGCTATGGGAAAAAGTGCACATTTGTGAGCAACATAAGCAGGCCGTTGTCATGTCAGCACGCGTCGTCAACACACGTACATCATGTCGATTACACCAGAGCTTTATGTCATGAGGGGCCTGAAAAAAAAACCTAGGTATGAAAGTTAATTATTTCAAATCTGCTGCTGCCCATCTAACACTTGCAACTATGTAACTAATTAATAGATTCATTCATTTCATCAACAACGGCCTACATTAAAAATACAAACGGAAATCATCACCATCCAATCATATCAAACTTGAACTCCACCTAGCAGCAGCAACCATTAATAAGTCGAGCAAAGCAACCATCCCATGACGATGATGCACCAGTCTTACAAAAAAAACAGTTTTCCCTTCCCATACGACACGGGCATCGGCACGCACATCCTCCACACCCGCATGCGATAAACCGATTCCCAGCACAACGTCGGTGCTTATCCATCCATCCAATACACCCACCCATAGTACATACCCCTCCCCAACCTCTTCTCCCCACTACGAACGGTAGGAACGGTAGGAACGGAAAGGCAAAAAAAAAAAAAAAACCAATGAGAAAGTTTCGATAGTCGGACCTTTTTCCGGTTTCTTCGTCCCCCAGTTTCAGCCTTCAACAAAATACGACCGAAACCCCGGCTAACTAGATGTCATATCAGTTTCCGACAAGTGAATGCACCATGCATAGATACGATCAATTTCAAATCCCATCGAGAATTTCATGAATGCAACAAAACAACGAAAGAGAGGAGGCGGAATATTTAACAATTGATTTTTGTGTCTGTGAGTTCAACAAACAAAAAAAGTAACGAATATATTTAACTTTGAAGAACGAACGCTCTTTGGATGAATGAATGTAGAAAATAAAAGTATTGAGCAATGTGGGGGTGAGGGGAGCTGAGATAAATATCTCAGATATAAAAAATAAATGGGGTATATAAAAAATCAAAGGGGGGGCTTCCAAGTCCTCCAAGTGGAACTCGCGAAGAAAGAAGAATAATCAACATTTGTAAATAACCAAAAAATGATAATATGGCCATGCAACAAAGGGAAGATAAAAACAAAAACCCAAAGAGAATAAATAAATAAGAAAACCAAAACCGAGAAACTCATGTACCGCCACAAATTGCCTTCGACTCAAAGCGAATCGCCAGAGGAGACTATACCCGCATATCCATACCCCGCATCCCTTTTTCTTTTTATTTTTTGATGTCATTTACTTCTGCGACCCCGACGACGGCACCCGCGCAGGGAACGTCGCCGACATCGGCGGCGGTGGATAACTCGCCGACAGCGGTGCCTGAAAGCTCACCGATCTCGGCGTAGGCGGAACCTTATCGCCCGACGAGTTCGGCGGCGAAATCGACACCCGACGCGCCTTATGCGGGGCGGTCGCATAATTCCCCTTCGGCGGCCTCTGCAGCACGATCGGTGCGGGCATCGGCGCGGCACGACCTTCCTCAGCGTCCGAGAGGTTACTGTATGGATCGACAGTTGTGTCGTTGAGCTTGTTGTAGGCGGTGTTTGCGTCAGTCTCATCGCATGCGTTCTTGGGTTCGCCGGCTTCGGCTTCGGCTTGTTGTTGTTCGCGGAGCTTGGCGAGCCAGAGTTCGGAGCGGGCTTTGTCGCGGACGTCCATGGACTTGCGGAGCTTGCGCTTTGAGGCGAGGCGGTAGAAGGCGAATGCGTAGACGGCGATGGTGATTGTTTCAACACTGATCTCGATGATGGCGCAGACAAGAACCCAGTCCTGGTTTGGGGTTAGTCTGGGAGCTAGATACGGGAGCTAGTGGGGTAGTGTTGGACTAGGCTTGGTTGCGGGAGAAAGGGCAAAGAAAGAGAAAGGGCAAAGAAAGGGTCAGAAAGGGTCCAAAAAGCTCACCTGCTCCCTGCACACCAGCTTATAATTAATATCCTCCTCAAACAGCTTCCTCCTCACATTATCCTTACACGCCCATCCCCACAGATCCTTCCCCTCCGCACTGTTCCTACTCCCCTGCATGATCCCCGCCGCAATCGCCCACATGACAATCGTAAAGATAAACGTGCCGACGGCAAACACGGTCCAGTAGACGGCAACCTTCTCGGCACGCTTGTGCCCGCCCCGCCAGTATCCGTACATGATATACAGCGAGATACACAGCGACACAACGGCGATGCACAGAACGACGATTTGCGGCCACTGCGGCGTCGCAACGGCCCATGGCGGCAGGTTGTTGCGCGGCGCCATGTGTTTGGTGGCGTTGAAGATTGCGAAGGTGGAGGCGACGAGCGAGAGGACGACGAGACTGCAGGCGCAGTTGATGCTGCGGAGGAAGATCTTGGCGAGGCGTACTTTCAGCTTGACGGCCTATCCATCACAAAGAAAAAATTAGTAAAAAAAAAAAACGATAATCTTTAAGTCCCAAACAAAGGGAAAAACAATGGATGGTGGACTAACCAAATCCCGCTTATCATACTTCTGCACCTTCGTCGAATACCTCTCCACATCGGCCTCCTCACGGAACGTCGGCGTCTTCAGTGCTGGCGTCAGCGGCGTCATCGGCACCGCCATGCCCGCATACGGGTCCCTCCGTCTCGGCGACTGTGGTATAGGTGGTGCTGGATACGCTCCAACCTCGCCATTCACAACGCCCATCGACGTGCGGTACATGTCGACCGAAATCGGCTGTATGGGCGGCGGCGGATACGTCGTTGTCGTCGACGATCCCTCCTCTGCAACGGGCGACGGGTATGAGGTCGTGTCGGCCATTCTTGATGGCAGCTGCTGCTGGGTGGTTGTTGTTGATTGTGATGGTGGCGGTGGGTAGTCCTGTGCCTGTCCGACGCCGAAAACGATCGGTGCTTGTGAGTCTGCTGGTGATATTGGGCTGGTGGCCGAGTTCTCGTGGTGGTTGTGGGTGGTTTGTGATTCTGGCGTGGAGCGGTAGAATTCTTCTGGGTCCACTTGGGGGTTGTGGTACTGCTGCTGCGCCTGGAAACCGCTGTCGCCGACGGGGGAGTAGGGGGTTATGGTCGATGTAGTCATGGCTTTTTAAGTATTGAATTGCTGTTAGGAAACTAGTGTCGATATGCACGGACTGCTTGCTTCGCTTTGACAGTGAGGAGCGAAGAGTGCAGTGAGGGCTGAGTGAGGGAAGAAAGGGAGGGTTGGTTATATTAACTATTGGAGTGGCAGGGTATGGTAAGCGTTGTGGCACTTCAACTAATCAGCTTTGAGCTGTGTCAGGAAAACAAAGAGAACGAGATGCAAGGAGAATCGGACAGTTTTATGTAAGCCAAGCACAGCTTGACTGAATGATATGCTTCAAAGGTCAAATATTTATTAAAAGGGAAAGAATGGAAAAGCCTGTGATGGGCTTACGGAGTAGTAGTGAGAGGAAAGATAGGCACCGTGGAATGATAAACGAAAGAATGGTAGGTAGGTGGGATCGAAGGGATGGGAGGGAGGGGGGGTACAGAGGATGAGGATCAGGTTAAGAAGAAGAAAGAGAAAGGGAAAGAAGGGAAGGGGGAGGGGAATCCGGGAAGGCAGTGTAGAAGAGTCCTCTCTTCGTTTGAAGGGACGATCACGAGTATCAGAAACTACTCACATTCACTCTCCCGTCTGGGAAACCGCCAGAGAATTAATCCGTTGGACAGGAACGACCGAGGAACCAGATGGAAGGGAGTACGCGTATGAAATTCGATATTATGTACCTTGTTCGAGAAAGAAAAAAACCCGCCGCGGTTGACAATAATATACCCTCTTCCAGAGATGGAAATGACGGGAACTAATATAAAGCTCAATGGGGTCTCCGAGGTGATGATTGGAAGTGAGAAGAATGACTATATACGGGCGGAGGGGTGGCCATTGACTGCTCTTTACTTAGCTGGAAGGGACTGGCTCGTTGATTCGACTAGAGTATCTGAACCAACAGATAAATTCTAGCCAACCAACATCGAGATACCAACAATAAATGGATATCCGACAGGCAATGCATACATGTGCGTATCCAAAAAGAGATAAACCGGGAATCCACGCTGGGTTAATACAGTTACTCACTCCTGCCAGGCGTCTCTCACTCTTTTTTTTTTCTGTTGATGTGATGTGATGGATATTAATCGGGCGACATTATGCATGGGGAGGTCTGGTGGTGGTGGAGGAAATGGGAACTGAAAGACATGTCCCCGCTCATTGACCCCTGCAACTACGCGGGATTGGCCAAAGCTCGCAGGGATTGGCCATAGCTTCCAGGGGTTGTCGGCGCCTACAGGCCAAGCGAGCGTTGTGCATCCGATTAGTGGACGCCCACTAGTAGATGAGACTAATAATTTGCCGGAGGTTGCGTGCAGGGGTTGTACGACGAATCGATGTGGTTGTGGAGTCTGGTGGTGCGACAAGCAGAACTTCGTAGCTTTATCCAAATCTTCAACTATTTGCGTGTTCTAACTACTTTTCGATCGCATCTGCAGTACGTATCGGGCCTCACTGGCTCATGACAGCTGAGAGAGCTCGAAGGCGAACGGGAATCTCTCAAACTCGACACCGCCACATAAAGCCTACGTCGTTCCCCGGGGAATGGAGATGGATCCGGTTCGGGGGTTCACCTCGCTGTCTCCCAAGGCACCACAACCACCAGCACTGGCAGCGGCGGCAGCAAATTGTGAATCATCAAAAAAACGTGCTTGCAGTGCCGACGTCTGTCTGTTTCCAAACCTTGGACAGGAAAAGCATCACTTTCCCTACTACCTATCCATACGTTTTTGATGTGCTACTATTCCTGGTAGCAAAAAGGCTGACTACTCGCGTCTAGGATAAAGAACCAGAACATGCAAATGCCTAGTTTGTATGGCAGCTCAGCGCCACTCCATACAAATAATCCCTGCTTTCTCACTTGCATGTTCTGGTTCTTTTTCCCTGACGCGAGTAGAGTAGATCAATACTCTTGGCACACCACTTGGTTAAACCCCTCAGGTTGAGCGAGCGTGGGGTCGTACATAGTGCACTTTTAGCACACTAATTTAGGAATCGCTGCATGGCTGCCTCTTTGGGCCCTGCATCCGCACCAAAATACAAGAATAACCCACTTTCGTATCTATTTGTGCACGGAACGTGACCAGTCTATATATAAGTTCCAACAAGAAAGACCCAAATCAGGCAGGATCATAACCCAGGTATCAAGGCTAATTTATTCGACCCGTACCGAACGAGGTATTTTAGCTTTTTTTTTTTTTGTTGGCGAGCTGCCACGCCACGGGTGCCTGGTACCCAACCACGTGGGAACCGGGAAGGGAGGAAGTGCAAGAAGGATCATTTCTTCTGCAAACGGTGCCGGATACAACGGTAGCGAGAAATATGTCAGAACACCATGTGTACCTATCCATGATGATGATGTAGGTACACCTGTATACCAAGGTCATACGGGTTGTGCAGAATGATTGTTTACCCGAAACGAATCGAATGCACAGTCTCATACACCAGGGACACCGAGTAAAGAAGGGGTGAAGTGGTCGATAAGTCTTATTCTGGCTGATGAGCAAGTAATGATCACTGATAAAGTGCAATTGACTGATGCAGTAGAAAACAAGATTCTTGATCAGCGATACAACGGTTTGGTACTTCGGTCGAGACCGAAAAGCTTAGATCAGGTCGAGTGGGGACTAATCACGACTCTTAATACCCGTGGGATATAGGTGCTGGTATCAAGCAGCTATCCGTATTTAAATGTCCACTTCCCTCATACTCGGTGGGTTTTTAGTCAACTGACCTACGAGAGATCGATCGCAAAAAGGGAGTCTCATATGCCAGATTATATCCTTCCTGACTTTCTTTTGGCAATTGAAGGATCCATTGATCTGGGGGAATTGAAAAAACTTTATCGCTAACTTGCAATTTCCATTTTAGAATATCCCTGGGATATATATATTCCTTGACCCCAGTACACGCCAAAGTCCTTGCTCACCGGCCTGTGTTGCACCCAGGGAAACAATAAGCTGCCGAGTCACCCCATCGACGTTACCCCACGAGCGAGAAACAAAATCCCAGCTTTTCGTGCTGCTGACAATTAATTATTATCGATCATCGCTCGGGAGAGCATATATTGGTGCCCCAGGAGAAGAAAAAAAAGCCAATTAGGCGCCCGGAATAATGGCAACACCCCCCACCCCCTTTAGGCCTCCCTCGCCTTGTGCATGCGTGCACGACAGATCAGAGAATAAGAAGAACATGAAATCCGCCAGTTTTTTTCGTTTCATGGCATTTTCTCGACCCTGCATCTTAATTGAACCTGCGATGCTTCTCCACGGCAACATACAGTACTGCCTCGTGTACCTGCGCTGGAATGAGATGAGCGCGTGTGCAGTGGAATAAGCTTCCCGCCCTGCGCTGCGCGCTCAGACCGATCGGGCAGCCTTACGCAAAATTGCGCAGGGATGGGATCGGCAGGAGGAACCGAGAGTTACCCGGATCAACTGATGGCCTCCCCTGCTCGGGCGCGCGCGCTTAACTATGAGGAATTAAGTGCACTGACGAGTGACGCATGTTTTTTGCTATTGCGACATCGTTCGGTGCTGTTTGAACTTTGTTCTCATTGCCGCGAGCGATGCAGCAGCCTAATATTTGAGTAAGGTTTGTAATAAGCGACCCAAGAAAAAAGCTTTTCGAACTCGAGCTCTGGCTAAACGGGTGTTATGGGAAATGCCTTGATTTTGATTGTTGTCGGAGATGCGTCCGTTGGTGGCACGAGTAGTCATCTTTTACTCCTGAGAGTATTTAGTAATATGGTTTCGAGATTGTTAGGATACCGCAGCGGCCGGAGATTCAGTAAACCTGGCGGGCGGTTCGAGACGGCTTGGCCCGAGTGAGCTTGTGAGATTCCGTTTTGCATGTGGGTGGGTGTGTGTGTGATGGATGCATCATGGATTCTCACTCGGTCAACTTGAGGTAACTTCCGTTTCGAAGTCATAAACGCAAGTGGGCGCATACCGTTTCTGGAGCTAACAGGGATGGTCAGTTGTGTTTGATGGAGTCATAATTGCATGGACTATTACCTCTGGTTTGAACTCAGCCCAAGGAGTTGTTCAAGCTGGAGATTTCCACAAGACGTAGAAATCTCGACACGCAGTCTGGCCCCAATGAAAAGCAATAATCCATATCATATTCTTAAGACACGAGAGACGAGAATATGAATATGCTCATCCCCGGGCACTCGAGTCTCGTTTAGATACCCGAATCACAGGCAATCACTCGGCTATCTTAAGGTTGCCAAGCTAGACATGTGACACCGACACCCTCTATTGACAGTACAGGACAGGTCGAGTTGAGTATAGTCTCTGGAAAAATATGATAGCTTGTACTAGATTCGGGAATGGTTTCTAAGTAACTCGGAGGTCATGAAGATAATTGGGAGCTCTAGTTTGTAGGATGGAAGCGGATGGGATTGAATGAGGAGGTTGCATTGGTTCTGTTGTTATCCAGGTCGCGGTTTTAGGACTGAAGAGTCTCGGATTGTATGATTAAGTGCGTGATCAATAACGAGAACAGAAGGAGCAAGCCCCTTCTAATATAGCGAAGAAAGACGTGGCAAATAAACACGTGTTGTCAAGACAAACAACCAAACTCGTTGTCTTGACACAGTACTAATAACAGATAGCAAAGACTGTAAAACAACAGATTTTACGAGAGATTTGTAGTATTGCAGGTGATCTTCTGCTGGGGGATATACATGTATTGTACTAGCAGAACGTGTTATTTCAACCCCTTATATACATTGCGTCTAGTATCTGCATGTAGCTTACAGATGTTATACCTGTGACAAGCTAGCTATTAGCGGCCGGTGCCAACAGCATCCTTTTCAATGCCACCATCCTATCAAAGAAGCCAGACTCAACAACCGCAAATATTGTACCTACACTGCCACCCCGCCTTAGTACCAAAAAATACAACCACACCTGTACTTCCCATCACCAACTGCCCATTACCCGGCCTCCCTCCCCAAGCTAGCTAGCTCCCATCCCCGGGCCCCGCCAACCCAACACCTCCGGCCGGCCAAACTCAACCTCGAAGAAGCCCGCAATGTCCATCCGCCACGCCGCCCAGCGGCTCTCTCGCTACTCGCAACCGCCATTACCACTAGCCCCCACACACTTTCTCGGCCTCAGAGCTTCTGCGCCCCGCGCAGCATTCATACCCCCGCCAATTGCAGCATTGACCCCACCATGGCCGGCGCAGAGTGGTCAGAGACAGTTCCATGCGGCGCCCCGTATGCCCAAGGACCACCACTTTGATACGCTCAAGTTCGTGCAGAGACTCCAGGAGGAGGGGTTCTCGGAGGAGCAGAGTGTGGCGCTGATGAGGGCGCTCAGTGACGTTATTGAGGAGAGGTTTGTTCTGCCTGCCTGTTTGGTGGTGGGGGCCGGGAGAGAGTTTGACTGACCAGCTTGTATGATGTAGCATCCAGAACCTCACCCGCACCATGGTCCTCAAGGAGGACCAAGAAAAGATAACCTACACCCGTACCTCCCCCCTGTCCCCCTTCTCCTCTCCCTACTCTCTCCGCTCACCCTACTAACCTCCCCGCGGTCCACAGAAAAAGTCGATTTCGCCAAACTGCGCTCCGAGCTCACCTCCGTACACTCCGGCGAACTCAAGCCCCTGCGCAGCGATCAAGAGCGGCTCACCTCCGAGATCTCGCGGCTGAACGCCCGGCTGCGCGAAGAGATGCAGCGCGCGCAGAGCTCGGTGCGGCTGGACCTGAACCTCGAGAAGGGGCGGATCCGCGAGGAGAGTAGCGTGCACGAGCTGAAGATCAAAGAGACGGACAGCCGCATCGAGAAGGAGGTGGGCGATCTGCGCGGCCTGCTGGAGAGCGTCAAGTTTAGCACGTTGCAGTGGTTGATTGGTGTTTGTACGGGCACGGCGGCGCTGCTGTTGGGTGTGTGGAGGTTGTTGATGTAGTGTGGGGGATGGGGGAGATTTCGGGGGCCCCGCGGGGGGGGGGGGGGGAGAGAGAGGAGAGGGGGTTTTTAAATTCTCCGGTTTCTTGCTTTTTCGGTCGTTTTTATGAGTATATATTGAGCTTCTTCTCCTTTCTCCTTTCTCCTTTCATTCTTCTCAGCGTATACGTAGAGCGTGTTTGTATATATATCTCTCTCAATACACAGCTACATCATTGTTTTCACGGGCCCCCTACCATGCCGGCGGTGCGTGAAGCCAACTCTCCTGTATAAAACCACGAATACCTACCCCACCCGCTCAAAATCCACCACACTACCGCCACAGACAGACTCCGGCAGCGCAGACTCTGTAAGTTTGGCACTGTAGATTAGTTATGCGTGCCAAACGCCTGTAAGTTCTGATCTCTGGTTTAGATGAATGTACTCGCCATAGGTATACTCGGACTCTGTATCGCGGCCTTGTGTGTGTGGGGAGAGAAGGATTGTGCGTGGTCATGAATGATCACTCGACCCTAGCACGGCTTGAAAACGGAACCGAAAGACGGGCATTGGTCATTGGCACCCCAACACCAACCGGTGAAGGCGCGAACCCACACCACACCTGTCAACCCCGGTTGCGTGTATACAGATGGTAGCGTTTTCTTAGTACTGGCGGTGGGACTTTGGGGTTGGAGTCAATTAAGTACGTCAGGTAGGCTGCCATAGCCCCAGGGTGGAGGTTCCCCCATTAGGGGGGGTCTATAGAGCGCTTAGACTATATATTAATTCACAAAGCCCCCACCCTCACAGTCTCGATATTGGCCACCTCTAGCCAGTAAATACCTAGTAAATAAGCAAGCACACCCATACCCCCAGAAGCTCCAAACCCGACTGATAACGGTGGATAAGAACATAATCTTGGCACAAGGGCTAGGTTTTCTTAAAACAACAAAAAAAAAAAAAAAATTGACTCCGGGCGGGATTGTAACCCTGGCCTTCCGCACTTACAAACGGTTGGCGTGCATATCTAATCTACGGGTGCCCAGCTTACAACTACTACACTACCGGAGTCCTGTCCACCAAGCCAGTCAGTTTCATTTTGGTTGGGTGGGGTGAGGGTGGTGGGTTTGTAAAATATGTGGGGTTGGGCTTCATCACAAGTAATCACTCGACACTCTTTACAGAACGGTGACCCTCTACGACGGGCGTTGGTCATTGACGCCCCGCTCACAGTACCTATGCAAGCCTAATTAGCAGAGGTCCTGGTAGATACATTTGAGACCATAAGTACCGTACTCCTTATTCAAACGCCGCTGCATAGGCCCCTCTGTTGACAACATCTAAGTCCGTAACTACCACACCACATTAGCACCACTCATTCACCCACCCCTAACATAACACAACACCAGAGAAATTAGCACTCACAGTCGCCAATAACCAGCGCCCTCCGCCCCTCCTCCACACTCGCCCACTCCCCCCAGGGCGGAAATTCCACCATTAGGGGGGTACAGTACGGAGCACTCTGGTTCTACCAACCCCCAACTCCCCCACCTCGATATAGGTCACCTCTAGCCAGTAAACAGCAAATAAGCAAGCGCATCCATACCCCCAGAAGCTCCAAACCCGACTGATAACGGTGGATAAGAACATAATCTTGGCACAAGGGCTAGGTTTTCTTAAAACAACAAAAAAAAAAAAAATTGACTCCGGGCGGGATTGTAACCCTGGCCTTCCGCACTTACAAACGGTCGGCGTGCATATCTAATCTACGGGTGCCCAGCTTACAACTACTACACTACCGGAGTCCTATCTGCCAAGCCAGTCAGTTTGATTTTGGTTGGGTGGGCTGGGGGTGGGTGGGTTTGTAAAATATGTGTGTGGGGTTGGACTTCGTCATAAGTAATCACTCGACACTCTTTACAGAACGGTGACCCTCCACGACGGGTGTTGGTGATTGGCGCCCCGCTCACAGTACCTATGCAAGTCTAATTAGCGGAGGTTTCTGTAAATACACTTGAGCCCACACCGTACTCCTTATCCAAACGCCGCTGCATAGGCCCCTCTGCTGACAACATCCAGCTCTGAGTCCGTAACTATCACACACCATTAGCACCACTCACCAACCCACCCCCAACACAATACAATACCACCTCCTCCACGCTTACCCACTACCCCGCCGGAAAGCTCCACAGTACCTCGAACCCCTCCTCCAGCGTCCGCTTCAGCACCGGATCCGTTGCCAACAGTACGTCGAGCCCCGTACATACCATACGACCGCTGTACACCAGGACCGTTAGTCCCTAGTCCGACTAAGCATCAAAAAAAAAAGAGCCAACCTTACCCGATCTTTTTCACCACCACCACCACCACGATCACCCCACAGCTCCCGGAGCGCCTTGACATACAAATTCCTCACCACGACCTTTGTGACAGCGGGCACAATATCGTTAGACGCGCGGTTCAGCAGGTCTGCGACGGCCTGTGCTTTGATGGATGATGTGCCCTCGCGGATGGACTGCGTGTGAGCTCCTCGAGGGAGATGATATACTCGACGGTTCATGGTGCTGGGGGCGGTTTGAATTTAGGTTTGGGGACGGGGGTGGCGGTGCTGCTGCTACTGTGTGGTTTCTGGTCTACTGGGTGACAGGGGTGACAGGGGGTGGGGTGTGAGGAGTCTTGAGGAGGGAGGACGGCGGAGGAGGCGGCGGGTGGATAGCATCGTGGAGAGGTGTTGGAAGACTGTGGTATGGTGGTGTGGGTGTATCTGTCTTTGCTTCTGTTACTGACGTCTAGACAGGCACCGCACCTATCATCGAGCGAGTTAGTGATGATACTACATGTACTCTATCAGGATGAAGAGCTGACCTATCACGATGAAGGTGATGGAGATGGTGATAGGGAAAAGAAGAGCTGCTAGCTTATGGCGGTGATATATCGCGGGAGGACAGGGAATAAGGTTTCATATAAGGTTCACTAGTGCAAAAATCGTTTGTCGGGCCGGCTCACTAAGTCAAGGGTTGGCCTTCAGCTTTGGAGTCGAGGACAGAACATGGCTTTGGAATACGGTACAGGAAGTGTCTTTACTGATCTGGACTTTTGTAGCCGGAATCGGCGTCGCCATCACGATGCTACGCTACAGGTGTCATATTCATATATGGGAGAAATAGTGGCGGACAGAAATGCACCGCAGCCGTGGTAAATAATATAAAATGGCTAGCTGTTTATTCTCATGTCCTTAGAAGCAAAATCATCTACTCCTTATGAGCGGCCACGCTAGATGCGAATGTATTCTCCGCTGCCAGATCTCCAGCTGCTACGTGATCATTACCAAATTAAAGAAAGGCCATTTAGCACCACAACTACCAGCCACGGTTCATATTCCAAAGGCCTATATAGCTCCCCAATCCCAATAGCGAATTCCAAACTCCATAAACACTCAAAAGCAATATTCCCCACACACCCAAAACCCACTACAAAGAAACACCATGACCCCCACCGCACGTGAAACAAACGAGCCCACTCCAGAGACCATCAACCGCCAATTTCTCTTCATCCTCCTCTACATACTCTCCTTCTGCATATTCATCCTAGTCATCATCGACAACGCCCAGAACTCCTCCCCGGACCCCCGCCTCTTCCCGCATCCCACCACCCCGCGCGGATACTACGACCCCACCCCCTTCACACCAACCTACACCTGTCGCACGCCGACCTTTTTCCGCCCCAGTCCCGCCCGCGACGACGTGCGCCTCGCCGCCCTCCTCCTCAAGCACCACGCCTCCAAGGGCGACACCTGCGTGCAGGACAACAAGCGCTTTGCGAGCTGGCCGTGGGCGTGTGTGCATCTGTACACGTTTGGGACGGCAAGCATTGGGATGTGTGGGCCGCCGGGGGCGAGCTTGGGGTGTGAGCAGGTGGCGGATATGGTTTTGGGGATTGAGGAGGCTTGTGTTGAGGAGGAGGAGGAGGAGAGATTATTTGCGACTTCGGTGAATGAGGCGGGGGGAATGGCGGTGTGGGGGGCAGGGGGGAGTATGGTGTTTGTGCAGCGGAGTGGGTAGAAGTTGACTCCGCGGTTGGGGGCTTGATTTATATTGGGTTACGGATAGGTTATGAATGTGAATGTGGTTATGTTTCGCCCCGTAGGAATGTGAACGTTATGAGCTTTTGCTGTTTTTTTTTTATGTTGCTATCTTGCTTGATAGATGATCAAATTATCGTAGTCATTGGTGTTGACTCAGGACGTGCATATTGCTCTTTAAATGAGATATTGCTTCGAATTAATATTTCTGTTCTGTGGGTTGATACCGTCCTAAAGCAATCGATCATGAATGCACACCCGGCTACAATCATTTATGGCGAGTGTCCAGTAACCGTGGGGGGTTTCCTGTTATACATACATGTACACAGGAACGTTTAAATAACCGACACCGCCTATTAGGGTTCATTAATGTCCTGGTTAGAGCAATGGCTACCAGGGCGGCCTATTCGGCTTTAGTCTCGTCGTGTCAATAAACCGAGTGAGAAACCATGAGCCAAGCCCCAACTTCACGCAATTAGGAACCAAAGCCATTAGAAACTCAAGTGCCCATGAACACATTGAGATCTGAGTACTGTCTAACTAAGTACCATCCTAGAGTAGACGCCGAGCCGGCGTGACCTTGGCTCATGAAGTATGTAGATCACTTTATCTCCCTACTTACATGTAGGTCCGGCCCTAGATCCAATCTGCAATCAATTGAGCTAGATCTTTACCATCCGCTCCAGCACCCCACCCGAAGCAACCACCCAACCTCATCAAAATTTTTTTTAAAGTTCCAAGGACAATTGAAAACTACCTCAAGACAGAGCCCAGAGAATTCTAGAATTTTAAGTCCACTCTTCAGGTGTGTGCAATCTAATTTTTTTAAAGTCATGATTTGAGTATTTCTAATTTTGTATGGTGTTTCCATACAGATTTTGTGTGGCAACCAAAAGTTACCAAAACTTCTGTACCCCGACTGTATATATGCACGAGATATTATATACAGCAAGAAGTACTTTACTATATGTAATTTATTGCAATTAATATTTCTCGCTCTCTCTTACTTTATCTACCTACATCACCCGTATGCAGCATAAAAAATATTTCTTAGAAGAAATTCAACAGCGCTCGGGGGGATTCGAACCCCATCTCTTCCGGCAATGGTTCCTACAGCTACCCGATGGAAGCGCATTATGCTACTATGCTACCAAGCCTGTTGCTCATACAGCGGCTGCCAGAACGGGTTCTAAAGATCTCTCTCTCCCGCTATCTATTGATTGTAGATACTACATGTAGTAAGATCTAGAGAGATAAAGAGATTCTATGGGCCAAGATCACTCCGTCTCGGCGTCTGCTTTAGCTGGAAGCATAGAAGCAGACGGGTTGGGGACGAACCTAAGTCTCGCCTTGTCTCACCGCGTTAGGTCTTGTCCATGCAGAATTAGCAAAACTAATGGCCATAATATAACTGGTCCAGTGCTCCGCAGGCGGGGGCCAATGATTGGCTACATGTACTTAGCTACATGTAGTACCCCATTAATTCGTTCGAACGGCCGGTCACACAAGACGTTGAAATTCCCTTATTTGGTTATTTGTCTTGAATACGCCCCCTAATCTTCCCTCATATTAGCTTGAAAAGGCAACTTCGACGTCTTGTGTGACCGGCCGTTCGAACGAATTAATGCGGTAGATTAATCGCTGTGGATACATGCTAGTTCGCTTTGTATATAGCTGCGGCCAGATCTGGTGATATCGATCTGGAGAGAACAGCAATGTGAATCTGCGGAAGCCAACGTCTGCGTTTCTTGTGTTTATGGGTGTGGTTAATACAGCGATGAAAGCTTAAGCTCAGATCCTCTATCTTATCCACTCTCATACTCACACCTCCAACTCCACTTACTACTGGGGGTATAATTCACCACTGCAGACACAACCTCACAACCTCCAATTAACCCACACCAACCCAATTGCAACCAAACCCAAAACCAAACCGAACCCACAACCAAACCACCTGCCACCAAATCACTACAACCCCACCAAACCCCAAACTGCCCCCAAACTGCCCCCAAACCACTACAACCCTCGCATAGACCCGCAAAAATGCTAGAATCAATCCTCATCACCCTCATCGCCTTCCTCTTCCTCCTCTTTCTCGTGCTCCTCTTCTTCTTCGTGCTGCTCTCCACAACACTCACGCGGCTGCCGTGGCAGCTTGACTACCGCCGGCTACCACCTATGTGTTATGGTGGGCTGCAGGGGACAAGGGAGGTGAAGGAGATGGGGATGGGGATGGGGATGGGGTGTTGCGCGGGTGGTGGTGGTGGTGGAGGTGGAGGTGGAGGTGTGGAGGATTCTTTGGTTTGATATAACTGCAGAATCACCAAACAGTACAGTACGTTAGCAGGATTAATGGGGGGGGGGCCGGTATTTATTGGTTATTACAAATACTTTTTATGCGGTTTATACCACTGTAGCATTATAGATGGACCAACGGCGTTGGATGCTGTTTCAGACCTACTGATATAACTATTATTTTTTGGTTTTCCACAGGGGGATATTGGTCCTTCGCGGGAAACATTTATACATATACCTTTTACTATGGCGGCCTCTGAAATGCTAGCTAGGACCTTATCCTTAAACGAATTGATAGACAAAGGCAAGTCAACCCCCCTGCCTTCTATATCGGCCCCTATATGATACAGAAAGCCAAGCTAATTAATATAAGTAACAGTCTCATTTCAATAGTGAAGCAAGCATATATATATAGGCGACTTTAATATCGAACCTCGGCTCCCGTATGGGCCGAATCACAGGATATCACTCCCCGCAAACCACCATGGCAACCAATCAAAAACTAAGAGACTCAGAATTCGAATATTATTACAAAACGAAAATAAAAGCGCACACAAAAAAGAATTACAAAAGAAAAAGAGACAAAATGAGGGGAAGAACATACAAGTTTTCAGTATACATAACACACGTATTAATTATGTAATCTTGATACAAAGACTTTTAAAACACAAACACCGAACAAACCTACTCTTCTTTTTTTTCCCCCATGTGGATGGCGGCGGCCATACGTCTGATGCCTCTCTTCAAAAGTTCGAATTTTCGAATTGTAGACAGAAAAAAAGAAAGAAAAAACGAGCAAACGTTCCTCCAGTTTATGGTACTTTATAGCAAGAAACATTATCATATGCATAGCCAGCCAGGTCCAACAATTCTAACCCACCAGAAAACATACAGAGAAGCGAAGGGGGGGAGGGAGGGAAGGGGACTTTTAGAGAAAACAGAAATCCCAAAGCACCAACAGCAAGGCAAAAGATAGGAATAAGCGGAGGGGAGCAAAGGATGGAGAAGAGGTCGGAAGAAGAAGAAAAAAAAAAGATGAAATAATAGACAAAAGAAAAAACAGTGTAAAACTGTATAACGAGTACCACAAGTAGAGTCCCACACGCAACCTCCTCACCCACCCCTGTTCCAATGCTAACTACAGCTACATCGCTCTTACAAAACTCGCCAAAATGCAAGACAAAAAATAAGAAATCTACAGCCATATAGCACGCCCATGACAGCAAAGGCGGAATAAACCCGTGAAATAAGCCAATAATGCAATATAATAATAATCCATGGTCCAGACTCTTACCATCAATCTTTCACCCGTGCCTTCCCCTCAGGGTGTCATCGTCATCACTATCCACTACTTCTCCATCTATCTCGCCTGGCCCCACAAACTCTAATACTTCCTCAATGTCCTCTTCCTCCTCTTCTTCCTCGATGATGCCCCCCCTGCTTCTTTTCCGCTCCTGCCTAGAGCCCGCCGAATTTCCATCTCTCTTCGCGGATAAACCTGTCAGCATGGGCCCCTTGAATGGACTCTTCTTCCTTCTTGCAAATGTTACACCGTTTGTCAGTACTGCCGCCTCATTATACCCCGTCGACCTAACAACCCGCACGTGGGAAGGGAACGTGGATGATGTAGGTGTCGAAGGCAGAACTTTGATGGAGTTTCTAGGCGACCGTGGTGACTTCAGGGTAATGCTGTTCAGTGACGCCGATGACGTTGAAGAGGCCTTTGAGTGCGTCTTGTTGTGGAAAGAGCGAATCGAGGATACCGAAGACGATGTCGAGGTTCTTCCGCCGAGTCCACGTCCGGAAGAGCGTCGGTAAGCATGCGGTGTCAATGGCTGCGGCGAAAGCGAATTCCTCTTGGGCGGCGGGGTGCTGCGGTGGGCGACCGAGTATATCCCATTACCTCGAGAATTCCTCCGTGCGCCGTTACTCGTACGTGAGCCCGATTGTTGCTGCTGATAGACCTGATTGCCTTGCGAGCTCCCCGGTTTCTGTGCCGCTTGGTTTTTGGAGTTTGGAGACGTTGCGCGCTTTGCTGAGTCTAGGAACCAGTGTTTTATTGAGGCGAGTTGCGTCATCAAGGCGTGTTTTCGATTTGGTCGTCCCTTACCGCTGGAACTGCTCACATCCAGGTGTAAGTCTGGCGAAGACATCACTTGTCGATCATGCTGCGGGGGTTTCAAATACGGTCCATAATCCCTATCCTTCTCTATTGGCGGCGGCGGCGTGGGCGACGGCGGAGTCTGCACCCTCGGCGACTTTGTGAAATTACGTTCGGGCAAGATAATTACAGCTAAAGCAAACGTAAGCTCGCGAAAAGAAAACTACGGACGGGTCCGGGTTGGGTGGGAAAGATTGAACGAACACCCATAGTAGTTAACAGGAACAAACTCACGGTTCGCTGTATTCCTAGCATCGTTCCTCACTCGATCTTCAGCCTCCTCCGCCGGCGGAGGCAACAACGATGGATCAAGGTTTGAGGCCGCGCTCATTCGTCTACTCTCTATTTTGCGCTTCTGTCGCCGTTTCTCCTTACGCTCTTCTTTCTCGATCAGCAATGCCCACCACCCAGCTAGAGAATCGCATTTCTTTGCAAGGACGTGTTCTATAACTTGGTCAATATCAACACCAGCGGCTTTCATCCTGTGCAATGTATCTTTTTCTAATTTACTGGAGAACGGCGCAGGATGTTGTAACGCCAATATAGCCTTCTGTACGGGCGCATGTTCAGCTATAAAGGGATGGGAGAGTATTTCATCGAGGGTTGGTCGTAGGCTTGGCTTTTTAGCCAGGCAACTCTTCAACATAGATACCGAGTCTATAACCACATTAGCCAATTAACAACTTACCCCCCTCAAGCAGACCTCATGAGCTGTACCTTCTGATAGGTGATCCGGATATCTCGGTTCATCGTTCAATATCTTACGTCGAGTATCTTCTTCGATATCCTCATCAAACGGCAGCTCTCCAACTAGCAAAGCATATAGGATGACTCCCAAAGACCAAACATCCACAGCTGAGGGTAAATTAGAATATTTATCACAGTGATGTTTAAAGAGGAAGCGAGAGGGGCGGATATGGGGGGAAATCGAAGCCACGGGAGGAACGGGGACATCCGGATTGGAATCCGAGGAAATTAACGTTGGGAATAAAGAGCGGAACCATCCCGTACCGTAGGCAATATATTTTTCTCCTTTTATCATTTCCGGGGCCGAGTAGCATACTGTCCCGCAGAAGGTCTGGAGTAGCTTATTGCGCTCGTACTCCCGAGTGAAACCAAAATCGCAAAGCTTGACCTGCGCTCGAGTCAGCGAAACAATTATTTCCCCTATCGGCCGCGATGGGAATCTCTACATTCTCATGCTTGTCTAGTAAGATGTTTTCCAACTTCAAGTCCCTGTGAACACAGTTGTTCATGTGCACGTACGCTACAGCACCGACCAACTGCGCAAAGATTCGCTTCGTTTTGTCGACCGTTAAGCGCCCATGCTGGATGAGGTAGTTGTAAAGCTCGTCACCTATCCTCCCGAACTCGACCAATCAACATTCTAGTCCTGACCTAGTTCCCAGAATTGGTAGACAGAAGTTCTCACCAGGGCAATATTCCAGGACCAGCCAAACCAGACTCTCGGTCACAATGACCTCATACAACCGCGCGATATGCGGGTGTACCAGTTGGCGGTGATGGTGTATCTCCCTCGCCAGATTCGCGTCGTCCTTCTGAGCCGACTTCAACACAACCTACAATCCCAAACCCATCAACATCAATCGCTCCAGTAACCCGAACTTCATCACTTAATCCACCCCATGCCCTCTTCCTTCAATACCAAGAACGACGTCTTCAATTCTCCGCTGCTTTCCAAAACCCGCGTAACCCGTAGAAGCTGGATCAGAGACAAATGAGAAGGATTGGAGGTGGTATATACCTTAGACCCATTTGTGAGTTTATGCGTAGCCAGATAGACCTTTCCAAAAGACCCCTTTCCGATTAAGCGTCCGATCGAATAATTCCCGACGGTCCGCAGCTCTTTTGACGAAAACTCTCTAGATTCGAGCACCATCCGTCAGCCCCAAGCTTTCCTCACATCCACTCACATCCCGTAGATCCGCACCAGCCACCCAGCTTGCTACCTGCGACCGGACCCAGAGTACAGGAACGAGACGACATACTCTAGCAGTTCATTATACGAGTTTACAAGCTAAGGCCATTACAAAAAGCATCAGCAATCAACCGGCAGTGTGAATGTCGCGGGGAGGTGCAAGTGGCAAGTCGTATCGTACCTTCGCTCTTTGCTTTTGCAATTCCGCCTTTGTTTTCGGGGCATGACGCCCTAGGAGTTGAGGGGGGGGGGGGAATAGCCTCGCTCAAGGATATCCCCAAGCTCGTTTTATCGGAAGGTTGCTATTGTTGTTGGTAACTGTCGCCCTGTGGTGTTTGTGCTGGTTTTTGTGTTGTTTTTTTTGGTGTACTGTGTGTCGGATAAACAATGTGGAACGGGTGCTTCTTCCTGGGGGTTGAAAGAAGAATCTCCTGACTTAAACGGCGGCCGCGGGTCTTGCTTGCTGCTTGAGGCGAACAGGGGTTGCAGTTGCAGAATGCAGTTGACCAAAATAAGAACAATAATAATAAAAAAACAAAAGAAAAGAAAAAGCGAAACTTTTGGATTAGAGTAGAATACTCGACTTCTTAATAAAAAATATATAATAGTTTCCCAAATATTTTATAGGAAAGGAAGCGATGAGCATGCAAGAGAGAAAGAGAGGAGAAAGAGGAGTTAAGAAGTTGTATATGAAGAACTAATGCCCTCCCCCCTGGTAAACTACCTGCTCTCTCGTGTTAAGAGCGTAAAGCTTTCAGTGCTGTATGCTGTATTGGATGTCGTTGCCCAGAAACAACCCCAGGTAAAATTAAATAAATAAATATAAACGGGGATAATTTCCAGAAAGGGGGAGGGAAGAGAGCGTGTAGCGGTGACAGTGGAGGTGGTGGTGGTGGGTGACGGCGGCGGCGGGGTGGTGGGTGTCTCTGTGGATGTGTGGTGATGATGCAGAGGTAGAGGAATGGAATTAAATGCAGGTATGGGGGAGGGGGGCTAGCTAGCTCATATGCAGGATTGGATGGATTGGAAAATTAAACGTATGAATTTGAAGAAGTTACTTGCAGGGAAAGGGAAGAAAAAAAAACTCCCCAAAGCGAAGAGTGAGAAGACAGATCAGAAGATAAAATAGGGTACGTTAAAGAGATGGATGTAACGTCGTTCTTGTCACCCCGAAATGTAGCAACGGTAAGGAAGAGAGGAAAAGGAAAGGAAAGAGAAGGTAGGATCGAAGCCTGTAGGTAAGCTGCTGTTCGACAACTGACGGTAACTGTTTCACTGCCAGGGGCTGTCATCCACGGCGAGGATCTCCAGCTCAAACGAAAAGAAAAGAATGCAATTGTGAAGCACGTCCGCCACTCACACAACACCACGGGTTATGGCCAACGAATAGGCAAGTCTATCGTGTTATTGATCCCGTTCTGAATACAATGTTACAGTTACATACTAGTTAACGTACGTCGCTGTCATGTCCGTTCCATTGCGATCATGACGAGATGAGCAAAATGGTGTGCTGTAATGAACGGACGCTCTACTGATTTGAAATGTACCTACCGTATGTACCTACTAATCTACTAATACTACGTCAGGTACTACTGCTACTATTTAATAGGAACTACTTGTACCACAGGTTAGTACAAACTCTCTAATACGGCAACCCTTGTTCCAACAACTCTCGACCTCCTCCACTCTCAACCACAACCACCATAACCACCATAACCACCATAACCACAATCACTAGAACCACCTCATCCACCACAGCAATCATAGCGCATATCTTCACACTGACGTAGGAACCCGCAGTAGAGTTAGCCCTATCTAACTAACAATAAAATTCTATAAGTTCTATTCTACACAGATCATCTATTCCAAACCACAATGCCTACACCCCCAGCGATAACGACCCTCAACCTCAACCACAACCCTCCCAACTACCGATCACGGTCAACGCAGGTACATCCTCGCATATGTGTAAAGCAGAGCTTGCCCTGTCTAAATCACATGTGCCTCTCCCCACGAATAAAAAGATCAGACGAAAGATAACAAAAAGAAAAAGTTAATCCCCACACCCTTCATGTCACCCTTCCCCTTCCCCATCCACACATATCTTGCAGGCAGGCAGGCAGTCAGGTTAGAGTCAGATCAGATAGATATGTCAATGTCATCGCTTAACATAGATTATTTTGTACATTACGATTAGACCCCCCTCCTCATCCCCCCTCCATTATACCCCTCCTTCTGATTATGCCCAGTGCTGCAACTCATACTGCACCCCATAACCACAATCCAACAAACAAGAATACTTTCTTCGCTCAATGCAACAACAAACAACGACGACTTGCGATCGATATCTAACCGCGGGCTGGCTGTAAAATGAAAAGGAAATGCCGAGGAACGAAAACGAGATATAAAAGAGGAGAAAGATGAAAAGCCCAGATGATGTCCCGCTCAAAATCACCTTACAACCCCATCAATGTAATAACAACCACAATAACGCGCACAAACTACCCAAACTGCAATATTCAGTTGAAGGCGAAAGAAAAGAAAAAGAAATCTCGATAAAGAGGGGAATAGAACATAACAGAATAGTATAAAAAGAACAGACACATGAAAATGCTCGATCTCTTACTTTCGCCAAACCATTGTACAAACATACGGCCGTCCATGCTGCCATTGCAGGATACATAAAATAGCGTTGAGAAAAGAGAAAAAAAGTGAAAAAGTGAGAGAAAACAAAAGATAGTTGCAATTATACCAAATAATGAATTTGAGGTATATCGGAAAGTGCCACCGACATCATGATTTTTCCCCTGTCCCAGTTATGCGCCCGTGAATGCAATGGTTGATGCATGCTCCCATCGATATTCCCCTTTCCCCATGATTTTTTTGGTCTAAGAAACGAAAAATAAAAATAAAAAGAGGGTGTAACAAGAAAAAGAACAAAGAAGAAAACCTGGCTATTATTCAACCCTTACTTCTGCGAATTTACTTGGAATCACTAGGCCCGGAAGAAGCTCCAAAACTCAAAATGCCCTTCAATCCAGTCTCTTTCTTCTTCTTCCATCCCTCCTTCTTCTCTTGGCGCTTCCTCTCCAGAGCTTCCCAACCACTCTCGTCATCGTCATCATCTGAAGCAGCCCCAGAATTCTTTAGGTGTGACGGGCCAGCTCCCTTCTTACTCATGTCTGGGCTAATCCCAGAGATCAAGGAAGACGTCCGTGCACCGGGCTGAGAGCCGCCGACTGGGGCCATATACGACACGGGTCTGTAACGGGAAGGAAGTCCTACAGTGCTTCGTTCGGATGGAGCAATCGAAGGGGTGTATCCTCCTGGTGGCATAAGTCCACTAGGCATGAGGCCACCACCACTACCACCACCTCTTTGGCTTGGAGCAATCGAGGGAGTATAACCAGGGCCTTGGAACATTGGAAGTGGTTCCATCATACTCATGGTTCGTTGATGTGGTTGTGGCATAGCAGAGAAATTGCCAGCGCCGGGGCCAGCCATACTCATTGGCCTCTGACCCATTACAGGTGGGCTAAGCATTGGTTGGGCTTGCTGCGGGTTCTGCATTTGCATCTGCATCTGCATCCATTGCATTTGCATTTGCATCATCTGCTGCATCTGGTTTGCCATCTGCATTTGCATTGGGTCTGTTCCTTGGGCCGCTGTGGGCATCTGCATAGGAGGCATGCCAGGCATGCCAGGCATACCCACACTCGGGCCCAATCTAGGACTCATGTTTCCAGGTATATGTTGTCCCATCCCCATTCCGCCACCATACTGGCCCGGTAGAGCCCCTCCTCCAAGACCAAGCATACCACCACCTGGCGATGGGTGCCTATCAAATGGATCTGCGTTAAAAGGATCTTTTTGTGGAATGAATTGCTGCTGACTGCCACCCCTCCTCGCCGCCTTCATCTCTTCCGTCCTCATAATTTCGCCGATCAACCCACCAGGCTGACGACGTGCTGGCATATCGCCGCCATAAACAGACCCACCAGCAACTGATCTCTGATCACCCCCAACACCAAAGGCAAGTGACATTCTGTTGGTTGGATTGATAATACTAGCACCCAAGTTATAGGGGTCGGCAGGGAGGTTCCTTGCAAACGGCGGTAATCTCGAGTCCTGAATCATTGCTGACTGTCTGAGATTTGGCTGAGAGCTTGCATTCGAGAGTCGAGTTGGTGGTCTACTACGGCTGGGAAATCCGTGAGCCATCAATATCCCCAGTGGAATTTCTTCATCCTCTTCCTCGGAGCTTCTCCCACTGGATCCTGGCCCTGATAGGCTCAACTGCGGCATAGAGTTGTTCATAGGTAGCGGCAAAGCAGATGCGCTGATTGACCCCCTAGCATTATACGGCTGTTCCATGGGCTGTGAACCAGTGATCTTCATCATCTGTTGTCTGTAAACAGACAAATGTGCTTCCTGTTTCTGACGTTGCTTTAGAGCCTCCTTGTGCTTCTCGGTCTCCGATTCTTCTTCAGATTCCGAGCCGGATTCATTGTCGCTTTCAGTGAACGACTTCCCAGACAGCCTTCGCTGATTATCCTGCTCTTGCCTGTATCTTTCAAACTGAGCAGGGGTCATCACCTTATTGGGTGCGTTGGTGGGTTTGGCCTGCTCCAAGTTCTCGTACCTAGCCGCCAAGCTAGCAGATGCAGAGATAGATTCGTCGAAATCCATGTCATCTCCATCTGTCAATTGAATTGGTTTTAACGCTGGTGCTGGCGCTGTGGATCTGGCCTTAGGTCCGTTATCTTGCAAGTTATATATAGAATCGGTGTTTACTCGCGACATTGCCGGACTTGTGCCTCTAGTGTCGTGATGGGAACTTCCGGAGGAACTGTTTCCGGGGTAGCTATTGACTGATGAAGAACCAGAAGCTACAGACTCCTCCCAACCACTATCCCTGCCCTTCATTCTATCTGAAAGCCCTTTCGCAGTACCCCCAATCTGCAATGATGACGGTAGTGCCGATTGTGCAGCCCGCCGATCAATCTGTTGTTTCTGCTGTTGCACGTTACCCTTCGGTGTAGACTCCTCATCTTCAGGATATGACGGTCGTCGTATGTTTGTATTCCGCTTCACGCCAAGGGACTCTGAACTATCACCTCTCTGCGCTTGCTGGCGACCTGGCTTCGCTTGTCTACTGGGTGCACTCAAAGAATCGGAATGGGAATGTGAAGGAGCTGGTTGTATATTCTGTCCCGGAGTTAGGTTTCGTGAATTGCGTGGGGAATTGTTATTTTTTGCCGCGGGCATAGTAGGGGGTGCCGGTAAATCTTCCGCGCCTCCTGTACCCCAACCGTAGGGCGACTCGCTCGTGGCTGGCCTGTCACTGTCCATGTGTGTTGGGCTTGCATAAATGTTGCTGTACGCTGCGTATGAGAATCTTTGGTTTGTGGGGGACGTTCCTATTGGATCATACGTTTTAGGAGGAGGCACTGGAGAAATGTCGTTGTGATTGTCACTCTGGAAAGTTCTGTGTTAGATACGCCCACATATAAAGTTACGTTGCCGTTCAGGGATGTGAGGTTTACAGTATTAATAATCCTTGTCGAGGCCAATTTCGGTGCCGTGTGTGGTATTGCCCCAATCCCTCCACCCGTCGCTGGGGGTACGCCGGTACCCTTTGATGCAGAAAACGAAAACATATCTTCTCCAAAAAGGGAGCCTGTGTCCAGGGTAGTTTCAAGTTTGGGGGGTGTTGAGGTCATGTTTTCTCTTCGCGGCGATGAGGGACCGTAGATGCCGCCGCCGGAACGTTTTTGGGTAGAAGAACCTGTGGAAGACGTGGTAGTAATGTTTGATTTAGTAGACTTTGCCGCGCTGCTGTGAGTATAAGCACCTGCGTGATGATCGTCGGTCGATGCAGGTGTCCGTGGGGCGTCCGCAGATGAAGGTAATGTTGAACTTGAACTCAGGCGATTTATGGAGCCAGTAGAAGCATAATCGGTGTTCGAATATCCAGATCCACTGGTGTTTCCACTGCCACTGCCCGACTTTAGCAAGGCTCTCGCAGCAACCAGCCAGCGGGGACGTGAGAGTTCATACCGATTTTGACGTTGTTGGGGCCCACCGTATCCTCCTCCCCCGAACGTAGAGGACTTTGCAATAGTAGTAGGGTTGGTGTTATTACTATGGCGGTCGTGATGTTCCTGTGGTTCAGGTGCTGATAATTGAACCTGGACTCCCTGGTTGGCGGGTTCGTAGCCAGCTTCCAACGCGTTTCCAGCGGATTTTCGTCGTGAAAACTTGGGGAATTTGATAGGCATGAAACCGTTGGGGGTCTTTTTGAAGATCACTGAAAAGAGAGAGGGTGTATGTAGTAAGAGAGGGTTGGGTGCTGTGCGTCTTTTACAGCCCCTGGGTGGCTTGTTGCCAAAAAGGAATAGCGAGAGGGAGGGAGGACAAGCAGAGTTTAACTAGTGTTGTTGTTGATAATAGATCCTATTCGTGAACGATCGTGGCGTAGCAATAGAAATGTAACTGGTGCGTCGGATAATATGGGGGCTGCAGGCAGGATCAAGGGAAAGCCGAGGGGCCGCTTTAAGATGTGCAGGGCGTCAAGTAAACAGGTAGGTACGGAGCGCAAGATTGGACGGAGGGTGAAGGAGGCCCGTGGTTGAGCAATCTTCCGTGCCACACCAAAAGAGACCGAGGAGAGCGAGAGTGAGAGTGAGAGTGATGAAGAAGCTGAAGGAGGGGGGGATAAACTTGGGATAATACGACGAGAGTGAGAGGAGGGGGCAGAAGGATGAGAATTAAAGTGAAGGTATGCAGAGACGCATCCGCAGGACTCTCGATGTCTGTGCTAGTGGGTGTTGAATCACTGTGTTCTGTTCTGTTCAGGAGAGACTGGAGCGACGTTCACGTTCAGCTTGGTGTCAGCGCAAAACAGCGGCGGTTACACAAGAGAAGAGAGTGAAAGAGAAAATGTGGAGTGAGCAGTGAGACGGCAGACAGGGAATAATTTATGGAGATCAGAATAGAGGAAGATGAACTGTGGATATGCCCTTCTTTTGCTTTACTTCAATGGTTTTTTAAACTAGACTTGCGCTTGCAGGGAAAGTTATGTACTCTAAAAGTACTCTGCTCTCACGCTCTGCAGTAGCCCAGCTACTGCTGTTGTCTGAGGTGAGGTTGTCGTGATGCCGTAGAAGAAACACAGCCAAAGAGGGAAGCAAGACAGACAGGCAAGCAGGACACGAAGCAGTATGGGAATCGGGCAGAGTTTTCTTTTGGGAAGTTGGGGAAATATCCACAAAAGTCTCTCAAACGTGAAAAGCAGAGTGACTTACATACGACTTCTCTACTTGCTGCTGCCCAGCCAAAAATAACACCCGACACCAGGATCGTTGACAACGACAAACCCGAACCACTTGACCGTCTGAGATACAATATGTAGGTGAAGGAGGTCCACGACGATCCCAAACGTGGAGAGGGTGTGCAGCAACCTTTTTAACTAGGTGGTATTTTGTGTTGGCGTGACGTCGCTCAGCAGAAAAGGAACGCAAGCGATAGGAGTAGGCAAGCAATGTATGTTGTTCTTCCTCTAGATCTCCGAGGCACACTTCACTTGACTTCTATCTGTTGCGTCTGGAGAGTCTAGTATTTAACGGCAGGTTGCAAACTTCAAGAGAATGTGGAGAGCTACGTGACCGGATTCCTACGTTACTGCACTTGAGGGTTTCTTGGTATTGTATCTCACCTCGTGCCGCTGGTACAGTCATTCACTAAAGGGCAAAAATAAACCCAAAGCAAGGTCAATTGTAATCGAGTCACGAACAAGCGAAGAATTGAGAGTAGGGCGAAGAACACAGCAGACGGACTAAAGGCAAAGCAACGATCGTAAGCACGAGAACATCAACAAGCAGCACTTGGAGGTTGGGGGCGTGTAGTAGTGGTTGAAGTGGATTCAACTAGCGTGGATGATAGTTAAGGGTACGAGAGGATCCTTTCTACATATCACACTAGAGTACTCGGTCTACAGGGTGGTGACAACCAGATACCAGATTGTAGTGAATCAAGAAAGGTGCGAAAACAAGACGAGATGGAACACGCCGGCGGGACAAATGGGGTTGAGCCACTAGACCGCCTGGGAAAGTAGAGCCAAAATAGCCAAAGGGACGGGGTGACCTAAGATCGTCGAGATTTTAATGTTCATCGTTGTTGTCAGGGCTTCGGAAGAAGGTGGAATACTTTACAATAATATCCCTCAATAAGGGTTGTATTGACTAGATACCGGCGGCAGGAATTGAGTGCTCTACATATAGTACGAGTCCTTTTGACCGAGAAAGAACCCACCAGAGCACCGATACAATCATGCACTCCCAATTAACGTGTTTGTTTACAAAGGGTTAAATGGTTGGTGTATCTCTATTTAGCTGTCGGTGCTGCTTCTTCGGCGATGACGGAGAAACCACCTGCATCACCATCACCGCAGACTTAACTAGAGCTAGAGCATGTTCACGAGAAGAAAAAAAGGACACCAAAAAAAGCAATACTGGCTCTTGATCCTCGACTATCGAGACATCGCGCAAAAAGATCCCGTCCCTTCTTTTTGCCCAGTCCTCGGTAGCATCCTGGCCAGTCGTTTCGCACATGCCCCTGGGACCCTGGATTGAGTTTTGCCTCTTCTGCTGGCCAAACCTGGACCTCCCTCCCCAATTCGCCATTCGACGCCACGAAGAGCAGCACAGACAGTACGGCCTACTTGGGAAACCATTTCTAGGTTGTTGTTGTTTCCGGACTTTTGTCACCTCCTGTCAAGCTAGAAAAGGTTTCGACATGCCTGCCGAGATAGATCTGCTTCTAAAAAAGTTATCGAAAAATCTTTTCAAACCCCCACACCCTCCCCCCTTTCTTCTCGTGTTAAGTCCATGATTCGCCTATTTGACTGCATCCCTCTCGCTTCACGGTGTCAAGGTTACCGTATATTTATAGCCACGGTTATCCATTCGCTTTTTCCTTCACTGGAAAGAAGGCAGCTGTCCGGGTCCTCGCCTCTTGTGCCAGTTTCCCGGAATTTTTCTTTCTATATAGCCACTCTACCTAGAATGGATTAGAGTACGACGTATGTGCATACATGTAGTGTAAGTCTTCAAATACTGACCCTTTATCGGCATTTGGCCGAGGCCCTTTATTCCAGGTCCCTCCCGCTTTTGGTAAGACGCAGCCAATCGGAACGCGTAACGAGCGCCAATGACGGAGCCAATCCCATCCGTGCGTGCATGGCTGTGGCTCGGCCGCTGAGGCGAAAACACAAATTTTTGGTCCCTTTTTGACAGCACCTCTTCAACATCCCCCCCTCACCTCCCATCGCACGTGGCGGTCGACATACGTCGCGTCAAACGAATAAACACTGCAAAATCAGATTCAGTTCTTGAAATCTCCCTGGTTGAACTGAATTAAATGGTTGCTTGTTAATTAATCTACGGATACAATGGGATGCATGCATGACCTCATGCATGATTTCATGAGCTATCACTCGTGATATACCATGTATTTCTCAGCTTGGTCAACCCATGAAGACTTATCCTGGAGTTATCCTTTGAAACAAAACCAATAGATATTCCACAGCCGAGCCCCCGGGAAGCCGTTTTTCAGTAATAGGCCAGTCTTGCAGCGGGTATGGGGCCGGAATAGTAATCATTTGTACCGGAATTCGTTTTCCAGCACCGTGGATAGGACGTTGTATTCACGACAACATAGAATACGATCATACGTACCAAAGCGACTTCTAGGTTACACTCCACTAGCCCATAATTGGAACATGGCATTCGTATGATTTTTTTCGAATGCTTGCTCTATTGAGGAGAGAGATTATATGGTGAGGGCAAATTCTATCGAGTGATGGTTCATGATTGAATCACGCCAAGACTGGTCACCAAACAATTTTAGGTAGTATGGCCTAAAATGACACTGGACTAAGATAGCAACCAAATACTTCGCACTGGAACCTCCACACCCTTAATTTGATACTTTCGATCAGGAAAAAAAGTGATTTATTTGGGGCGTTGAGCTGAAAAAGTTTCGTATCTCCATACGACGGATGCGGGATAAACCTTAAATTTGCCGCATGCATGGCGATGGAGTGGTCCCGTCATAAACACCAGACGCACGCATTGGTGCACAGTCGATCGGTTCCACCTTATGCGCTATGATTAACCACAAACTGCTGGAATGGACGTTTGCTTCAAACAATGACATCCATCTCAAGTTGACAGTGTTAATTGCAATAATGTTCCGAGCCCTGAATTATTGCGTGTAATCAGATACTGTCACGAGTAAGTAACATGTGACGGCTGTCAGCAGCCAGCAGAAGATGATTGGCTAGACCTTTACGCCAGTGCACTTTTCAGGTAACGCGGGATCACGTGAAAACCTCCCTAAGCAAAAGAAGAAAAATATGATTTCTCTGTACTATAATTAATCAATTAGTGTCAGGGACTACTCTTACTATATATTTATCCATAAAAAAAAAGTGTTAATGAAGGGAGGGTGTCTCGCCTATAGTGCTCGTGACAGTAGTAGAGTTCATATGCTAGTAGCATTCTGTATTGGTCCAAATAGTTTGACCTGTGGATCTTCGTATCACTGTATAAGTGGCACTTCTATTTCCTATCGATTACCGGAGTCACCATTAGATTGTATTTGTTAGAGGTTGAGGGATATCGTGTGATAAATGTGGGGGTGGAGGAAAGGTTAAGAATGGAGATGCATATGTCGATAAGAACAAGGTTAATGGTGGTGTGGAGTTGGGGTGCTGAACCCCTCCCGCGTTCTTACGTACCCCAATGTATACGTCACGCTAGGCCCATTCTCACGTCACGCCATTGTACACAAAAAAGAGCAGTATGTACATGTAGTCTCGTGCCTTATCCACATACCAACATCAACCTTCTGTCTAACATCAACTACTGCACCAAAACTTACAACTGACCGGCGCTCCGAGAATTACGAACGGATTACCTACATGCACACTGAGGCTCATATATGGTGCACTCGGACTGGCCTATGCGCCAATTGCGCCCACTTTCCGTCCTCGGACGAGTGGTGTTCCAGGCTGCCTATTAAGCGTCTGACATCTCGGGAGTTGACACTTGATCGATTAGGCGTTCGTCAGCTTGTCGTCGCCTGTGCACGTGTTCTGCTACCACTGGTGGGGTTTGTGTCTCATCGGAGTTTAGATCTCGGAGGGGTAGGATTCAAGGTCAGGGATTGTTGGAGTCTAGAGGCTGATCAAAAGCCTACTTAGGATCGAAGCCCTTCCTACGAGAAATCCTTCGGAATTTCAAAATCCTAACTAGAATTTGATGTCACTTTAGCATCTAATATCGCCGAGGGGTGCTTCTTGATCCTCATACCAGCCAATTGCGAATCGACAGAACAGAACTCCACCCAGCTGAAAAACAAGGGAATCGGAACCTTCTCGGGTATTAGTCCTATGATTGAAGATTGTTGCTCCTGCACTCTCTTTAGTCAGGATGTCGTGGGAGGAGGACATTGACACATGGAGTGGTGATCGTCAACGGGCGATATATCCAAGGATTGACGGACCAGAGTAACCCCGCCGGTCATGGCTTGAACCGCTTATGAAATGAAAAGAAAATATCCGGTACCAGTGGGATGATCTACCGGCAGATCCAGGGTAGCCTTACATTCTTTGACCCTCGGCTGCATGAAGATGCAGCTTTGAGCCTCGGGCGAAGGGTTAAAAGGTGGAAGGTTCTGGCTGCCAAGGTACCCCTCTTTTCTTCCTAAGGTTCTTATGTTTTACCCCACAACAGTCAGTCTCATATTGTCCCCACCAATAGATAGAAAGCACTCGCCTGCACATATTGAAATATCCCTTCATCTCCTATGAACCCAACCTGACTGGGTCACAGATTATCACTCGCGAGGAAATTCCGATGCTTGATGACTGTGGTAGCGTGGTCTCTACGCTGACCATTCTCGAGCACATACTGGAGCCACATATATGGAAATTAGGTGAAGAGCATATATTGAATATCGGGCAAGGGGGTTGAGTGGGGTAAGATAATATTTGGATATAGTGCGATCTACTAACCTATGGATACCTACATAACCCATTTCTTCCTTGAGCCCGGTAGACGTGAACACGACTAATAGAATTACGGCCTAGATTCAAGTATTATACCCAGATTAACGGTCATAAAATTGCCGAGTGAGAACTTGTGAAGGGGTGGCAATTGATTGATAATACATTAATTGTGTGCAGGTGAAGGGGCTGTAGAAATTTTTGCTTTATATTAAAAGCGCCTCCGGTACTTTCGTGGTTAAATGGAATGTGTGAGAAGCGGCTTTTGAACTACTAAATGGAGTAGGGATCAATGGGCTAATCTGAGATATCCTTGCGGGTAGCGGTATATTTAGTTGGTAAACCTACATCCTGTCAGGTATGTATGTCTACACAACTAGAAAGCAGAGGAGGAGTTTAATAATACAACACGCTGACAAACGAGGAGAACGTAATAGGTAAGGAAAGGAAGAAGGAAGTACGCAGGGACCAGTCCACTTCTAACTTATCAAGAATCTTCAAGTACAATATAGAGGCCGCGCAACCTCCACCGGGTGAGGGACAAGGGGAATGAAGAAAAAGGTGACACTGCGAACACAGACATCAATATTCGGACCGAGTGTACCATAGGTGGAAGAAGCAGTACCAGCGGAGGGACACGGAGTAGGGCTCTGGCATATTACTCTTTCCTTACCCCGCATTCCGTTGTTTTACAGCTACTGGGTTGTCGAATTCGGAGAGGAATGGGCGCATGGAAGCTATATAATGAGAGCGAGAGGAAATGGTAAGGAAGGAGGAGGCCGGGAGTGGTTTATAGCTGGCAGTCAGGGTTAGCCCTTGGCGCGCCTGCCTAACCATTCACTGGGCTACAAGACCATAAGCTTCGCCTCTTTATGATGTGTCCCCCGGTATTTTTATATCGGCATGAGTGCTGCTCTATGAATAATTCGCTGATAGCTACATACATGTACTCCGGTATGGGCAGAAGAACCAGAAAATGCAATAGGATTATTTGTATAGAAGAGCGGCGCCACTCCATACAAATAATTCCTGTATCGTCACTTGCATTTTCTAATTCCTATGCCCACACCCGATTACATGTAAGTAGATACGTACTTGCTTACTAGCAAAAGAACCAGAAAATGCAAGTGACGGAAACAGGCATACATTTAGTTTGTATGACAGAGCGTCACTCCATACGAATTATCCTGGTTCTTTTACTGGTAAGTAAGTACGTACTTACGCCCTCTCAACATTACAGTAGGCACAAAACCGTAAACGTCGGTGAGATCACTACGACAGCGTATGGCAAGATTGTAGCGTTATCATACAATTGATACCGCCCCCAGTATCTTTCTAGATCCGATACAATGAGAACGACTGCCATCTCTTGTAATTGTGCATGCAATAGTCCGCAAGACCCACCAAGCACAGAGACAAGAAGATCAGGGTTCTATAAAGTTACATTAATCCCACAAAGTCTCGAGCCCTAGCGACTACCACATCTTGCCTCAATATGCACAACCTAACATAACTAAAAACCCAGGATATATACCCTAGAACGTTCGAACGCAACCGTCCTATGAGCCTGGCGCCACGCAGTGGCAACCTTCGTAGCTCGCCGTAAAAGGCCAGGATATTCACTGAGCTAGAGCCAGTCTGTATTTACTTTCCTACATATAATGCTATACGCCAAGTAATTAATGAATTAAACAAAAAAAAAAAAAATAGCGTGAGGATCATAAGATCTCACTCGGCTAATTCAGCACTTCTTAAGTACGGTATTAAAGCTTCATCGACCGCGGAGCTTGGTAGGGGTTTTTAATAGTTATTATAACCCGATAGAGATATTTACATAATTGTTCCTGGGCTATGCGTGTGGCGAGGTACATTCCCCATAGCTGTAGAGATAACTAGTTCGAAAGTCTGTCCGTGTAAAGTATATAATTTAAAGAGTATTCATATACAAAACAAAACGTCACATACATCACTAAACAAGAAAACCAAAGCAAAACAAAAGCACGGAGAGGAATATCTAAACCCCAACCCAAAAATATACACCATAAAACCCTAACCCATCACAACAGAACAGAAACATCCAGCTGGCTGGTACTACAACTTATCCATAACAATATATACAGAAACTTCAAACCCTGCTATCACTCCTTAAGCCGCCCCCTCCATCTTCACATGCGGCCTCACCTTCGGAGCCGCCGTATTTCCGGACACCGGACACGTCCCCGCACAATCCTCAATCCCCGCGGCCCCCGCGCCCCCGGCGCCGCTAAAGGGACATCCCCCCGCACACGAGCTCTCACCATCCTCCTCCTCCTGCGTCGCCACGACCTTCTTCCCATGTAGCATTCCCTCACCCTCAATCTCAACCTCCTGCTTGAGCTCCGCAAACTCGTCGCCGTCGCGGACATACCACTTTGCAAACAGGTCGTTCTGGATCCACAGCACCTTTCCAAGCGCCTTTACGATCGCGGTCTTTTGCTCGAGCTTGAGGCGCGGGTGCGAGAGGACGGCTTCGACAAGGATGTCTTGGATGAAGCCGAGGAGGACGCCGATGTGGATGTATTCTACATGGAGGGGGTGTTTTCGGCCTTGACCCTGTAGTTTAGTAATGATATAATTAGCCATCATAATACTATAAACGAACTCCAGAAATGCGGGGTGGGGGAGATGGAGAGACGTACAACATGCATAAGCCCAACCTTATCCATATACTCCCAAAACTCCATCTTGCTCGGATCTGAGCAGATCTTTCCCAGATACCCGCGCAGGAACATCTTCCGGTACTTTATCTGCGGGGAGTCCTCCTCTGGGAACTCGTCGATGGGGCCCTCGTAGGATGTTGAGCGCGTGGTGAAGGCTCGCGCCGTTATATCGTAGGAGAGAAGCTTTTTGTACACGATGTTCACCACCGCTGGGATTAGCGCTTTGATGTACTTTGAGCCGAGGACGAGGGCTGCTCTGTCATCTGTGTTTTGCATGAGGGTTTGAGTCAGCTGGAGTTGGGTATTATATGGTTGGCTAGAGTGAGCAGTGGATGGCTAGCTACGAACCTGCATTGAAGTCTAGGAACGAGTGCAGATATTTCACCCTGGCTTCGAGGTTGGTGTACAGCTCCTTGCGGTCGATGTGCTGCATGTTCTTCTTCAGCGAAGCCATGTTTGTTAATGTTGCGGAATGCGATTCTATGACTGGCTCTTCGGTGGAGGGGGATTGGAAGCCCTTGACGGTGGTAGCTGAATCGGGTCTTAGTGGGGGAGAAGACTTCTTGGTCGAGATTGTGTTTGCGAGTCCAAAGATGTTGCGGATGGAGTCTGTGTATGAAGACATGGTTTTGGAAAGGTTGGTATCGGTACAGATGTTATATATACTTCTAGGTCTTTATGTGGAAGGTGAGGGTTTGGGGTTTATAGTTATACGCAAGAAATAAAACTTAGTAACTACTGCAGGCAGAGCCCCGAGAACCGCCCCCAAAAGACAAAGCCATAAATTCCACACCGAGACAGAAAACGAAAAGAAAACGGAGTTCCCCCGCCAAAGACCGCTCCGGGTATGAGGTATTACGATGTTGTGGAGTGGTTGAGGATACCAAATGGTCTGATATCCCACAAGCTATGGGTTGTCCTGGGGGGGATCCCTGCAATCTTCACTTGGGTTACTTGGTGGTGGAACGATTCCTACGCCTCAAGCGAAAATCATCTGATGATCACCCGGTTCAGCCCAAGGTCAGCTTTGAAAAATAGCTCTTCTGATTGATAGAGGGAAACCCGGTCCCATAGCCATGGCACGGTATATGCTCATAAATGGCCGCAGGTGACTACATCTCTAGAGCTAGCCAGCTTTCCCGCAAGCTACATGTATGTGTGCCGCGCCGGTAACCCTAACCCTGGGAATACACCATGAGATACTTCTGGAGACAAGGGCCGGGTCTCGGCGACTCCCCTAGCTGTTGGAAGCTTTAAAAGTGATACTAAACGACATTCCGTGGCCGTTCCGGAAGTTATTCCAATTGATTAAGCTTTAGATTGGGAGCTTCTATGTAGGATTGATAACCGGGCTAAGGTAACCCCATGGCAGACTCAGGCAACGTTTTATATCGCTTTTGTATTGATTTTCATAAACTCAGGCAACATATACCTCACATGACCATGAGTAAATTAGTAGGCTCGCCTGCAATTGGCTTGTTTGTATTTGAGACGAGATGTGGGTCCACCCAATTCAGTTCTAATCAGTATCGCTGATCAAAGTGATTGGTAGTGAACGACGACCACAATAAGATAACGCGGACTGATGTAGATCAACGGAGAACAATAGCCGGGGGCAGAGCCAGTGCCAGTTACGGAACCAGAAATGCCCAAAGTAAGTGCAACTCTTACCGCAACGTGTCCCTGAGCTCCGAAGCACGTTCATTGCCGAAACCTTAAATCAAGCCAAGTTCCACTGAGGCCGAATGTAACTTCTCCCGCGGATACATATCTCCCAAATATCTGTCCAACCCTCCCAACTGTTAATTGTTGAATATACCTGACACCGTCATGGTACATACATGTACATTGTCAACTTCCTGGCTGCTTGTCGGGTTAATGTAGTGAAAGTAAAAGAAGGTAGATAGAGTACCTATGTACATGTAGTATGTATACATGTATGTATCTGCATGGTAAGTTAGCTATAAGCTTAATATGAGCCGGATCGATCGCAAAATGATTCGGTACTGTACTTACATGTACCGCTGATAACAAGGCTGACAAATGCATGGGCCGGAGTACAGCGTACATGTAGTTCCATTGGATGCAGTTATACTTCGACCACTTGAATTAAATCCTTGACTTGAGGTTTGATAAACCGATAAGACATTTCTCCGAGTTAATACAAAGGATAGAGTCTAATGGGGCTATTTAAATAATGCATAATAAGACAGATATCGTCTAAATACAACGGACCACGTACCCGCTCCTTCGGCCGACCGCTATCATTGTTGTCCTTTACCGACAAGACTACGTATATACCTACTACTTCTCCTACATGGCCTCTTATAAAGATCAGGTTCTGCGGTTCCTGAAGCTAGCTTCGAATTTGATAGGGTAACGTCGACACATCTAGCTCAAAGCATGAGTGCAGTACGAAAAAACGAGGTGAAATCACTATCATAGGATTGAGTGAAGAATATGGAATTAAACCGGCATTGCAAAAGGAACACTGTGGCGAATCTACATTATTTTTTGATACTGCATGTTACTGAAGGTAGCGGGGCTAGTACTCAATGCACCCTTCTACCTCTCTTCTTGACTCTACGCCTGGAAATTGAAGTAATAATAAACTATTCCAGACCATCAGAAGTACCCCCTCCAGCAAAGCATAATAGTATACTGAATTTCACCAACTGGCCTGACTAAACCTCTACACCCCTCATTGGCCTCGTGTCTGATGATGCGAATTTGATTCATGGGATATCACTCGGAATATCCGCCGCACAGAAGAGGAAATATTCAAAAGGAATAATTACTAGTAGAGCATCGATAAAGCAGGTTTTGGCTGGTTTTTACTTGGCGCCAAACCAATCATTTCAGAAACAAAAGAAGACTTGGTCCAAGGTCGACGGTGACACGCAGTTACACCAGCAGAGTAAAACCTACACCTGCGCGACATGTCCTCGCCAACCCTGTTTCCTAATGACAGGGCTAGAATCACTGCATATCCATGTATACTCTACTGATGAAACATGGCTCCAGATGAATGTCCTAGCCCATCATAATCAGCAACCGTTCCTGATTGACCAAGCGGCACACCGTTCCATGAATCAGATCGAGCGGGTACTCTAGTTTTTCTTCTTCCTAAACGGGACGATCAATCCCCAGCCGTTTACTGTAGGGTTGTGGCGAGATCTTTGAGATATTTATGCGGATCCCATTGCGCACATGTTGATCGCCATGTTGGTTCTTTAGGACGAACTATAGCTTTCTGCTCTAAACCGCTGTCCACGGCCAGGGACATAATGCGTTTGTGTAGTTATGATATGAGCTGCCTGGGTGCTTAGGCAATTATTCTAAGAATGTTACTGTGAGGACAATTCTCCGGGTAGCCCGAGCCACCAGTGGGATGCCAGTAATTAACCATCCAAATAAGCCAGAGGTGCCAATGGGATATCAAATGTCAAGACCCGGCATTCAATTTCTGTTATTTCATAAACATTCGGTTTGTAATTCGACCTGGCTGTAGGTTCGAGTCATGTCGAGTTTAAGTCCAGAATATACATAGGTAGTCTACATGTAGTCTTTGTGCGCTCCAGAGTGAAAATTCTTGGCGTACAGGGTAAGCCGGCGGTCAATGATTTCCCGCTGGAGAAGGCAAAGCCACTGTCGTCGTTGTAGTAAGCCGTGCATTGCTCTTCTCGGGAAGGCCCGCAGTCAGATTTCTGGAGAACCCCCATCTTTTTCCTCACCGGCCGGGTAGATATCGATAGCAATTGGTGGGGTAAATATATATTATTCATTCACATCCAGCATCAGGCCTCCATCATATTCCCGACGTCAAGCCTTGTCCAGGGCTGTACCTGTATGTATACAAAGTATCTAGAGTACAAGCTCAGATCCCAAGCTTCGATCCTAGCTCCTATATGACTACATAATCTTTTTTCTTTCTCCCCGCATGGCCATCCGGCTATCTGCGAATTCGCGGTGCGCAATAAAGTGCGGTCAAAAGCTAGTCCCGGTAGTCATACTCCAGTCACTACCATAGGTCGAGTAGAAACCCAGCCGCAGTGCCATAGGGTACGCTCTACGCAAAGCAGCCACTGTACTGGATACCGACTACCGGTCGTGTGCATTTGACATTTTTTTCCAGGCAACATGTGCAAAGTGCGCATATGATATATCGATATTTGTCTGCGAATAAAAGAACCCCGCTGGATGCACGCACGACAACGGCTACTTTTTTTTCTCTTCCCCTCCCGGTCTTCTCAATCTTCACTGGCCGGCCAGATTATCGATATCATAATTGCATCTTCGCCACTCAGCTAATTGCACTCAAGCTGGGCGATGGGATTGCATGTATGTATGATAACGAAATCCCTGCGATGGCTCTTCAAGGGTTTTGAACAGATCTCTGAGATTGTGGTTGCTGCTGCTGCGCCCGAACAACGCAAAGAACATTCCATGGAGCTTCCGCGGAACGAATCATCAATGGAGCAAAAAAAGAGGAAGTAAAGAAAAGAAAGAAAAAAACCTGGCCGAAAGGAAAGGAAGGCGCCGATGTTTGCTAGCTATCACAGTAGAGTCGTTAGCTAGAGCATGAAGTTCGAGGGAATATCCTAGTAAGCGGTAATATCAACTGACAACGCATAAAACGGCAACGAGGAAGGAAAGGATGTCTGTAGAGGAGGGCGCGGTAAATGATAATGGTCCGTTTATTAGGCGAAAGCGGGTGAAACAATTTTCATGAGGCTCTTTGGGAATTGCGGGACTCCCGGGCGGTATCTTAGTGGTCCAACCCTACATAGATTCACGAGTGGGAAGGGCCTTTGTGTCCGATATAGGACCCTTATGACCTCATAGGACCCTACAAGCTTTTGCTTATTTCTCCCCTCTTTTTTTTCGTTCCCTTACTTAAAGCGGTTTATAGATCATCAAACATTGGCCCAAAATTCTCAAACTTTAAGGCACATGACCTTGAAGTTTCCAACACCTGAGCTTCAAACATAGAATCTCCTTCGCTCTCACTCGCGCTGCCAGCGGAGTTCTCGTCAAAGACGCGAAAAATCAGGCCATTATAAATGTCGTATATACTCGAGTAGACTTGCCAGACCCAGCTCTTCGGGAGCGCTTCATTGACAAGAATACCATCACGGGCGGTGAAGGCTAGAGACGTCCGCCTCCTGAGAGTTTTGGAAATATGGGCCAGAGAGATACAATTGCAAGCAGTTGCGAGCGGTTGTCCCTTTCGTCTCTTCCCGGGAGATTCGAGTTAGCGCCCATCAGCACTCCGCGGCCGCTCGGCATATCAGTAGTAGAGTTGAGGAGGTAGGTACGTACATTGACCCAATCTGGAGGTCTTACTTTGGGGGACTAGTGACTCTGCGAGTCGTAAGTAGATATAGACCGGAATAGACACAATTCCCCCACACTCACTGAGGAGGACTTGCATAAGATCCGAGGTAAGGGATCTTCTCAAAATTAACAAAAGAACCTTTCCAAGGCCTCGTGCTCAACGCGTAGGTATTATCGGAACTTGAATCTCATCAAACAGATTGTTGGCCATTGCACACATACATACATACATCCGCCCGTACATACTGCTGTGGCTTTCCACTTCTGCGCGTGCCTCATCGTGGGGGAAGATGGGGTCCCATTATTTTCCAATCCAGGTATCTCAGGTAGTGGGCCGCAAGATAGGCAGAAGTTCGCGGAAAGCTACATATTTGACACCGAACGGCCACTTGCCCCCAGGAAATTCCCTTCAGGAATAAGGACCCGATATGTCCAGGCAATTGGTCAAACCGTAAAAAAAAAAGGGGTTGGTAATAACTTGGAAGGACCAGTACCTACGCTCCTCTACTCTGTATCTAGTCAAGAAGCTAAAGTACTCTGCGTGCTTTATGCAAGGCGTATGTAGCTCTTCTATCTTCTTCGACGATGAGCGGCAACTGATCGGTGGCACTTGTCTCTTTTGTGTTGCATTTGCCTTGTAAAGAATAGGATCGAGTTGTCAGTTTTGCTACCTGTAGAGTATCTATGGGTTAGGTGGACCAAAGTCAGTACTCTAAGAGAGGGAGTCCAGGCAAATGCTTGTTGCTCTCGGACCCTCAACCCGACAGAGTGGTTCTGAAAACCATCACGAAACGTCACGCCGCCTCGAACCCGCCCAGACGGTACATAGACTAGGAGTAAAATACTAAATAGTTCCTCAGGCGCTGTCATGGTATTTCTCCCCGCTGGTGACGAAATCTGTGACTTGTGTGTATTACCAGGCACTCCCGTTTCTTGATATCTTGATTTTTGACCTTGTTTCATTTTTTTTCTCACTCAAATATTCTGATGCAATTCGTTGGCCCGCTGGCTGGCCAATGCTGCACAATTCCCCCCCCCCCCAGCCTTACCCCTCTCCACGCACATCAGAATCAGGCTGCGGGGACTGTTGAAATACTGAACACCCCCTCTTGTATTTTTTCCTATTTATAACTAATTTCCTCGTCCTCCCGCGTTGTGTGTGTTCAGAATACTGCTAGATATTATCATTACCACACGGTCAAGGCCACCGTCTAATTTCTATCTTGTTATTCGGCCTACTATCACCAAGAAAGGGCTTTCCTTGAGAGGTGTAACTTATTCGAACTCAAGGGCATCCAATTCCCTGGATTACAAGTGAGAGCCGGGCGAAAGGCCACTTTGGCATCCAATTCCCAAATCACATATTCTACCCGGGTGCTTGCTGCATCATCTCATCCAAAGTGATACCCGTAGAGAGAAATCTAATTCCAGATTTATACCGAGAAAATCAACAAATCAGAGTCAACTAACTTGTCGTCACTGAGGTCCTGGCCCATCCCGGATAATTTATCATTTTTTCTCTTTCTCCCTAACGCCCCGCACGGGCCTTTGCATTGATCCATCAGATAATCGGGAAGCCTGAACAATATCCACCTCTCAAAAACAATACTATCAGATTCTGCAGAACGAGAGAGGGTATACATATTGCTCTCATCCATAGTGCTGCACACCGGAATTCCAGTAGAACCATCCGAAGCATCGTCCCTCGTCTTCTTCTTTGCTTCTCCAGGATTCCTGGCTGCTATCCGACTAGACAGCAGGCAGGGTTCTTGGCGCATTTGTTAGACGTTCTTATTCGTGAGTGACATGGTGACAACGAATCAGCACCATACCCGATCCCCTGCCCCTCACTTTTCTTCCATTTTTTTTCCCACTTGGTCATCCTGCTGGTGCTGAGAGGGCTTGTAGATGGGAAGTTCTCGAGAGGGAAAAATATGCATTCCATCTGCCAGAGACTCAATTGGTGCTCGATTAATGCTAGGAGGGAATGCCGTAGAAGCTGATCGGACTTCATTGCAGGGCATCTACTACTATTCTCGAACTGTGTATTAGCGGCACCTTTCTCATCTCAAGTCTCAAGTCACAACAAGCATACTTACTAGAGCTTCCACACGGGGGTAAATAAAGTGCATAAGCTGTACGTATCTTTCTCAACTTTTTTTTTTGTTTCCCCCCCTTTCACCAGAAATCTTACCCTCCTCATCACCTCTGCAACTCCCCCCTCCAGTTGAAACACTGCCCACTATCTCCGCCGTGCCCTCCCGAAAACCAATCGCTGGAGTGGACAAACGTACTACTCATCTGCTTTATATGAGCTTATTTGGCTCACTTCCCTCCATAGTTGAAACCTTCCTCCACAGCGTCATCTATCTTCTGAATCTGTCCTACAAGTATTTCGAGTGTCTTTTTTAGTCGCTCTTTTTTGCCTGGGCTATATCACTTTGTTGTTGTTCCCCGCCTCCTCGTTTAACAGCGCCAAAATTTCCTCCCACCGGTAAGGCGTCGCTTGAAGGAACCCTGTACGAAACGTTCCCCCCGAATTCGATCCATCAACCTCAAACAGACTTCGCGTCGGAGAATTCACGTCCTTCGTCATAGATACCCTGCGAGGCATATAGTTTGCCACCATCTTTATTAATTGATAGGCTACCGCTGTCGCCCTCCATTCTTCTTTCGAAAGCTATCATCGTACGCTTTTCGGCAGCTAAATTATACTGGCTGTTGATTTTTCTATTCGATTTTTATTTTCCTGATAAAACAGCGGGGCGAACGCCCCTCTTACTTTGTCCGGGCCTGCCTGCTGGCCGTCTTGAATAGAAGCTTTGCATCCTTAATCTTATTCTTAAAAGTTTAGCGTTTGTTGTTTATTTATTTGTTTATCTTTTTTATCGTTGGTTGTATTTTGATACCCCACGAGAACTGATTGCCGATAAACAATCACTATGCCGTAAGTAAACAAATCTTTTTAGAGCCCCCTTGACAACAACAATCTGGTGCGCAGGGCGGATGCACTAGTAGATCAGGAGGGAGGTACCTGAAATGATGATGATGATTTCATCACCATTTTCTGTGTCTTTAATTTCGAGGCTGTTATTTTGTATTTCATTGTAGCAAAGGGTTATCGCTCACAGGTTTTGCACTGTAGTATCAACATCACAATCGATCATACGTCGACGACCAACGGGTCTGAGTCGTCTCTGTCTGAAGAAGAGACCGGTAGCAGCGGTGTTGACTACGGTTACCAGCCGCCTCTAAACTATCACCCTTCTCAGTATTCATCTCACCGGTCCCATCATTCCGTTAACTCCCCACATCACTCCCAATTCCCTTCACACACCGAGTACTCGGGAGATTCTTTCCCTGAAGATTGGGAGGATTTGCAGGGTGAAGAGCTCGGCCCGTCAGATTCAGCTTCACGCCCGCGCACAGCCAACAGCAGAGCAGGGCCAGATACCCCTACTCACTCCCGGCGAGAGACTACTAGATCTCATCGCCGCCGTCAGGATAGCCCACCCGCCCAAGATATACTGCCACCCGCTCCCCAGTCAATTCACCCTCCACCCCCACCTCCTCAATCATCCCGTCACGGTTCACACCGTGGTCATCGTCATCGACAGTCTGCCCCAACTGCACCTCCGAGTACATCAGACAGTGACGAAGATATCAGATACGAACGTGGACCTCCCTCGGCTCCATTAAAGTCGCAGCCCTACTGGGGATCACAAAATAGTAGTCCTTATAACCAACCAGCAACAGCGCCAGCGCCAGCACCAGGTAGTGGCTACGGTGGGTTTGGTGAACCTCGTGGCTATAACCAAAATCCTCTTGCGCTGGTTCCGACCAGTCCTCCGCCTCATCCTCACGCATTGCCTGGTAACAGCGGTGACCCTCGGGATCATATGAGAAGAGGAGGTCCAAACCCTCTCGCTCCTTTTGATCATCAGGGATATCCACCGCACTCACAGTATCCAGGCCAACCTTCTCAGCATCCTGGTCAATACCCCCCACATCCACCACACGCATCTCACCCTGGGCATTCGGGATATCAATCTCCACATTATCCTGCTCAGTCACCACAATACCCACCACACCCAAGGGAATCATCAAAATATCCAGGGCAGTCACCTCACTACCCAGGACAGTCGCCTCATTATCCCGGCCACTCACCTTCGTATCCAGGGCAGTCACAGCACCACCCGTCCCATTCTGGGCACAGTAGTCCAGGTAGCTCAATGACGCCTTACAACTATGGGCAGCATCCCGGCAGCCCCACCTACCCCCCTCATCCACAGCATCCTCACCATCCACACGACCCTCGCCACCCGTATGATCCTAGGCATGATCCTCGAGACCCTAGACATGATCCTCGGGACCCTAGACTCGACCCCCGGCTTGATCCCCGACTTGATCCTCGGGATCCTAGACATGACCCCCGACTCGATCCCCGTGATCTCAGACATGATCCGCGGGACCCTCGGCACCTACCTCACGACCCCCGACACCCTCAAAACCATATGTCTGGTCCGCTGAGTCCGAGAGGCGCGCATCAAACTGACATGTACGGATACTATTCGGGATCTCCTTACAGCCCTTATGGCCCCTATGGTGGTGGATACTTCAGTGCCGGCGGCCATCCTCACCAAATGAACTCTATGACCTCTATGAATACTACTAACCAGATGATGATAATGGGACCTCAGGGTTATCTCGTCCCGTATGCAGTCCCACGAACGGAAAGTCCACCATCACCGGCTGAGCCAGAGAGGCCTCGTGAGAAAACTGAGGAGGAGAAGCGCGAGGAAGAACGTTGGGCAAGGCTTCAAGAAGAGAAGAAATTGAGGGAGGAAATGATCGAACAGGAAAGGAAGTGGCATCAAGAGAAGGAAGACCGCAAGAAAAAGGAGGAAGAGGATAGGATCGCTAAGGAAGCTGCTGATAAAGCTGCTCAGGAGGCCAAGGAAGCTGCTGAGAAGGCCAGGAAAGAGGCAGAAGAAGCTGCAGAGGTTGCTAGAAAGGCTGAAGAGGAGGCAAAAGCAAGGGCACATGAAGAAGCTGCTGCTGCTGAAAAAGCTCTTGCGGAGAAACTAGAACAAGCCACCGCTGCGGCAGCGGCAGCGGCAGCGGCAGAAGCAACTAGGGTAGCGGAAGAAAAGGCTGCTGCTGCTGCCGCAGAACTTGCGGAGAAGCTGGAACAGGCCACTAAAGCGAAGGCTCGAGTGAAGCCCAAGCCAGTCAAGTTCCGCGATGCTGTTGGGAGGAAGTTTTCATTCCCATTTGAGCTTTGCAAAAAGTGGAGTGTAAGTATCTCGCTCTGAGAACTTCTGTGGCGCAATTTGGTTAACTCGTTCTTTAGGGTATGGAAGAGCTTATCAAGCAAGCATTTCTTCACGTCGAGGTCATTGGACAGCATGTCATTGACGGCCACTATGATCTTCATGGACCTGATGGTGAAATCATTCTCCCACAGGTTTGGGACTCGGTGATTGAGCCTGACTGGAGCATCACCATGCACATGTGGCCAATGCCTGAGCCTGAACCCGAACCAGCTCCACCACCACCACCACCTCCACCCGCTCCCGAACCTGTGGTTGAGGAGCCACCACCGCCACCACCACCTCCTCCACCAGCGCCAGAGCCAGAGCCAGCCCCAGCCCCAGCTCCCGAGCCAGCGCCACCAACCCCTCCGCCTCCCCCACCACCACCACCACCACCAGCACCGGCTCCGCCGCCTGCCCATGTTGAGGTCGTGGTTCTTGAGCGTCCCGTGGTAGATATTGTTTCAGCTGAACCGGAGCCGGCGCCATCCCCTCCACCACCACCACCGCCTCCACCACCCCCTCCCGTCAATGTCGTAATCCAAACTCGCACCGAAACAGTTACAGAGAGGGTCAGATCAAAACCGGCGAATATCCCGCCCCTTCTTATGTGGACTGCAGGTCGTTATGGATCCAAGAAGGGAAGAAGATGATCGACCTTCTATCCCCCGCGGACGAGAAATACGATTGTAAGATAATGAGATGGTATGATACGAACTGAGCGAAGAGGAATAACGCAAACAAGGAAAGGGAGTTCGGTTTTATTGATTTTTTGTTTTTAAATTTCCATTTTTCACTCTCATTTCTTATCTTGTCCTGTACTGTATGCATATCAAAGAGGTGTCGTTTTTCTTGGAAAAAAAATCAGGCATCAGCGTCGGCGCGAATGGTTGGAAAAAAAATATTCGGGTTTCTATTCTGTTTTTCTTAACCGTTAAATACCTATCGCATCACTTTTTTTTCCATTTGTCAAGTTTTCTCATTATTTTTTCTGCAAAAGAGTTAGCAACATAGTGATATAGTGATTAATAATAGAGTTACAGAAAATAATTATCTCCCTTTTGATATCGGGGGCGTGCAATCATGGATAATCACTCGGCACAATGTCTTGGCTCTGCTCTAGCCTATTCGTCAACCTTGCTTAGCTGTCAACCGTCCCGTAACATTCTAGGTTGCCAAACTCACGGAAGCCACTGATCAGCTTAGAGATGCCGGAAATAATGTCATTAAAATGGGGCGAAATAATCCTTATCCATTTTATCAACAGCGGGAAGGACACTACAGCTACTGCCTCTAGCTACGTATATAGGTATGTATATTTACAGATACGTATATCAAACCTTTGCCTAGCAATTATATGTAGTTCATGTATATATACCTATATGTGTGCACCCTGGTGCATTAAATAGAAAGGCAAAAAACGTTGAAAACACAGATTATAGGACCTCATTTCCTACAGGCTCTGCGTTAATGCGCGTCGCTCCAAATGGCAAATACCATTACGACCATTCTGACTAGATTTCGCGCGTCCTCGAAATCCTCAAGGTTTGTGGCCTCTATTCAAGACCGAGCTCTGTTTCGAAACATGATTTTTAGACGTATGTTCGTTAACTAGCAGTTTTCGGAAGTTGTGGGGGAGAAGGAAGTTTACTCTAAGGATCATAACAAGTACATATGTAGCTGCCTAGCTGTTTAGTCTTGGCATGGTTACTCCTTTGGGATGCTGAAGAATTAGGAACTTTGACGAACGTGGTTAGCGCTCGTTGATACTAGCGTGTGCTAATGCCTCACCAAAGAATCTCACCGGGTCGAGAAAACTTTGCCCGCTATCTCACTGCGTTGGGTCGAACCAAAGATAATTGTTATCATTGGCCCACTTCGGCCTCGATCAATGAAACGGGGAGTTGCCAGTCTGGGCTCTTGTTAGGGGATGTACACATTGTCCGTTCAAAATTAGACCGCAAGACAGAAAACACTCAAGCTTGGCTGCGTCGTGTAGTCCCAGCCCATATTTAGGTCACGTTACTGCGGTACAATAGATCAATCATATGAACCTTTTCTTAAATAATTGAATTAACAAAACATGAACCTGGAAAAAAACAGGTCTACGAGTGATGGCCTATGATTTAGACATCTGATCTACGGCCCATATGTAACCACCAAAACGTAGAGAGCATGGTGAGAGGGAGGGGATGGCAATGTTTAGCGGTTTTTATAACAATTGATGGCGCTTGGGTTTTATTTAGAGTCTGGTTTTAAGAGTTAGAGCCAATCCTCGTGATCGGTTATAGGGGTCAGCATCGACAGCTTAAGGGATAAGCTTATCTCTACAAAAGCCTATCACAAGCCATGGTGATTTTAAATTCGGGTGACATAAGTTTGCTGCCATTGTCTTAATATATCAATCTAAGTACATAGAAGCTCACCCCCAAAACACAGGAAAGAAAAAGATGATATGCAACGCCTCAAAACCTAGACCATAATTATACTTCAACACCAGCCTCAGCACCAGTTTCATCCTTCTTGACCTTCTTCTTCTTCTTTTTCTTTCCTTCATCGGCCCTACCTTTAGATCCCCCTCAGCACCCCCCTCAACTTCGGTGTCTTTCTTTTTCTTTTTCTTTTCTGTGCCTTCTTTTTCTTTTCCCTTGTCCTTCTTGACTTTCTTGACCTTCTTTTCGCCACCTTCTTTCACCTTTTTCACCTTCACCTTGGGAATCTCGAGACTATTACGGGCTTTGACCCGCTCTGTTGCCAGCTCCATCTCTTTCCTATACTTCTCCACCTGCTCTCTTGCAGCTTTAATGGCCTCTTCTTCCTTCTTCTTCCCTTCTCCCTCCCCATCACCATCAAGAGAATACCCCATTAAACCACTTGAATCAACTTGAAGAAGCCCCTTGCGCCCCCTACCCTTCTTCTTTGCCGCTTCCACCTCACCGACAAAGTCCTCACCATCGTCACCGGCTATGCCCTCGTCGGCCGCGATAGCAACCCTCTCACGTCTTCTCTTGGTCTGAGCCTTCTGGTGGGAAGTGGCGGGCGGTACATCCCCAAGATCAAGTTTCATAACGGGGATACTATCAAGATCAATCTCCTCACCCTCCCCTACGACTGAAGCACCGATGTAAAATGGGTCATCTTTGTTTCGTTCCCTTCGATCCCGTTTTCGACGTTCCAGGATGTCCGCATCTAGGTAGTCCTCTTCTTTCATGGCGCCTTGATAGCTTCCACTACCACTGCTGTTGCCGAACGCCTTTGCAGATGCGCTATCGACGCCTAGAGAAGCAGGAGTATTTGAAGCCTTTGGTATCGGCTTCTGGTAATACCACTCCCTAAATCCATCGTCTTCCTCGTCTGTTCCTAATGTGCTATCGGTATATTCAGCTTCCCGTAGCAGCTGTTGCAGGTTTGGATTGATAGGTTCATCTAGGTCAAGTCCTTCCGGCAATGGTACTTTCCGTTGCGCGCGTGGGGCAACAGGGTTGAGTTCCTGTCCTATGAACATGGCTGGTATCGCCTGTGTGAGGATTAATGGGGGGTCGTATTCTTCTTCTGCGTCCGGCATCGACGCAGGTGTTGAGGCGATAGCTTCAGATGCAAGGCGGAAAAGTTCTAGAAATTCGACGGCGCGCTCCTGTACTTCAAGATTTGGGGAAATGGCCAGTGGTTCGAAGAAAGTGATAACGCGTGTGGTAAGGAGCGTAACTGTAGATTTACGAGCAGGAGTCCACGGTGTATTCTCAGAACCAGTTATGGCAGCGTAGACTTTTGGAATTGCCTGAATATAAATTGCTAATATATCAGGTGGTAGGAGTGGAGATGACGAATGGAGAAGTGAGTTCAGCGCTTCTTGGGAGTCAGTCAATAGACTAAGTCCAATTATCAGTAACTTATCGATCTATAGAGGGTATGAAGGTGGTCTTTTCACCTTGAAAATTCTCCGGCAATCCATGCAGCCGCTCCAAGGACTCTCTTTCCTCCTCCACCAGCAGCGGGAAACATGCCATCATGCCTCCCTATAAGCATCTCTGCATATCTAACAGCTTCTGCCCTAACGCTTCGAACCCTGATTGCGACGTTCCTCAACTCTCTCCCAATTTCTTCCCCTACATCCTTCTCTTTCTCGGCCTCTGTATCGTCTTCGTCCTCGTCGAAATCTTCCGAGTCGTCCTGTAGCTCTCCATCGGCCAACGAAGAAACCGGCGGTGCATATCTAACTAACTGCACAAGTACATCCAAGTACCACTCAAAATCGCCCACATTTACATACAAATCTCTCGAGCACATTTCTATTATCCTCTTTATAACCGTCCTCTTGTACGCCTCTGGCAGCTCTAGCAAAACTAGCTGGCCTTTCCGTTTTCCGCCACGCATGACATCCTCCTCCATATCCTCCTCCTCACTCTCATCAGCAGCTCCTTCAAGCTCCACATACTCCTCCTCTCCTCTGTTAGCAGCTGGCTTTAGCTGCCTAATGAGCCGCCCAACAACTTCCGGTAAACTGTCGGAGTTAACCATTCCAACAACTAGTTCAAGCGCTCTGTAGCGGATACTGATATCCGTATCATCTATACAATCCAGAATAACATCTTGGTGCTCCGCGACAAGATGCGCATGTGTAGCGACAAGCTTAGTTAATGCTAGGAGCCCGACATATTTCAGATTACTGTCTCCTATTACCAAGAACCCGCGAAGCTTGGTGACACAGACGGAGGCTAAATCCTCGCCTTCATCTGTTCCTTGTATCCCGGCAAGAAGACCACCGGAGATGAGACCGTTGATACATTCATATAAGAGTGACATGGCAGGTGTGGTGCGGATTAGGTTTGTAATAGGTGGTGTAAGCTTCTTTATCAACCGCGGTTCGAGAGGAGTGAGGGTCGCGAACTATCAAGAGTGATTTTTCATGATCAGCCGATTTAAAGTACCAAGATCTGAGAAGAGGTTCGTACGAGTTTAATCAGTTTTATAGTCATCCAGTTATTCGGCGTCTCTGTGAGTAGTCTGAATAGCTGAGGGGCCAGAGGCAGGTAGTTCTTTGGATTGCGTCGGGCAAGTTCGCAAACAACATTTACAGTTGCTGAGACCACACTACCGTCTTCATCGTTCAGACATTCCCGTAAGCGTGGCCATGAGGTTCGGAGTAGCTCAGGGGATTGGAGGAAGCATTTGTAAAGCACAAGAACAGCCTTTTTCCGGATTAATGGGGAAGTATGGGAGAGTTTAGAGAGGAGATCAGGTGAGAGGTCCCGTGCAAGTGATGGGGAAACGATATGTGACACGCCGTTTATAGCCAGTGATATTTCGGGAGGATAGCGGGAGCCGAGATCCTAGAATAATTAAGGGTCAGCACATGGCCCAAATGGAGGGAAATGGTCGGCTAATAGACAGACTTTTTTGAGGAGATTTGTCGTCAGCATCAGTACGTCTGTGTCCAGTGTGAAGGTCTGTGTAGCCGCAAGGTAGCCTACACGTTTCTGCATAAACTTGGGGGAGCTCATAACTTCCAAGACGTTGAAAGAAGCCCATGACATATCATGTCCAAACATCTCCAGGTATACAAGTTTCAGTATAGCGGCCGCTTTGATGTCTATTTACCCCACCAAAACAACACCCCGCACCTAGTCAGCTCTAGGTACATTGTAGGAGGTGTTTCTCGTCGCGGAGACTCCCGGAATAGATAGCGCACCGATATCCTGAGACTTCGCTTCGTTCTGGCATTCTTTTAGTGAATCTAGCATGTACTGGCGCTCATTGCCTTTGTGAGAGCGCAGACCCCGTATAAGGTCGTAGAGTGACTTCTCGAACCTAGTGACGACGTGTTAGTTCGGAACGAGTTTGAAGATTATGGAGAAAACTCACATTGTTAATAGAGAAAGGAATCAGGATTAGCAGCGCACCGGGCTCGGGGTATGTCGATATTGAGGTTCCCTGAACCGGTGTTCCTATCAGACGTCAGAGGCTCCGTAGGCTTGGGGGGGTTAGATAGCTTAGTCACCAGCCAACATCGAGTTTGTCAAGTAGCATAGTAACCGCTAGAGCTGTATCTCTCACAACCAAATTTGTCATATAATTGTCGACACTACCAGTAATTCATACATTCTGATTAGGTAGAGTACTTCACTATCACTATATCATCGATTCTGGTTTGGACCAGTAATTCAACACTGCAGCTGCTTCACACATTCTGGTTCGGTACTAATTGTTAGCGCAACACAGCTCCAACGTTTGGTTTCAAGATGAATCTTCCTTAGTCATCTTAGAGTTCCCAACACCTTGCATCTTGGCCAACCTCTCACAGTTTCCAGGGAGAAAGAGTCTCAACCATTCCCCCTCTACATATCAAACAACTTAAAGTACAGATCGCGAGTCGAAATACACAGCTCTACATAATACATAAACAATCTAATTATGGCGATCTTATCCACCTTACTCTCTTACCTCTCCTCTCACCCATCTCCTCTACGCCTTCCCCAGACCTCCCAATACCTGTCTCAACAAGCTCCAATCTTCCTCTCCTCTTCCGATTCTTCAAAGGATACCCAAGAAACCTGGATCGTATATGAACAGCTCCTCCTATCCTGCCTTCGAACAGGCGATGACGCTAGCGCAAAGTTATGTCTTGAGCGATTGTCGGATCGCTTCGGGAGAGACTCTCCTCGAATAAGTGCGCTCGTGGGCCTTTATGAAGAGGCGGCAGCAAAGGATGTGAGGGAGCTGGAATCCGTGTTGAAAGGTTACCAAGATATCCTGAAAGAGGATCCTACAAATATGGTATGCACACTGTCTGCACTAGGCTTTCGTCTTGCATTTCCACTTCCACAAATTGCCAGTCAATCTGTCGATCTGACCAATTCGTCCGTGCTCGCTCGGAAAATAAAAATAACTAATGACGCGATATTGTTAATAGCCGATAGAGAAACGCCACATCGCACTCCTCGCATCTCTTAATCGTACGGAAGACGCCATCAAAGCCCTTACCGCACTCCTTAATCATTCGCCGAACGATGCCGAATCATGGTCCCAACTATCATCACTCTACTATACACAAGGAATGTACCCACAGGCAATATTCTGTCTAGAGGAGGTTCTTCTTATACTGCCGAATGCATACAACATGTTTGCAAGACTCGGTGAAATCAACTACATATCTGCACAAGGCACAAACATGGATGGCCTTATAGAATCAGTCAAACATTTCGCGCGAAGTGTTGAGCTGTGCGAGTGGTATTTGAGGGGATGGTACGGCCTAAAGCTTGTCACAGGGAAAATTCTGGAATTGAACCGTGCAGATAAGGCTGGCGGCATTGAGAGAAAAAAGATCGAAGCGCTTAACGAAATGGCAACCAAAAAATTGGCTGAGATTGTGGGCAAAGCAAACAGACGGGAAAGGGGCTGGGGGGGTTTCGATGAAGCCGAGGTTGAAGCTGCAAAAGCCTTGGTTGACAGCAGCGATGTAAAGACTGTACGATGATTGTCTTTAAGAGATTGCGGCCATTGGGTTTATGATAATACAGTCTTTTAAGAGCGGGGTGGGGTACTTGATGCTGGACATGGGCTTATAATTCTGGTGTTCTTTCTTTTTTGTATTTGGATTCTCGCCTGATTACATGAATCTCTTTCATTTCGGTATAACTGGCATTATTATTGGTATTGGTATTGGTATTTGTACTTCGTGACATGACATTACGGATCGTGGCTTCGTTTCATTCGCTCTACAAAACACTATTTCTCCCGCTAACTATATCAAAATTTCTTTATGTTTGTCTTAAAACCCCCTCGCTTCTTTTCTCATTTTTAGTGGACCTGTTAGAGGAAAGGGTATATTTAAAACGGTATGTTTAAGCGTGGGTGGATGTCTGGCAGGACAATCTGCTACTTATAGGTGCGAAAATAAAGACAGGCTGGGGGAACGTTCGGAGTTTAAAAATAAACAGGACGAAACGTACAGCCATTATATTACTCCAGAATATGTATTTTTACGGCGGCTTGGCTAGCTAGCCAAAGTCAAAAGAAACATCCGTTTTGGAAGAGACCACCGTTGCGGAAAGGTCTTGGTCCTTCACGTGACCGCCTTTTCCGAGCGAGATGTGATGATTCAAATATGGTAAAATGTTAGCATCTCATGGTCAGTGGCTGGTAATATCCCGAGATATCGTCGTATATATCTTATAGATAGTAAACAACGAACTTATTAAATAGCTATTACGATGCGGGTTGATCACCTACTATGATGGCTTGGGATCTTTAGACTCGCGATCGTGCGTGTAGTTTTGGTTGGTGAGTGTGGTTACGCGGTGGATTCGTGTTCACACAGGATCACTCGGCACTTCCAACGACCACTAATGTGGCGCTGGCGGAGTGCAGGCGAGGTGTCTACATATATATTGCCAGAGTAGCGCAATCAAAAAACTATACTCATAACTCATAATTACATAAGACAGAAGGACTTTGTGAGGAAATTCAAGGCATGAACCCCTTCTCCATTATGTCGGGACCGGCTAGTCGCTCATGTCACAATTGGTAAGCATAGTTCCCTTGCTGGATATGCAATTAATGAGCGTCTTCAAAGGAGGTGGTCTTCAATTTCATCCACCCGCAGCTAGTAGGGCTCGGGGTGATCACGTGAACGATCGGAAGACTATACTAATCTCCAGACGCCCCCCCCCCCCCCTATAGAGCCCGAGGCGACGTTCCGTCTATAACCGTCTTTCAATTTCTTAATTACAGAATTCTATACATGAGTTCCGGCCTATACCCAGAGGTATTGCATCAAGACAGATCGAGGCAGAGGCATGCATGTACCTGCGTCGAGGCAGTGCGAGGCGGAGATCTACAAAGCTTAGGCAACTAGCTCAACACATACCATCCTCTTTGAAACTCCCCATGAACCAAAGCAGACTGATCCGGAACTCCGACTCCGGCTCTAGGCGTACATAAATGTCTAGATTGGACCGTTCTTTAATCCTCCCTTCGTCTCTTGGTGGAGGCTGTTTATCTACAGATCTAGATATCATACATGCCTAGCAATAAGTACTGGGGTGGTATAATTTTTATTGGACGAAGTTACTTATAATTACATGTAATGGGAAGAGAACAAGCACATAGAGACATGTATAGTACCTGCAAGTGGCATGTCTACATCCCCACCATGTCCTCCGGGCTATATTAGATATTTAGGACATATCGATCACCGGTAGCACAGGCGAGTGAGTGCATTAACAATCCCGATTATCATTAAATTAAACATAGCAAAGATATGCTTGAAATTCTTCAGGCTGCTCCCGCTGCGCCACAATTTAAACACCCCTGTCAGAGATGAATTGATACTATATCCTCTGCAGGAACCTCTAAAGTCTATTTAAATGTGCCTGGATTGTGGTGACACACATCAAACGTATAGAAATGGTATTATCAAGGTGCTGGAGCTCTGGGAGCAAGTTGGTATGTTAGTACCTCACTTGTACTGAATAATGATCGTAAATTCTGCGCGTTTTCACCAGCACACACCCGCCATCAACGCACCTACAATTAAACAGTCACAGCTTACCGATACAGTTTTGGCCTGTGCATCCTTTAAAGACTGATATCTCCAATGTAGCCGCTAATAATGTACGGTAGCTTTGATCGTGATGGTTCCAGAATGTGACATCCATGTACATATGTAGCATGTTCGAGTACAAGGGGCGCTATGATTTTGAAAATGAAGGAAACTAATCGTCGTGTCACCAAGGCCACTCAACTTGATACTTGTTCATCCAATCCTTTGTAGCTTAAAATCTCTCATCAGCATATTGGTCGTACGTTGCGCGTGTGCGAGTAGAACGCCGTTAATATCAACCATGAGTTGGTGATCAAGTAAATCAGATGTGATGTGACCTAAGTTTGATGCAGGTACCCCACAAACATCCATATTTTGTCGTCGTTGATCGTTACCAGTGCAGCGCCACTGGGATTGATATTTCTCTTCACCTAACTTCACCGCGGGTTTATAATCGTTTTGGAGAACCTCGTCCGATACAGTTGCCGGCCACTTCCCTCTATTTTCTGCTCTTGCACTATCTCCGAGCTCAAAACCAACCCTGTGTGGTCGGGGACATGGACTTATAGTTCAGGCTATCAATATATCGAGGGCTTATGCTTCGAGCGGTATCAGTCCACCTATAGCTAGGTTTCGCCATAGCCTGGAACTCGGATAGCCACATCGATTGCTAAGGTCACAAGATATCGAAGTACATACCGCTTTTATCGTTAGTGCATACTTGAAATTATTTTATCCACTACCTTCGCAAGTTTGTACAACCATTGGATTTGCACCAAATAATAACGCCGATGATTTTCCGGGGTAAAGCATTTGTTACCTACTACAATCAAAGTGTAGGTTTCATAGAACTGCTTGATCAGAACCTCGGAGTCCGATGCCGAGTACTGCTTTCTAATAGGGACCTGAAATAACTGTCCCTTAGCCTCAGCCCTCGTTTCTCTTCCTTCCTCCTTGAGGCTCATCTTCTTCTCTGAGCCTAGTTACTGGTGACTTGTACATGTACATGTGCTATTCGCAGTATTAGCTGATCTGAAATTTGAGGGTTTAAGAATGAAGACCTTGCAGGTTTAATAGTAACAAGTCCCTATTAAGGGAGGCAGATATGGTTAGTGGTACAATGCCCCGCTTCTTTATTTAAGACTAGCATGTTTGCCTGCCAATATAGCGTGGGAAGATAACTAATCACTTGTAAGTGGACGGATAATATCGAACACATATAGGTACACATACCACTGATACCAGCGGCAAGTTAGGACCAACATCACCCATAGCCAGGGGCGTGAATCTGGGGCAAGGGCAAGGTTTCGCAGGGTGTGGGTAACACCGGAGTAGGGAAGGTTATTGAAGCCATCCACCAAGAAGATCCTTGGCTGTTCCTTGCATTGTCCTAACTGGGCGATTGCCAGTGAAACCAACCTGGTTATTTTGACATGTGGACCTCGAAGACAAGATTATTATACATAGCTTCTATTACAGTCGTTTCAGCAGACTTGAACTTGGATTACCGTTGCCCCGGATATCCTTGTTAGCTCTGGAAAGATACAGTAGTACTTGTAAGCACATGGTTTGTTTGTTAAGGCCCAAATCGCATTTTTTTTGACAACCCAGTATATCCCTTCACTTGGTACACTTGTTCCGATAATCCTGAAGCAATATTAGAGTTAACATCTAGAACCCGACTTAACCCAAAAGAAAAAAAACAGCTTATCCATCCGTCACTAACGATGTGGATGTGGTGTGCCCCTCACATTCGGGAAAAGGATATAAGGCCAATGATTCTGCCCAAGATCAAGTTTATGTAAAGCACCAAACTCACAAGCTTTCTTCTCCCTCTCAATCTCGGGTAGGAGGCCATTCACTCTTTATCCTCGAATCGTTTCCCTTCTCCGGTACCGCATAAGGGTCCTTTTGCTTCCCTTTCTATAAGCATTCGGCCGAAATGAAGCTTTCCGCCTTTATCTATGGCTCAGTCCTAGCTTCCCTTCCATTGTTCGCCAATGCCTGGCTTCCAGAGGGCAAAATCCGCGGCGTGAACCTTGGCGGCCTCTTCGTTGTTGAGCCATGGATGATGCAAGACGAATGGAGCGCAATGGGTTGCGCTGGAAAAGTTAGCGAATTCGACTGTGTTCTGGCCCTCGGCCAAACTGCAGCCAACGCTGCCTTCCAGGCGCACTGGAACCGCTGGATTACCAAGGACGATATCACCCAGATAGCCAGTCTGGGCTTGAACACTGTTCGTATTCCTCTGGGATATTGGATCTACGAAGATATCGTGTATAGCGACAGTGAGCACTTTCCTCAAGGGGCCTTCCAGTATTTGGAGCGTGTGTGCATGTGGGCAAGGGACGCAGGGCTTTACATCATTCTCGATCTCCATGGCGCCCCCGGTGCACAGCAGGCCCAGCAGCCTTTTACGGGGCAGTACGCACCCACCGCTGGATTCTATGTGGACTATCAATACGAGAGAGCCTACAAATGGCTTGAATGGATTACCAACATCGTCCATACCAATTCCAATTTTGCAAATGTTGGAACGATCCAGCTCGTGAACGAGCCCATCCAGAACTCTGGAACTGTTGCAACAATGATCTCCCAGTACTACCCAACGGCATTCAAGAGAATCCGGGCCGTTGAATCGGGCCTTGGTATCACAGCCAACAACTACGTCCACATCCAGATGATGAACGAGAAGTGGGGGTCGGGAAACCCCAATGCCAATATCGATAACCTCTACTTTGCTTTCTACGACGACCATCATTACGTCAAGTGGACTCCGGGTGTCACTGTTTCCCGAGATGGGTATATGCGCCATTCGTGCACTGATGACCGCAGTGGAAACTGGCCTGTTATCACAGGGGAGTGGAGTATCAGTGTTGCTGACTCTGCTGAGTGGAATGATGAGTTCACACTTGATCGTAGTGACGCGGTTGAGTGGTATCGTAAGTGGTGGGCGGCCCAGTTCTTGAGTTATGAGAAGATCGATGGGTGGATTTACTGGAACTGGAAGGTAAACTGGATTGGAGGGAGAAACGATTGGAGGTGGGGATATCAGCAAGCTGTAGCTGCTGGAGTTATCCCGACAAATCCGTTGGATGCATATAGTTGGAATGTTTGTGCTGGATACACTTGATACCTCTCAGGTAGTGAATTCCTCTAGTTCCGTCCGGAAGAATTTCTTTGTTTATGTAATTATGAATTTGTATATTGGGATAGGGTATGGTGTATAGGATGTGTTAAATTCGTTCGTTATAACCCTTTCATCCAACGTAATTGTCGAGTGATTAATGGTGAAGTATTATTATTCACGTAACAAGAAAGGGTTTGTGTAATCACAATTTATCACTCGGTTATTCCACTGGTGTTGTTTTCCTTAATAGGCAATGTAACTGCTGATTACTCTATGGCGGTGAAGGGATAGAATCCTGACCTTCGATAACTGGGCATAAAAGGAGGCCAATGACCTACAGTTCAAATCTACACCCTATCAAAACAAAACCAACTCCCCCATCAAAACTAAGATCCAGATAAAAAAAAAATACAAGAAGCTACGATATAAAACTTGGAGGTTTGTCTATGTACTAGGAGGTTGTATACTCCGGCGTGTAATGCAGGATTATGAATTTGCGCTAGTGTGTTTGGGAGGTGAGATTATGCGACAGTCCCGGCCATGGCCAGCAACAATGTATGAGCAATGACGTGCAGCGACCACAATCCAACTTTCTTGAATCGCCTTCGTCTAGCTTGATCATCAACCACACTGCGAGCAAACCCTTCATATGTCTACACAGATTTCGTTAGTGACTATCGGGAATGCTCGAGGGCGTGAGTAAAACCTCAGCAGACAAGTCGTCCATCAAACCACTGTCGTATATTGTCCAACTACCGTCGAACTCGTCCAGCTTCTTAACAACACGGCAATTGATGGGGATATATGTTTTTCGGCGATTGATGTATGCCACGATTGGTCTTATTAGTGCGTTGTTGACATAGCTTAGGTCTTTTGTGAATAAAGGCACAGAGGCGCGGACGTCGTTTAGCTGTATTCGGAGGTCCATTATAACGTACTTTTCGGCTTTCCTATCTTCTGCCTTTCCATTGTCGTTGTCAAAGAATTTTCTGGATGAGTTCGGGGATACTGTAGCTTCCATTCGCTCGACGATGTCCTGGACTAACTGGGTAAACTGAAGATCATTCTCTGCAGGGAACATGATGTCTGCAACGATATCAACATTTCCACTCTGTATCCATGAAAACATCCCTCCAGCACCGTGATTTAGGTGGTCGATTTCTAAGCCATCAATCCGGAGACGGCTGGTCTTTTTCCACAGACTGGGAGTACGGGAGCCATTGTCCCTCAGCATCATCGAACTTACACCATGGCTCTGCCTGGGATGTATTGTGAATAATGAGTCATCGAAAGAGCCAGACATCATGTTTGCGCTCAAAAAGTCGTAGAATAGCCATTGCTTCCTCAGTTGCGGAAGATCGCAAGAAAATATACTGAAAGAGAATGGGCGGAACCCATCTGGCTGCTGTACTGTTACCAAAAGATCTTCGAGCTTGAAAGAATCGATCTCAAAATCGCCTGGAACATGTTCGTGTTTGAAAGATCTGGGGTCAACACCCTCATCCCAGCTGACATGAGTTCGGTCGATTACCCCACGAACTCCTTTAATCTCGACATCCTTGAGAAGACCCTTGCCATTCATCCATTTTGTGAAGGAAAGGGTGACATTGACGGCATCAATAGTAACATCAAACTGGGTATAATTCGTATCCTCCTCTTCTGCCATAACCATATGGCTATGGTCCTTTCCACTTGTTTCATCTGCATGAGCTGCTGCAGCCGCTGCAGCCGCTGCAGTGACTGAGGATCCCTTACGAACGTTTTTGTTGCCTTGCTTTTCTCGACCAGGTCTACGGGATACAAAGACGTTTTTGAATGTGATGCAACCACCTTTCCAGCTGGGAACGATGGCTGACTCAAATACGACTTTGACCCCAGTTTCCTTCGTAAGATAGTTACCCACAGCTCTAGCAAGAGATTCCTGCGCGAACACAGTATTGACCAATAATATGGTCAATGAAACAAAAGTTGTGGTCCCAAGCACGATCCATAAAACCTGGCCTAGCAGTAGCCACGAGAAGAACGCGCTGAGATCGTCCCAATTATATGGTCTCATCTGTCGTATCATGGCCCATTTCGTCCTGATCCTCAACCTCTGAAAAAACCCGGTTGCTGCTGCCAACATCTCATCCTTTGTTGGCCGGTGGATGTGTGAAATCCGGTCTAAAAGTCTATTCTCTTCGGGGTTTTTATTCGATACATCTCTTTTTGCCGACTCGCCTCCTTCGCTGCTGTTTTCTTTCCCATCATCATTTTCACTTGCATTCCCGTTATCGTTTGCATTAACACCAATGCCCCTACTTGTATTCCCTACCCCCCGATCAATCCCACTATGAACCCCTCTCCCATTCCCACTTGCGCTGCGACTCCGGAGCGGTAAAGAGCCGGACCTTATCTTCGATAGAGTTTTCGGCTTTCCCCCAGTGTGGATACACCTAGACCAAGCAGCGCCTGCCATCCTCGACATCTTCCGTCGATCCAACACACTACTAGATGTCAAAATCCTGTCCACTGTGTTCGCAGCACACGATTTGGCCTCCGAGGTGGCTGCAATTGTCGGGGCATCTGTCCACACACAAACCCCCGCGAATCCACGAGAAATAAAGCATTTTGACCTTGGAGACCATAATGCCGCTGCCGCCCCAGCGGATGCAGAGAGAAATCGAGGCCTGTGTGAAAAGGAATGTATTGGTACTCGAGAAGCGCTTCCAATTGATGCTGAAGAAGCTAGAAAAGATAACAGAGAATTATGGGGCAATGGGAGGACAGCGTCCCAAATGCTGGCGTACAACCGACGGCCAGGACTTATGGCCATGTTCTCACCGGCATGGGTTCGGCTGAGGATATTATGGAGAAGGGTCAATGGTTATCGAAATTTGCTTTTCCGGGGGTGTGGTTTGCGGGGCGGAGAATGACGATATGATTTATTTTGCGGTTGCACTTTCACAAGCGAGAACCGGATTGGAACTGCTGCAGGTATTGCAGCTAGCTGCAGAAATCTTCTTTCTTGAAAATCTCAGTTCCAAGATTCCACAAAGAACAACATACCTACAATTGATTGACGTGTTTAGTTTCACCAAATTGGACCGTGTTTTGTACATAGCGAGAGTATCCTAAAGTATCGTCGTCACGTGCCCGCGCTTCGTTGCTCCATAGAATCTCACTCGACCCCGCTAACACCGGCCATTTCATTTCGCGTTCTTCGGCTGATTAGGAAATTTACAAAGTCGTTACAATGTAACAAATAAAATCCCAAAACAAGTTCATTTAGTCTTATAAACTAAAAGAAGGCCTTCCACCTCTTCCTAAAACCACCTATCTGTCGACTCGAGGCTAAAGAATGGAGACAAACTTATTTCTTCAGAGCATTTGTGTGCCAATTGCAATTGCAATAGCTAAAGAGGTCCAAGCAAAAAACCAGAACGAGCAATAGGCAGATTCAGCCCAAGAAAAGGCACCGTTAACTTCTCCAATAGGTGTTGGGCGTGCTGAATGCCCTGTCGGTGTGCTGTTTGTAGCTGGAATAGCACCTACGTGAAACTTGTTGTATGCATTAAAAGGGTTCGTTTCAGACTTGACTACGCTCGAATCTTCTACAACCTTTGCCAGAGGACTTTCGCTCGGGGTATCAGCTACACCCAGGCTCTTGGTCTCGGTGTACTGCAGATGTTGGACGGAGTTAGTATGTATGGCTATAAATGCAAAGGGAAGTGCCAAGCCTTACTTTGTCGGAGGTTTTCAATTCGTAAGATGATTCTGATACAGATGGGCGTAGTTCGGCAGGATCGAATTGGTCTTGCATTACTATCCTGCAGTAGTGTTGGCATGTGGGAGTAGGGTTGCCTTCCCCCAGCTGCGGATGTGCCCTTTGGCATTTCATCTGGTTAAGAAACCCTGATTAATAAAGAGAGGCCAAATAATTGTATTGGGGGCTTACAATGCAATCTTTAATCTCCTCTGGAGGTTCTAAGCCGTCATCGTGAGCGGATTTTCATACAGGACTTAGTTCTGACTAGGACCAAACATACCAGTAGAATGTAGTTCTCGCCTCACGAGTCCCGATTTGAACCTGTTTATGAAAGGACCCAACGCTTTATCGTAGCAATTTGAACGGCACTCAGTATAGCCTCTCATATCCACAGTAGGCGACATAAATTTGTCAGTGCAGTCAACCTAGCATCAAACGTAAGCGGTCTTATTAGATTTAATTTGCACGTAGAGAAAGGCACAACATACCACACACTGTTCTGTAAGCAGCATCTCGGAATCATCGGGGTTCTAATAGATACTGATATCAGCTATCCAATTGGAAGATATAAGAGATAATAAAAAAGGATTGGGGATAGATACTGGGCTTGCAAGGCAAGAATCATGACAATCGGTGTCCATGTCAAAGTAACCGTGAATCCAACAAATCTCTTTACATAATGATAATTTATCAGCCACAATCGGCGTGATGCCGACAAAAAAGAGCGTAATGAGAATCAAGAAAAGCTTCATGTTGAAGAAGAAGCCAGTAACGTTGCGGTATTGGATTTGTGTAGGTAAAGGGAAATGCAAAGAAACGAGAAGAAACGGGTTGAATCTCAATTATAAGTTGTAAAAGAGGAGTGGAATTTCTCGAAAGGAAGAATTGGACAGTGGGCTATATAGTGTAAGGGAGCACCAAAAAGCTACATATAACTCGACTTGTGGGGACGCGATTTGGACACATATCGGTATCCCAAGCTGGATAAGCTTAAGAACACAAGCGACAGGTTTCTCGGTGGCTAGCGTTATATATAGCCATGGACGTGGTGCATAATCTATACTGATTATATCGATACAATGCTTGATCAATTACTTCATATAAGGATATCGCGTCTGTACAAATTATGTACCATTACAACTTTGCCTTGGTCTGAGAAAATGCCACTTTGTTCTTAATGCTACCAACACCCTCAAGGCCAATCTCTACAACATCTCCGTCATTAAGCCACTGTTGAGGTGTTTTACCCATCCCCACACCTTGTGGTCTATCAGATAATTATCAGCTATTGATCATTCTTCGCATGCGAAAGCTAAGTCACTTACGTTCCGGTAAAAAGAATGTCGCCAGGCACTAATGTGGTTCCTTGGGACAAGAAGGCGATTGTTTTGGCTACTGAGAATATCATATCTGCGGTTGATGAGTCCTGCATAGTCTTTCCATTGACCTAGACACAAAATCGTAAGTATTTCTCGGCTGAGAAGAGCTGATCATCGCCATGATATGCATACCTTTGTTGAGATTCGAAGGCTTTGAGGGTCCTGGATAAGTTTAGGGCTAATGATAGCTGGCCCCATAGGTGCCCACCCATCGAATCCTTTACCCAATGACCTGGACCTGAATTAATAGAAGAACTTTCATGCTATTACAGCGCATTTACTTACCATTGACCGCCTCCTTTCTTCAATTGCCATTCTCTGTGGCTCACATCATTTCCTACCGTGTAGCCTAGAACATACTCCAAAGCCTTATCCTCCGAAACATCCTTTGCCTCTTTGCCAATAATAGCGACAAGTTCGCATTCGTAGTCGAGACCCGGGTCAGATTGGACAATAGTGTGAACGGGAATTGGATCTTAGTTCGAGAATTAGGACAGCTCTTCTAGAGTGTTTTCTAGACTTCCTAGTATCATCCGAAAAATGGCCTTTAATACATACCTGAAGGTCCCGCAATTGAAGTAACAGGTTTGTACTGATTCACATCAGCACAAGGAAATTCAAATCCATCAGAAGCTAGGCCCAGAACTCACGAAAACTACAGGAAACTTTGGAATTGGCATGTTTGACTAATGATAGTGATATTAGTGCCAGGCTTAAATCTGTAGAAGATCTATTTATTTGGAAGGCTATACCTCTTTTGCATGCTGCGCATAATTGAGACCTAAGCATCTTACAGTCTTAATATCTTCCAATGCAAGCGGAGACAGAAGTTTCCTGATATCCTGATTTAATTATAATTAGTAAGCTATTTATTATGCCTTATATAGGGTGATGTGGTATCGTAGGCCCATTAGTGTAGATATAATACCATAATCTTCTCAGTAACATTGTGGTTGGCATTAAATATATCTCCTTCAATAAGCTTGGCCTTGAGCGCCTTGGACACATCAGTAACTCCGTGGGGGAGAATGGCGTCTCCGTAGTAAGTCTTTCCGTCGCCAGCCACGAATCGGACAAGGCGCTGTGCCAGCAGGATTAGAAACAATAAACAAATATATCACGGTAGTAGAATATAATGTCATACCGAGAATGTACGAGATGACATAGCGAGAATGGTAATTTGGTTGAAGATGATAGAACTCTAAAGTTTTTGGAGTTAATTGACTGTTGAGTCGAGGTCTCATCGCTGTTAAAGCTACATCGGCTAACCGGCTATCCTCCCCACGCGTAACCTACCGCAGTACGCCAAGGCACAGCGTGAATGGACAGAGCAACCTCCGCGAACGATCCCCACATATATCAGTCACTCAATTCAAGTAGCCGCGCTTAGGGCTAGATAGTTGGTATGAAGCGAACAGGCATACAGCGAGATGTTCTCGCGTTATATAGACTTTGCTTGAGAGAAGCTAGGAAGAAGCCATCGGTATGTATCAGAGTATGGCGGCACTTCTATCCCTTTGCCAAATGATATTCGAGTGGAACGAATGCTGTCTGACACATACAGGATGCAAGGGAAAATTTCCGCAACTTTGCCAGGTTTGTTGATGTTTAATAAATGCCGTCATCTAAAACACTCTAAATGATATGCAGGGACGAGTTTCGGGCGCACCTCGATATCAAGAAGAAGGACTTTGCAACAATTGAGCACCTATTAAGAGTAGGACAGAAGAAATTGGAGACTTATTCGCAGCCGGGAATAAAGAATATCTTTCGTTGATTTCATATAAGGATGGAGGGACGGATCCCTATTTGGTTCAATTGCTCTTTATTGTACAGCTCCTGTACGGTATGATACACGGGCAATGCTTTAGATTGTTAAGGGAATTATAATTAATAATGCCGTACAGTTTATCTTCAATCTCGCGCCAAGTAGTTATACGAGTTGAGAGATATGCAAGGCGTCTATATATATCTTTATCGTCACAGGGAATATCACCCGAGTTTCCTTGATCACGTTGCATGTCCTTGTCTTCTTGCTTTCATCCTGCCGAAAAATAATATTTCCATGATATACAAATAACGGACTTCTAAACTGCTTTCTGCCAGTCAAATGGCAGCGGACGAGAACTCTGTGACTTCTTGTCTTCGCTTTCAAGCTCAAAGCACAAAATAAAAACGGAATTGGCGGATAAGGACAGGGGAAATCACAATGGTGTGCGGCCGATAAAACCTATTTTGATGTTGGGCCAGTTGGGCCGCCACAGATTGCCCAATGATTCGTTTATGATGTCTACCCGATGATACCATCCGCCCAGAGCTTTCGCTTCGCACCCATTTCGACAGCTGTAGCCCGACTTAGTCTTCTAATCTGGAGATATTTTCGATTAAGAGCAGCTACTCACCTGCTTCACCCCAGTCTTCCCCGTGATTGTGGCCATCTGCGGTTAACCCAGCGCGTTTCTTCGCTTGGTCTTCATTGAGAACGGTCTTCAAAATAAAGTTAGAACTCTCGCGTTTCGTTGGTATTAGAAGCAGATATTTTCCTACCAGCAGCCCAAAGATAACTGGGACACCAAAATCCAGTTGAAGCCTCATCAAGCCCCGGGAGACTGACTCCGCAATGTGTTCAAAGTGTACTGTATCACCCTTTATCAACACCCCGATGGGAATGATAGCATCGAACGGTCCTTTGCTTGAGGTTCCGGAGGTGGAGCCGGGGATTGGAGTTGAACTGCGACCGAGACCCCCAAGCAGGTCTCCAGAAGGAGCCGAGGAAGCTTGGACCTGAGAGGCAGCATACAATCTGAATGATCAAAGTCTTAGATATCGGCTTTATTTCAATTTATAAAATATCACATTGTATTTATGTGGGATGGATGGATGGATGGATGTAAATATGCAGTAGTTCTCTCCAACATATCAGGGAATAATGATAATATGGGAGGTGTTCTCAAACCGTTGAACGGCTATGGGTAGTTCCCAGCTACCAGGGACGCTCTGCGTAATTATATTCAATGGCTTCACACCACGTTCTAGAAGCTTTTTCTTCGCGCCTTCCACGAGAGGTGTGATTAAGGTAGGATTCCAGCGGGCGTGCACGATGAGAACACGGAGGTTGGTTCCTGAAAATTTATTTATTGGAATCTATACTGAAATTGTGGGGGTACTGATTGGCAAGAAGAGGAACAGTAAGCTAAGGGAATGGATGCAAAAAAAAACATACCATCCAATGCTTCAACTTCACCAGGACCTTTAGTGCCAGAGAACATCTTGATTTTGTTGTATTTTAGTGTGAACAACGAGCTGGTGGATAATTGGATGGATCGATTGGTTTGGACGAGAGATGGGGAAGAAAATGAGGATGGAAGAGCAGTCAGTGGTGGTAGGAGGTGATGGTGGTAGTGGGGGGAATATGTGAGTGTGGGACGAGGGACAACGCAGAGCAAATGGGGGACAGACTCGGTGGAGGGGTACGAATAACCACAGATTAGGGGTCCGGGGAACGAACGAGGGCGGTTGAAGAAGACTCGATAAGATAGATATCTCTAGCCCGATTAGCGGATCTACATACCATTTCGTAACTCGCGTTAGCTACCTACATGTAGGTAAGCAAGACAAGAGACGACAAAAAGCTTCTTTTAGCCATGCATTAAGATCCTATCCGAGTTCTTTTTACTATTCAATTCCTCTTTCCTCCTCGTCGACTCTTGTCTGTCTGATCACTGGCAGCCACGTCACTCGGGTCTTTAGCTGCACAACACACGTGACGAGTGCCAAGACTGCTGGTCCAGATTAGGTACATGTATTACTACTACATGATAGTAGGTACAATGATATATCTACATGTAGTACAATATATTGAGGAAAGGAAGGTTTATGATGGTTTTTTTACTATATATAGGTTGCGTACCATCATAAATTAAACTAATATGCTCACAACAAGGATCCCGGGAGCCAGGGTCTCGTGGGGCAGAATCTATCATGGGAATATCAAGATTTAAAAAGGGGTACAGTCGCACCTCGCTATGCCGGATGGCCAAGATTCACCAAATCTTGTACGGGATGGCAAGTGTTTCTGAGAAACCCAGGATAGCATATTAATTTTGTAGTAGAAAGGTAGAATTCCGTACGGGACAGCAAGGGACCCGGCATATTGAGTTCCGCCATAGCGAGATGCAATTGTAGAGTCAAGCGTATAGCCACATACGGATACATAAATACCATACCGTGGTATCCTCACTGCCTAAGTATGTATGTGGCTTGTTGGTAGAAATGGAGGTAAAACTGTTACCACATTAGTATGGGATTACAAGAACATACCGTATTTTAGCGGAGTATGCGGCACTGTCAAAGGCTGCAGTATTAATTTCATCCCCTGGGCTCGCGAACGCTTTCTTATGCACATACATGTAGCTAGACTAATGTTCCTTTTGCTCAGGTTATGTAATAACAAGTAGAAAGCTTAAAATCCATCCATCTGCAGGAGACCATTGAACTAGAGTTCTAAGCAAGGTATAAATTAATGGAGCTTAGCTGTGGGAATTAAGGCAAGTAGCCGGGTCGATGTTTGGACCTCCTGCGGAGTACGTTAAGGTTCGTTCAATGGCGCATTTGCAGTAAATGAATGAATTGACTTGCGATTTGAAAACATTTAAGTGTACGACTTGTTATACGTCCCACCTAAGTTTTCCTTTAATTTACGTACTACTGATGACGTTTATCAAAATCCCTTTCTTTCTGATCATAGGCTCTAATTGAGGGGTTTCCAAACATCAACTCTGCTAAACTGGCAAATCTAAACCCTCCTGACACACATGAATGACCCTGGACCCGCAGTACAGGCCCGAGAAAAGCAAGAATAAAACACATGAACTGTTTACGGGATTAAGCATACACACGGAAACAGATCAGTTACCTACTTCATGATCAAGACTGTCAGCCCCATGGCCCATTCCTGTCATATATGTAGTTTGTGATTAGCATTACTGAGCAGTGAGCACTACTGAAGCACAATAATTTAATCGCTTCCCGGCCCCTCTCACCGAGTCAAATCTCAGCTGAGATTCTCTGCCGGTAAGCCACGGGCTTTTACTCGCACCCAAGCGAAACAATAACATATCCTGGTTAGCTCACGGTTCAGCCTTGTCCTGTATGTGAAGTACGATATTACCTGTCAGTCTTTCATATCACGCTGACGAGCAGCAAAAGACGATATCTTAGTAAGTTAGGATCATTGTATAAGCACATATTTCATGATTCCAGGCCAGCGGCATGCGGTAGCCAAGCTTGAATCCTTGTAGTAGCAAAACTCGTGATCGTGACACAGCTGTAGGGCTGGAAACACGTTTTGGTCAACCAATCTAATAAAAGAACAAAGATACTCTAAATCAGCCGCAAAATTGTTTCACTCATTATCGTCGATGGATCTTGCCAAAAATCCAAACCCCTCAAAGCTTACCTAGACCTTCCTTTGCTCCGGGCCAAAGGTTCCTACAAACATCTCTGGCGCGTGGTTTCGTGATCAATTGCGCAAGTTACACAATTCACTGCCAAAAGCATTTCGGTCGTACGAAATTTTGGCTTTCGTTGGAGTCGATCCTTTTAAAGTTGGGAAAAGAAAGTCTCGGGGACATCCCGAAGCCCAGCCTAACCCTTTGCAGACGCCGAATCAAAAGAGAAGGAAAAGTTTTACTTTCAACTCGGCAAATTCGGTCAGATCATGAGCTGAACCAGGTTTCTTCTCGGGAGGATTATTGCGGGTATCTAATGAAGACACAGGGCCGATGATTGGGGTTGGTGAAGGATGTTTGTTTCTTTTTTTAGTACATCTGTCGTTGCTTGCGAATAGTCAGCCGCTTTTGAACATGGACAGACCCTTTGTTCTTTGCATGAGAAAAAAAAAAACTAGCTTCCCGGAGCTTTGAACTTTTGCAACGGAGGGTTATTCTTTTTTAATCCAAAAACAGAGCCCGCCATCCGTGCCGATTAATGACCAGATATGCGATATAGAACTAGTAACAAGCAGAGTAATAACACATTGGTACCTCATGGCATACTAGGGAGAGCTAGAAATAGTTGTACCTAGGTATTTAGGTATCATTTCACCCCACTCCCCACTTTCTATGAGCTTTGTTTAAGCCGGATTGAAGTCCTTTTTCCTATTTCTAGAAACACAGCCATCGTATATATGTAAAGAAGCGAAGAAAACTAGTGACCGCATGGAAAGCTACCCATGAAAAGGAAAGCTGTGAGAGAACGCCGAGACACAAGGTATCAAAAAAAAGAAGAAAAAAGAAAACGGGATCCCTTTTTAGAAATTCTGATAGAAAATAATGAGCTTCGTAATTGTTAATTCTCGCCTTCTATTCAGTGAGTAGAAATACTCACCAAAATGTCTAAGATATTGCGTGGCAGTTCCAGCGCACGTACAGGCCTTTTTTTTGCAGCGCTAGATTGAAATCTAGATATACCTCTAGAAGGACCGTGAGTAGCATGTGATCTAATAGGTGATCGGAATGCAAAGGCTTCTGTACTCCGTATCTAGCAGGTCTGAAGTGGGGAAAGAGCTGATCGGATTCCCTGTGGTCTGGTGGCTGCACAGAGTGGGCTGCGGCAGTCTTTCCCTGTCTTTGAAAGGGCCCCTTTCCGCCCCAAGGCTGGGCGTGCATGGGGTAGGAGGGGCTACGAGGGGTGTGGGTGGACCGTCGCGTTGGATGGGATAGCTCAAGCTGCTGTGTGCTGCAGCAGCCCGCCAGACAAGCAAGCAGACACGAGAACTTCCCCCTCCTCTACTACGATCTGATCCTCCACCTTCAATTCTCTGTCTCCACGCCCAGTCTGACTAGAGTACTTAAGAGCCCGCAATCCCTCCTACTCTGCCCGTCTTTCTTCCTCTCGCTCAAATCATTCCATCAACCCCACCTATCCACTTAACCTCCTCCAATTGCCCTCGTTGATTCACCTCCAACGATCTTCCCATCATTCCATCAATCCTATCGATTAATCAATCCATCAATCCATCAAGAGAATTCCCTCATCATCATCACAACCTCTATCTAGGTTGAATAGAATCCTTTACAGACTTATTTTCAGTTTATAGATATCACAATGTGGTAAGGAAAGCCCAAGCAGCTCGATCCATCCCCCCCACTAGCTCCCTAGCAAGAAAAAAATGAAATCGAAAAAAAAAAAAAGTGAAAGAAAAACATTTTGAATTGTAAGCTAATATTGTTGATCGATTAGTGGAATTTTCGGATACATCAATTACCTTGTTGAGAAGGATCGTAAATTTATCCTGGATACATTGATCCAAGGTAGGCTCAAAAAAATTGTTACTATTTTCGGTACGGAATTGACAAATCCGCTAACTGATAATTCTTTTAGGTCTTTCTCGTCTTGAGTACCGTGGATATGATTCAGCAGGTGTAGCGGTTGACGGAGATAAGGAGGGCGAGGTTTTCGCTTTCAAGGAGGTTGGAAAGGTTGAGAAGCTCAAGCAGCTCATCCATGACTCCAAGCCCGACCTTGATGCTACTTTCGTTTCACACGCTGCCATCTCCCACACCCGATGGGCCACCCACGGGCAGCCCTCGCGCGTGAACTGCCACCCTCATAGGTATATTTCCTTTAAAATAATTGAAATATGAACACGAATTGCGCTAATCAATTGTTTTTTTTTTTTTTTTTTAAATCAGGAGTGACCCCACATTCAGATTCACCGTTGTTCACAATGGTATCATCACAAACTACAAGGAATTGAAGGCGCTTTTGGAGAGCAAGGGTGAGGTTTTTGAGAGTGAGACCGATACCGAGTGCATCGCCAAGCTTGCCAAATACATCTACGACCAGAACAAGAGCATTGACTTCACCACCCTGGCAAAGTCCATCATCTCAGAGCTCGAGGGTGCTTTTGGACTTTTGTTGAAGTCTGTACACTACCCCCATGAGGTCATTGCTGCCCGTAAGGATCCCCTCTTGTCATCGGTGTCAAGACCTCAAGGAAGATGAAGGTGGACTTTGTTGATGTTGAGTTTTCCGACTCAATCCCTCTTCCGGCCGAGCAGGCTTCACACAACGTTGCCTTGAGGAACCTCAAGTCCGGTCCCCAGAACAGCTTGGCTCCTCCGGACAAGAGCCTTCTTCACAGATCCCAGTCTCGTGCTTTCCTGTCTGACGACGGAATGCCCGTGCCTGCTGAGTTCTTCTTGAGTTCCGATCCATCAGCTATCGTTGAGCACACCAAGAAGGTTCTCTACCTTGAGGATGATGACATTGCGCACATCCACGAAGGCCAGCTCAACATCCACCGTGCTGGAAAGAACAACGGTGCTTCTGCCATCCGTACCATCCAGACATTGGAGTTGGAGCTTCAAGAGATCATGAAGGGCAAGTTCGACCACTTCATGCAGAAGGAGATTTTCGAGCAGCCCGAGTCGGTTGTCAACACTATGCGTGGTCGTCTTGACGCCGTGAACAAGAAGGTTACCCTTGGTGGTCTCCGACAATACTTGAGCACAATCCGCCGCTGCAGAAGGATTATCTTCATTGCCTGCGGTACCTCATACCACTCCTGTATGGCTGTGCGAGGAATCTTTGAAGAGTTGACAGAGATTCCGATCGCCGTTGAGCTTGCCTCGGACTTTTTGGACAGGCAGGCTCCGGTATTCCGTGACGATACCTGCGTGTTTGTTTCCCAGTCTGGTGAAACCGCCGACTCACTGATGGCGCTGAGGTACTGCCTTGAGCGTGGGGCCCTTACTGTTGGTATCGTTAACGTTGTCGGATCTTCAATCTCACTCCTCACCCACTGTGGTGTCCACATCAACGCTGGTCCGGAAATCGGTGTGGCATCAACAAAGGCCTACACATCGCAGTTCATTGCCTTGGTCATGTTTGCGCTGTCGCTGAGTGAGGACCGTGCGTCAAAGATCCAGAGGCGGGCAGACATCATGGATGGTTTGGCCAACATCTCCAACCAGATCAAGAGCATCTTGGAGCAGGACCAGGCCATCAAGCAGTTGTGCAAGACCTTCTTCCAGAACCAGAAGTCGTTGCTTCTCCTTGGAAGAGGTAACCAGTTCGCTACCGCTCTTGAGGGAGCGCTCAAGATTAAGGAAATCTCATACCTCCACTGCGAGGCTGTCATGTCCGGAGAGCTTAAGCATGGTGTCTTGGCTCTCGTTGATGAGAACCTGCCCATCATCATGATCTTGACCAGGGACGAGATCTTCAAGAAATCATTGAACGCTTACCAGCAAGGTAATTTCATACCCAAAGACGTCCACTAAGAGTCTGAATCTATGCTAACGTCAAAATTAGTTACTGCTCGTGGTGGTCGCCCAATTGTCATCTGCAACAAGGATGACGAGGAGTTTGTCAATGAGAAGTGCGAGAAGATTGAGATGCCGACAACTGTCGACTGCTTGCAGGGTCTTCTCAACGTTATTCCCCTTCAGCTTGTTGCGTACTGGCTTGCGATTGCTGAGAACCTTAACGTCGACTTCCCAAGTATGTTCATCCCTATTATATCCTTACTCAGTAGATACAATTCTCTAACATTCAACAGGAAACTTGGCCAAGTCCGTTACTGTCGAGTAAATGCGCGGGGTTTTCATTATGAGGGAGGGAAAAATGGCAGTTTTTTTTTTTAATGAAGCGGTGATTTTCGTTTTTTTGTTGAGGGCTTTCCGAGCAACAATACCCGCTAGGAAAGACTTTCTTCTGTTCTTTTTGGTTTAATCATGAATTGTGGAATCCTGTCCCTCGTAATTGGGAGCGACTGCGTTAGATTTGGGTTTTTTTTCTCGAAGTGAAGCAGTAGTTGTGTGTGACTCTTTCTTCATTATGCATGTCGCGTGTGGTTTCTCTAGAGCAAGTAGAGTAGACTCTAGCATGACCAGTCTCTTGGGTTCTCCAACATTGCTGTGGTGGTGCCAATCAAAGTGTGTAAAGAAGAATAGATGTAGGCAGCCAGGTTGATTCTGCCTTGAGCGATTGAAGACCCCTAGGAGAAAAGAAGCGAATCTGCGAATTACCGGTCGGTACCTGTCCATCCTACTGGCCCAGCGGGAAGAAAGGAAAGTGGGAAGTAAAAAAAAAAAAAAAAAAAGATGCATGCATGCATGCATATAACCTTACCCTTACCCTCGATCCTGTCTAGAATCCAGATGCAATTCCTCGGGCCAAGAAGTAAAGGTCTGTTTCTCGCAATTCCGATGGCGCAAACACGACAATTGCAAGCCCAATAACGGCATGCCAGCCAGAATCCCATGGTGACGTCAAAGCAGGGGGTATTGGGTGGGATGGACTTGAAACTTCTTCCCCCCTCCCCTCCTCCCCCGTTCGTGAAGAACTTCTTTTTTCTCCCCGCCGGTGTTGGTTGTCGCTGTCTCGCTTGTGGCTGAGCGCCGGCGGGTTTGTGCGTTGCGTTGCGTTGTGTCTGGCTGGTTGTTTCTACCGCACCCACCATCCCAGTTAATGCCAACGCCAATGCCAGATCGTGAGAGCGCCGGAAATCTGGCAGTGGGAAGGGAAGGCAAGGCAAGGCAAGGGAAGGATGGGTGTGGGTGCCGGGCGGGAAAAGGAAAGAAATTAGGACAGCCCGGCTACACAAGGATGCCAATTCTGGTTGCGCGTTCTGTCTGTCGCGCGTGTATATAAAAGTAAAAATGGTCCGCGGTACAGTACAGTACAGTGCTGTCTCATGTCGTTTCCGCTATTTTGGCCTCTTTTTTTTCTTGCCTGGGCGGGTATGGATGCATGTACATGTATATATGGATGGCAGTAGGGTGGTAGGGATTGCACTGTGCTTTGGAATTGGGTGTAAGTGCCCTACATGTACCGGGTGGGTGCTTTAGGCAGGCAGGCAGGTGGTAAGGATTTGTGCCTGGGGTGGAAGAGTGGTAGAGTGGTTGGGGGGGACGACGTCACTGAGGTGGTGGGTGAGAGGACGAAGAGCAGTGGACGAGTGAGCGGTAGAGCAATAGAGCAGGTAGACTCGCACAGTAGGTACCTCCATGCACATGTAGACGGCCCTCAGCAAGAACACCGTCTGATCGGCCAGCTGCTAAACTAAAGAAATCAAGGCCACCTTTTTTATATCTGTGTCTCTGTGGTACCGCCCCGCCGCCGGTGTGCTGCTGCTGCTGCTGATCATCTTCCTCTTCTTCCCTTCCTCTTCATCTGGGCGCCTGTTCCTGTCTCTCTACTTCCTCTTTCTTTCTTTCTTTCCTTTCCTCCTTCTTTCCTTCTTTTTACTTTTACATCCCTCTATCTTCCTCGACAGTGCACTCACTGATCGTTCGGAATTTCTATTTCCACTCTGGATCCCCTCGTTAATTAATATCCATACACGGCGGCATCTAGGTGTCCTTGCGATAAAGTTGTTATTGCGGACTACCGACTCTTTCCCGCTCGCGGCATTTCGTCCCCTCTCCTCCCCCTCCTCTCGACTCCCATTGAGAAGAAGAAGCGTTAAAGCGGGGGACCAGCACTAGAGTGGAGTGTGTTGTTAATTCTTGTCATTGTGACTTGTTATTATTACCTAGCTGCCTGGCGGCTATCACCAGTTCACACCTCATCATTGATCCCAGGTATGTTCTAAAAGCACCCGTTCGCTCGTTCGGTGACAACCCAGCGCAAAGCGTCAATCCGCCCGCCAGCCCACCCACCACCACCGCCCTCACCTCCACACCATTGCTAACTCCCGCCCGCCCGTAGCTCCCCAATAGCTCCCCAGAGTCACCGCCGCCCACCATGTGCATGATCAAAGTGCGCCCCGAGATCGAAGAACCCGCCGTCGTCCCCGCGCGCGTCATCCGCCACAACAGCAGCGCCCGCCGCAACAGCACCCACGGCTCCCGCCGCTCCCACACCTCCATCCGCAACTCGCGCAACCGCTCATCCCGCTCGCGCTCGCGCTCCCGTGACCGCGAAACCACAACCGTCATCGAAACAATCAAAATGCCGCCGCCCCCACCCGCAACCCACAGCGTCGACCGCACAGAGACAACCCACACAATGATCATCCAGGGCGGCGCCGCCGCCGCGCCCCCGAGCGACTCGCACTGGGGCAGCAGCGGGTCCCCGCGCGCCAGCGTCATCAGCACGCGCAGCAACCGCGACGTCGACTACTACGTCGACTCGTCGGCCAGCCACGCCGGCGGCCGCTCGCCGCGCGCAAGCGGCATCCGGTACGTCGACGGCGGGCCGCGCGGGTCGACCCATCGCATCACGGACGGCGCGGGGAGCAGCAGGGGCGAGCTGGGGTACTCGGGCAGCCAGCGCGGCGGTGGCGGGGAGCGATACGGGTACAACAATTTCCATGGGAGAAGGTCCGGGAGTGTGTCGTATGTGAATCCGCGCCATTCGGCGGTGTCGCAGCGCTCGAGGGAGACGAGGGAGAAGGTGGTGGTCGTGGATGAGCATGGGAATGAGAGGTACTATTAGGGCGGGAGTGGATACGTGGGGCGGGCGGGCGGGAACTGGGGTGGGCGACCCCACCACGTGGTGATGATTATGGGACTTTTGTTTTGGGCTTCTTTTTTGGGCTTGTTTAAATTTGCGCATATGCGTATCCTGTTTGGAGGGTTTGAGCGCCGTGGTGGTGATTGATCTATGAGTGGGATATATATACCGGCCATCACAGATGCGCCGAAAGAAACCTTGGTTAGAGGGAGATGGGCATTTGCGATTGACGGTAATGAATATTATGAAATCCATAGCTTTTTTCTTTTTAGCGGGGGTCTAGTTTGCAATAATGTATTTTCCTTCAGTTTCTCTTTTTCATACAGCTTCTTGTTCTTATATGTATCAATGATTTCCTTATGTTCTTGCTTCCTATATGTGTTTTTGATTTCTCATTTCATTGCTGTATGTATATTCTTCCTCTATCCCACCCAACCACAACACCGGCATACTTTATTTCCTTCCTTCCTTCGGCGTGGTTTATATTCTATTGTATCTACATTTTTTTTGCAGTTCATGGAGCGGAGCGGCTTGCCCTTTTTTTTTGTCTGTGTGTTTCTAGTTATTCTACATGCATGCGATTCTTTTGTTTTTTTTGACAAACCACCCACGATTGAAAAAAAAAGAAGAAAAAGAAGAAAAAAAGGGCCGTATAATTAATTAACCCCAGAAGGTTTACCGTCTATTTTCGAACCGCCTCATTACATATAATTAGTACCTCGGCCTCCCTTCCCCTCCCCTCCATATTTTAGGTACTTAAAACCCAAATACCAAGGTTTGTAAACGACTGTCATGGCATAGCTATAGTTGACCTACTCAAGCGGGACGTAACGGCTGCCAGGACGACATGGTCGGCAACTCATCCTCGTCCATCACGCTGCGGGCCTTTGCGTCCTGCCTGCGAGGGGGCAGAGCCGGGTTTGGGTTTGACACGCGTGTGTCATCCCGGAAGGTATAAGATCGTGCCAAAGTGTTGCCCATGGGTAGTGGCATTGGCGTCGTGCCCACCCGCCTAGGGGGCGGCGGAAACCTCATTGAGGGCGTGACATCTCTTGTAGGAGCGGGTCCGCCAGTCAAATTATTACGCGGCAAAGGTACATCTTGGTCGAGTAATGATGGTGATTCTTGATGGGCCCGCGAGGAGAGTACTGCTGGCTTTCTGGGGATCGCCGGAGGTGCTTGTTTTGGGGGCTTTGCAGTCGAGGGATGGGACGACATTGGTATTTCCGGTGCGCCCTTTCGTGGTGCTACTGGGGGGGTACAACTGATTTTCGCTTGACGGGCTCCAGAGGGGCAGGTAGTCTCTGCGGGAGCAATGGAAGGTCTGTCGGATTGAACGGCGGCGGGAGCTTTCGAGGTCCAATCTTTGATGGTGCAATGGAAATCATGCTGCTCGAATTTGAAATTGGCTTATTGAGATCATGTTCGTCCTCCCCTTGGGTCCTCTCGATCCAATTAGGTACGGATGTTTCGGTGAACGGATTTGCTAGACGCTCCGGGTTAGGTACAAATTCATAACCCGGGGGTTTCACAGTTGATTTGGCAGACATTCCATTGTCTAACCACCATTTTCGTTGCTCTGAGCTTGGTGGGGGTACTACGCATACAAAAATATCAGGGATCCAATCACCCAGAATAACAAGGTTTTAGATATCTTACGTCCGGGCTCCAGTGGCTCAAAATCCAGAAGATCATCTTCATCTTCTATAAGGTTCCCGGAATGACTGCCGGACTTTCCAACTTCACTCTTTCTCTTCAAGTATATCTCCCTACTCATCTTATCCCTTACGGTCTCATTCACCACTGATACTGTGCATTGAAAGGTTGCATACACGGGCCGATGATCTGAAAAGCGTAATGGTGCGCAGTTGTAAGAAAGCTGTCGGAGTGCATTACCTTTCTTTAGAACTCGATCACACCATGCTGGAATTCGTGCCTTCTCACTTTCGATGCACTCCGCTTAGTCTAGGACAATAAAGCAATCGAAAGCAAACACAAACTTACGAAGTATCATAATTATCAGTTCCAATGTCATATTTATAAGTTGGCGGAAATGACAGTTTCGCTTCAGAGTAGTATGGAAATGTTAGACCCGCTTCCATTTGTATATTCAACTACATGTATTGTCAATACAATACAGAGTTCAGTTATCATCATGTCCCACAAACTCACCTGGTCATGCTTGCGTAAGGTTTGCAGGTCGTCATGTTCCACCGCTTGAAGGACCCTCTCGCGTGTAAGTCCAATTCTGTAATTAAAATCTCCCAACCAAATCACAGCATCATGGTCGTCAATCGCGCGTCCACGTGAGAACCTTAACCCATGCGAGATAGTTTTATAGTCTCTATTCCGTTCATCGTAATTCGAGAACCCTGCAGCAAGATGCGCCGTGACGAAACAGATTCCCGTGTTTGCATAATCCATCCGGATAGCAACAGCACCCTTATTACCGGCTACTCCCGACATGCCCGTCTAAACACATCGGTAATGTTAAAATTCGCAAAAACAATTTTAGCTAACACATTTCACATGTTATCAAGTACATACCTTTTTAAGACTTCCTTCTACATTTTTGATGTCTCCGATAGCACTTGACCTGACAAATATTAATAGAGCAGCCCCTACCAACTGTCCGCCACGCAAAAGGATATATTCCTCTCCGCCCAATTTTTTGGATCGTCTATTCAATGTTTTTTTCACGGCCCGTTCCCATATCTGTCTCTTTTCCGGGGTAGTTGCCATTATTTGTTGTGGACTGAGTTCGACAATCTCTTGAAAACCTACAACTACCAATTCTGGCTGTAGTTCAGCACCTTCGAATGGCGGACACAGCCATCCGGAAAGATCGTCCTCAGAACCGTTGATTCGGCCATTAAGATTGAAGGTACCAACATAAATATTAATTGGCTTATCGTATGAATATTCAGGCGACCTGTTTTTAGTAAATACCGTCAACTTCGCGCCTCATTGCTATTTTGAGGGATTATACAACCTTTTATTTAACTCGGCCATTACATAATCGTTGATAGGATCATATAAGTATGCTGCTTCTTGACCAACTAATCGTCCCTATAACATAAACAAATTTTCAGTCAGTACCCTGAGGTCTATCACTCTGTTTCAAGATGGCCCCTAAACATACCAATAAAACATCGATCGTGTTTTGTCTGTCTTTGTCTGCGAAGTTATTGATATAAATTCTTGTAGCACTCTTCCGAGCATCAGCGAAGGCACCGGCTATGCTCATTTTTCCCGTTCGTGTAAAGCTTGACTTCAACGCTCCAGTGCCAGCATATATTTTTGATAATGCCTTAGAAAATTCAGTTACCCTAACCATGAACATTGCTTCAAGGAAACTCACATCACCGTTATCTGCCCACAAGCTTGAGTGGCGCATCCAAAATTCTTGGCCGACATTGTGATTGAGATGTTCTAAAAAGGCCTCGATAGCCATCCGACTAAAGATCCCCTGTACAAGGTTGGTTCGATCCAGACAATCCAGACAGTTTGTCCTAAAAACACCTTCCTGCTGTAAGACTACACTGTCGGCCCCACGTTTCTTCTCGGCTTCATAAACTTCCTGGTCATCATGAGATTGGCCACGAGCTTTAACATCAACGTTTTCCATTAGGAAGAAAGAAAATGAGTCCGCAGATGATTGTATAAATTGCCTAATCCTGTTCGCTGCTTCAAAGCCGCCAGGACCTTTTGTCTCGGCATGGAAGTCGAATTCAGTCGAGATCAACAAAGAAGATTCGCTCCGGTCCGCTCTTCTCTGCCCGTTATCGAAGGGAGATTTTGAAATGTGTTTCATATATCTATTTGACAATTCCACTTCGCCGGGTTTCGTCTCCGAAAGAAGGTTTACTATGTGTGTTGCTCCATATTTCAATGTAATTGTCTCCATGTGCTTGTCGAACGCCGGTTGGGTAGCCTCTGGAGATCGTGTTATCTGCACCTTCTGCTGACCTGGTAAAAGACCTGCTTGCTGTTCCCAAAAGACTAGAGCCGTTTAACTGTGGTCAACACTCATGAGTCCTGGCAAAAGAAAGAAAAAACTTACTCGGAATACTCCCTCGGATCTGACAATAACTGAAACCAAGGCTGCGACCATTTGAACCGGGATCCCATACTACAGTTTCTGTTTCCACAAAATTTGCCACATGTCCATCATCATCGATACCTCTCGAGTTAAATCGGGTTCCGGCCCTTCGACAACTAAGCCTACTTATCAATGTTAATGTAGCCGGTAATCCTGATGACCTCATTCTCCCCTCCATTTGAGTGCTTGGACGAGGTATCAAGAGTGATTCAACAAATCCACGGATTGTACTGGTAAGAATGTTTGAATTATCAAGTGCAGTACGCTCTGATTCCGAGAGGCGAGATCGAAATTTGAGTAGCGGTTGAATCATATAAGAGTTCCATAAAAATGCATCGTCGAAATTATCAATATCGAAATTATTGGTGTCGAGTGATCTACGAGTGGTCAATGTGACCCGAATCAGCTCCGGCTCTCGAATTTTAGGTCACAGAAAAGCATGAAGAGAATCGGATCGATTGAGAGTTTCTAAGTCATAAACCCATGTGCCGTTCAGGTTAACTTTTGGGTAATGACTCTCCTCCTAACCCAATCAAGTTGTAGATTGGTCTCAACGAGAGAAGATATTCTGTGCTCTTTTTCATTCTCTCTCTCTCTATCTCTCTCTCTATCTCTCTCTCTCTCTTTTTTTTTTTTTTTTTTTGAATATTGTCGATACATGTATCTTTGTAATCCCTTACCGGTCTTGTAGTCGATTTGTCAAATCAAAATCTCGAGAATAATAGAAAGTCCCATCGCTGAGAAGTTTCTTCAGAGCCAAACATGGATGCTCCAATCCGACGGGCTGCTGACTTCGGCCTTGATCCCAGCCATCAGAATCGACTGAATATGGGTTTACTTCATTGTCAAGAAAATCATCATAATCGGTGCGATTTAGACAGTCTTAATAATATATCAGCTTTAGATCTCGACATCTGGCATAGAACTTTGGGGCTTACGGAATTGAACAGCTTGAATTCTCAATACATTCTCTCCTGGACGGACTGAAGCAACTTCTTTGGCGCCTGTCACCACACATATAAAAATATCCCCGCTTAAGGTTATCAATCCGAGTGTACCGAGACAGGGCTGATTTGTCAAACGTCTATAGTCACTGAGATCGGCATGCTCAAGCTCGACGAGCTCCACCATGCATCTTGGAGCATTTGCAGAAGATGAGCCATTATTCTTATCGCCTATTGAAGCATAGGAGTTATGTGGGCTAGTGTGATCACCAGTGTGCTTTTCGAGACTAGGGGAATGGCGAAAGATTAAGGCATGGGATTGTGTCACTAAGGAGATTGAGCGCTGCGGATGGTGATCCTTGATAAGAATATCTATCGACATGGCGAAGAGTGTATTGAACTTTCATGAGCGTGGTGTGATGTGTGCGGAGCTATGAATTAAGTAGTGGATACCAGTAGTCAACGTTAGACCCTGCCAAGCGCCAGCAGTTAAGCATGAAGAACACGACGTGTAATTTAAGCCTGGCAGGGTCCAAGCTTACCCGGACAGCGATCATTATTTAAAATTAAGGCAATGACAGCAACGGAGTATTTATGTCGTAGGCCGATCCCGTAGCCATGGATTGGAGCAAGAGCACCTACTTGGAGTACTGTCGTTCACGGGGTATTGGCGGATACTGGGTGTTGGCGGATTGAAGCCAAAAATTGGCTTGGCTGTCTCTTTTTAGGCTTATCCGCCAACACCCAGTACCCGCCAATACCCCGTGAACGACAGTACTCGTATTTCTCTGACGTTTGTGGACGCGACTGATATTGCATACAAAAATACGCCAAGCTCATGATTTTGGGTGTATGCAATAATGGCCCAGTTCAAACACGTCAGAGAAATACTAGTAGAGCAGTGAATCACGCCTTGCATTGTGATGTGTCAGATCACTGTCTCGTATAATTGTAAGTAGATAGAGTAGATCGTGCCTACATGTAGGTACATGTACGTACCTACTCGTCAACGTTTCCAGACAGGGCCGAGTTTAAATTTGTATGGGCCAAATCTTGCATGAGACCCTTAATTTTGGCGGTATGCAGTTCGAAACGTTATAAATTCACGAAGAAAATTGTAGCTGATATGGTTGCTTATATACAAAGACAGGTTGAATTCCACCTGACATTTAGAAACCTAGAGTACCTACATTTAGTTTTGTAGGTACAATACTGGAGCCTCGCCAGCTGGGCTCTCATGTACATGTAGGTAGACGCGATATGTACATACTTAAACCCTCACTATGGCTGTGATCTCGGATTTAACACCTCTGAATATTCTAGTAACCTTGGCGATCCTATTATCTACATGTATGTACTCTACTGTATGAGTACAGTACTTATGTGGATCTTTTCTATAAGGCTGATTCGAGAAGTGCATCATATTCCAGGGGTACAATGCCTGCACAAGGTTGAAAAACTAGAAAACTGAAACTGAAACATGCCTATGGGAACCGCGTTGGTTGGCGTACGTGACCGCAGATGAGCCTCTATGAGGCTCATCTGTTCCTCGATGTGGCAATGAGTCGGCCATACGTCATCACTCGGGGATAAAAACATCCGGGCCGGACATCAGATTTATTAAATATGCTGCCTATGCTCATAAGTATTTTTTCGCATCTTGCTCTACAAATCTTTTCTGCTCACTTTCAATATTGTCCGGCTCGCCTGAGTTATCCGAGTTTCTCTCCATGTCAGACGGTCAACTGCAGAACAATGTGGATGAGGACAGTCTCCAAGCTATCACTCGCAAAGAGAGTCGACTGGAATCAGTCAAAAAACATTTCCCATATTGGATATTCCCTCTGATATCTGCCGCAACTTGGTTTGGTAAATAACCTTCAGAATGGGCAAAAAACCATTAACCATAATGCTGACCTGCTTTGTCCGATTGGTTAGGGATATTATGGGTTTTGATTATAGTCTGGTTGGCTAAGGGTCAACCAGTGTACATTTCAATGACTGGTAACCAAACAATTGCTTACATCTCAGATATAGGTACGTACATTATCATTCCACAAAACTTGGAGCGGATTTTAGTAATAATTTCGATATATATATAGGGGCCTCGTATCTTAAGCCTCTATTTGTTGTGGGATGCTGCATTACAAGTTTATTCTTTTTCCTCTCGTTGTGTGCCATGCGTAAGTTGCGAGCTGCCGCACAAAGATTATTGGATGGCGAAGTACTCACTTTTGTATAGGTCGTAACCAAGCATTGGTGCGACGTCTTGAAAAGGGTCTTGATTGGGCCTCAATATTGGCAGGCGCGATGGGAGCTGTATCACTTATCTTATTGTCTGTATTCGACACGGCTCGCCACCCTTCGCTTCACAGACTCTTCTTGTTATTATTCATGCTAGGAGTTGTGTTATCGGCACTTTTCACAACCCTCGAATATCGACGCTTGGGCAATGTTTTCATTGAACGCTCGTTTCTCAAGATTAGCTACAGGATAAAACAGGCTATCGTGGTTCTTGAAATTTGTCTGTAAGTTTATATACTCCATATACATAGCTCTCTTTTTAAGCCAGCTTTATTCTAAATAAATATACAATTAGATCTATTGTGTTTGGTGCTACCATGTATAAGAAGAAGCACAATGTTGCAGCCATATTCGAGTGGTTGGTTGCGTTTATCTTCACATTTTACGTCCTCTCATTCTTTTTCGACCTTAGACCCAAGGCCAGAACTAGGGACGAACTGGAGGCACGCCGTGAAATGATTCAGCAACAAAGAGCTACTGGCCAATTGGCTTAAGGTATCGGTGAAGAATTTATTCTCGGATAAACAAAGGCAGAAAACGAATTCTAATTTGAGGTTTGGCGTTCTCTTTTAAGTTTTAGTTTTTTCCCCTAGATATAGCTTCTACCGGCCAATGGGAGGAAAGGGGGCAATAATTGGCACTTTAGTTTTTATCTACGTACACCGGCAGGAGTTTGGGATGGTAAATTTTTGTTAACACGCACTCCCCTTTTTGTTTCATTTTACATGTGCAGCTCTACATTTATTGTTTTTTTCTTTCTTTTTTTATAGCACGGCGTTAACGGCATATGCATCGCTGCATATTATAAGTACATGCATGCAAGGTCCTCTTAGAATGTATCTCCCTTTGCCCTAGATTCTCACAAATTTAGTTTACATATAATACACATGTATTTTTATTTGTTGTTGCCTCTATATATTACATTGTAAAGGTAACTTAAACGATTTGAAATTTACTACTCGTAATTTCATGAAGTTTCCAAACACAACCGGCCGGTCGATAGAGCCCAAAACTTACAAGAGACATCCAATTTTGGTAAGAAACGTCATAAAAGCATATTCAAGTTCGTGTGATCATCCACCCCACAAGCCCAGTATATATATTCCAGCCCCTGCACGCAATTCCCTACACGATATATGTACTGCATGGCACAGCACAGTAAACTACACGCATACACGCACGTACTTGTGTGGGTAATTTTTGAGGTATATATATGCCTTCTTCCAGGGGAATATACATGGTTACGATATTGTCACTATAATAGAATCTTCCTATATATATAAGGGTGCGCTCGTGATCAAGACCGGAGGTACGAATTATCATTAGTGACCTTATATATAGGATCCGACTACTATACATGTACATACCTACTAAGTGTTATTATATAACGTAGGTAAATACATACGGAGTGTATTATTTTATTGTGGCTAATAAATCAAAGAACTATCTCTTTATCTTGATATTACGGTACTTATAAACGACATTGAGGTTCACCCCCGGGCGGGTATGAGTGAGTTTTCATGAGGATACAATAAACGATGCTTAGGGTTAGGGTTCAGAATTTCCATCTATGTAACTCGGCCTCAACCTCATGCAACCAAATCACAACCTCTGATTCAACGCAGGAAAATCAAGATGTTGTGCACTCGCGGTATCACGCGGGCAATCCGTCCCATGACAAGTCTACCTCTCAAGTCCCTCTTTAAGACCCTCCCCGCCAGGTACAATACTTATCCCAGGAGATATCTTCTCAAGCGCTGTATTCATCTAATAGCTAATCCCTATTTTCTAGGACATTTACATCTCTCACTCCTCTTCGGCCATCGATATTTCCTTCTATCTCTTCTGGCCTGGCTGTACCGACAAACATCACGTCCATTACGGCAGCAACTACCACCATCGCTCCGCGCATAAGTTCCCATCCTGCACTTCAGGCTCTGCAGGTTAGAAACGGGCCAAGAAACACATTTGACCCCAGTCATCGTGTTCGAAAGCGGAGAGTAGGCTTTTTGGCAAGGAAGAGGACAAGGGGTGGGCGTGCAGTATTGAAGAGAAGACAGCTAAAAGGGAGGAGATCTTTGAGTCATTAGATAGGAAATGGATTGGGGTCCACAATTAACCATGGGGAATTGTAAAATTGGGCTCAGACACATGAGAACCAGATGTTTGTGATTGAAATGAGTTCGGATGTACCGAATCACTTCACAATCAATCATACTAAGATGCAACGCAAAAATCTGAACGGGAGACCACAATCTCTATATCTGAATGTACAATGATACCTTTACATATCCTTATCCCTCCTTTTTCTACAAATCATGCACCATACATCGCCCTCGAGGGGGGTCTAATTGGGCCCAGCCGGGAGTCAACTTTCTCCCAATCTATTCTTTCCCACAAGTTCTTTAGATACTCTGGCTTACCCCTGACACCATAATCCACGATCCAAGCATGCTCCCAGCAGTTGATATTCATGAGAGGAATAAATTCTTGTGCTCCGTAAGGCTTGTTAGCTCTTGCAGTAGCGACACTGTATTCAGCACCTCGCTGGAGTTTGCCAGTAGTATTCATGTCCGTTTCCTGGCGTCTATGAGCCTGGCCGTAAGGCGAGCCCGCATTGTATGTGCACAGGATACGGAGGCGCTTTCCCATGTCAAGAACCAACCAGACCCAGCCGGAACCGAACATGGCCTCAGCCGTAGCGAGCATCTCTGCCCTCATCGATTCGGGGGAGGCGAAGGTGTCTGGGAGATATCCAAGAATTCGGTCGGGTATTTTCGTTTGCGTAGGAGACTAAAATAATCCGAACAGTTAACATGAGTGGTATCTTCGGCGAAGATTTGAGGAAGAATTATTTACCAAAGCGTCGAAGAAAAAGTGATTGTTGTGGGCCTGGGAGGCGTAATTGAAGGTTGCGGCAAGGTCTGCCTGTCGGGAGGTGAGAATAGATATCTCAAACGCCGACTTGTCTTCAAGTTCATGACCTGCAGCACCACATTTCTCAAATTAATGTATATTCTTCATAGCCATCGCAATTCGGCGGAATAGCACTAGGGAGAGCAATCTTCTCCATACCTGCTGTGAGAGAATTGAGCTTTTCTACCAGACCTTGTTGGTATTCCGTCCATGCAGTGTTGAAGGCCTTAGGCGAGAAAAGGTCCGGAATACCCTCATGTGTGAACTGGGATTCATGATACAAGGAGGGGCGATCGTGGTATGATCGCCTTGAAATATTGACGTACGGGCTCCTCTATAATCAATCTTGGATATTAGATCAAAGGAATTAATGGATGGGAGCAATAAGCAAAGAAAATCCCCCGGAAAACATACGGCGAGAGGTTGAAAGGTGCGCAAAGCCGACCGCCGGAATAATGAAGGCGCGAACATGATGAAGATATGCAGGAATGAATTCCAAGTTATCTTGGACAGGCGATTCTTTTTTAGTTGATGCTGAGGTTGAGAGGTTGCTAGAAACGTGACCTGCACATAAAAATCTGCTGGGAACGGCGGTCGGTGGTGGGGCTGGTTGAATCGGGATGCATGATCTACGGAGCCGCAACATCTGTCGCACATGGGCACGCCAACCATGTGCCTACATACATGTATTACCGACCTTGTATCGCATATCACACAGCTCCATACAGCTTACGGGATCACTGCTATTAGCTGTAACTTGGAGTATGCCAGGTTATATCTGTCTACCTGGTTTGGAATATCAATAAAACAAAGTATTTACTACACCTCCGCCCTCACGAGTGACAGCATACCTGAGGCATCTCTTATCAGCGTACAAATCGAAACTAAGGATTGCAGCTCCATCACCCCATCCCAGCAATATGGAATCATCGGACTCAAAATCGATCCGTAAAGCTATCTGGTCTGGTTCTATCCCTTGTAAAATACTACTTGACCCTGGAGAATGCCGTGTCTTTGATGATTCAGATCCATATTACGCACGTATTCCTCCTCCTTCCCACTCGCCAATCGCTTGACCTGGTTTCTTGTGCTGACATTATGGACCCCTATTAAGCTCACTATTCCGCGAATATCTTATCTACCACTCTTTATTCCGCAAATCTACAAGTTCTTCAAACATTTCCTGATTGATCAAGAAGTCTCGAAAGAGGAGACTGCTTGGTTTGAGTTTGAAAGCGTTCCTCTCAAATGGTTTTTCCCACTCTTATTCGAGCCCGTATCATTCCAATATGGTTGAGCTAGCCATATCTCTAACTTGATTTTATAAAATGTAGGCACTGGCCTGTTGGTCTTCTTTATGATCTCTTTACTGCGCGCGACCCCTCAAGCAGGGACGTTGAAGATGAAGAACATCAGTTACCATGGACCTTGATTCTTCATTTCCGAGACTATCCCCATAAACACCTTATGCGCTTGGATAATCCCGCAGCCTGTCATGATGCTTGGATGAACTTAGTAAAAGAGGTCAGATCTACCACACTGGGCTTGGTTGAAGTAATCTCACGAAAACTAGGCAGATTATGTCCGCCACGGAAGCGCAAAAGCAGTCATGAACCTGACAAAGGCCGAGTCCACAGGCCTCTGGGATTCTTTGCAGTCATGTACGCCCCCTTCACTATCTTTCTACTATCTTCTAACAGTCCACAAGACGACTTTGATAAATATTGGAGCGTCTACGATAAGCTCATCTCTCCCATCTCTACGCCTACCCGCAATATACCGTTGAGAGTTTATATCCCTGGTACTGGATCTCGGGTAATCCAACGCCCAGTTCCCCCTCTTCAAGCATCTCGTATGTATCTCCCCATATAAAATTTATGCTTTATTCATTTCATAATCCGTACCCGCTCCTATCGTCACTTGGAGCTTATAGGATTATATTTCCCATAAGAATTCCCCCGGGCTGCCATTTTCTTCCATGATCTTTAGTTAACAGTGTTATAGGTGACCATCATACCGTCGGCACGGCCCTGCACCTATTCGTTCCGGAGCTCTTCCCAAGCCAGCGAGTATGTGTATTAGCGAAGCCTGTGATTCATGGTGTGGTAATAGCGATGGGCACACCACTAATAGATCTAATGAGGGAGGCTGTGTATCCAGATGGGTTCTTGCATGTGTCTTTGGCCATGATGGCATGATCCTCAAACTCAAATAAATTGATGTGGGGCGCTTTAACGCGAGTACTATCTAGGTAGGCGTATTGGCAGCTTGTTGGAGTACAGATTTTAGGTAAAGGTCATTGGCGTTCTTGTCAGGGAATGATAGATTGAATCAAGGGGGTTCTGCTTTTCGTTTGCAACAGCTGCATTTTCTTGGTTTGATTGAGTTCCAGGTACCCATGCAATGATTTTGCCCTCTGTGGTGGCGGAATATATATCCAGATGACCAGGCCTCTGCACAAGAGCGTTGATAGTACTGGTTCGCGGTATCTTTAAGCGCTTGACTAATACGCCTTTGTTCAAGTTGAACCCCAGTATTGAGGAATTAGAGGATGTGAAGACAAGCTGGGGGTCAGAAATTTGCAATGGGGTGAGAATAGGATTTACTGTCTGGTTACGGCGGTTACGTATTGGAGCTTCGAATTTAGTCTGTAGTAAAATATTATTAGTTCCTTGATTGTGATGACTTGGAATAAGGAATTCCTACCATTATGTTTTCCCCAGTTGACATTCTCCAAACTCGCATCGTGTCATCATGCCCTAATGTTACCAGTTGCGCCCCGTCCTCACTCCAACTAACACCATTCACAGGGCCGTCGTGCGCCAGGTTCTTGCCGTCAACCTTATAAGAACCCGAATTGGTCTTATCAAGACATGCTAGACAGCTTGCAGCCCGCCTGATGTCCCATAGTCGGACTGTTCCATCCGTCCCACCGGAGGCCAGGATATATTCATCCCTCGGCGACCAATTTATTCCAAGAGTTCCAGCACCGATATGCCCCACTAACGAATGTATGTTTCCGCCGGTATTTAGGTCGAGAAGCCTCACAGCAGGGAACTGAGAGGAGACTGCAACCATTGTATGAAAGGATTTGGGGGCCATGACTGCTGAATAGACGATTTCTTCTAAATTGAACTCGGTGACATATTCCATGGCATTTGTATCCCATGCTTTGACAGTCTTGTCAAAGGATGAGGTGATGAACAGACCGTGATCTGCGGGGTAGAAAGATATCGATGATATGGCATATTTATGCGACTTTGGGCTAGGAAACAAACAACCAAATTTAGTGTTTATAAAAGAAAGAAGGAGACGTTGAATTGATCCAGAGTGAGGAAAGATTTGATATCCGCGGTGGCTTACCTGGGTACAAATTCGGTAGGTTCAAACCCAAGTTCTCTGTCAGGGGTAGAGTCAAGATTCCACAAAGAGATGGAAGCGTCAGCACCAGCTGAAAGCAAACTACAATATCTATGTCAATGACTGCCCTGTCCTGACACATGTACACCCTTTGAAACATACAATTTAGAGTTTTGTCTTTCGATATCCAACGCGTTGACTCCCATTGGATGTTTTTCACTGAATGTAATATTGGAAGTGCTTTGGATGGAATACATGAGCTTTGTGGTATATCCAAGCCTTAGGTTAGTAGTTGCTCGCTCATCACCAAGTTCTCGAGAGAGGAGTAAAATATCCATCCTAGAAACGTTTTGCTGAAGGTTGTTAGAATGGGGGGTACAGTAAATATTGTGATGATGCGTCATACATGCCAAGGGCCTCGGTTAAACTCTAAACCAACGTCCTTTGCTGCTGCACAGCGTCCACACCATCACCCTGGTGCCCTGATCCAGACTTATTTGCCCAGGGTCTCACGTGCGGTGTGTGGTGCTTGTCCCTTTAAAGATAGACCTGAGCCCATGCAATCTGGACCCTGAACAAATATATCCTCGGGGTTTACATAAAAACAAGTCAAGCAGCTCGCAACAATAACATCAGATTCTATTCTACTTGTACTTCTTCAAAAGTAACTTCTTTAAATATAATATTCAAGCAACGATTGCTGGTAGTTAAGTTGCACCAGCAAAGAGCCTATCATTTCATCTCTAATTTTTATTGGATAGAAACTTAACTGACACCTGAAAGGTTCTCTGTGCCACCATAGCGAGGAAACCATGACGCGTGTGGCGCCCGTTGAGTGCCGGCTAAACCCTAAGTCAACGTCTTGCGGCTCTTGCCATGCGGACACTATCCACGGTAATGACAACAGAGCCAGAAATTTGACGCTCCAAATTGAGTACGTCTGCAACCAGATAAGCAATCTTTCAGGCTTAAAGCTGTATTATGTGACATTCAAGTGAATAAAAAGCAAGGAAGAACATATCCATGCTGTTCAAAATTAGTCGGCACTAAAGACGATAGACCCTTTCCGTTCTCACTAGGACCCTCGCGCAGCATACATGTGCTTATCTGATCCACCGCAAAGAAAGATGGACTCACTTTGAAGCAGTCAACCAAAAACATCAGAAAAAGTCCAATACCCTGCAAAGATTTACAAGTTCTTCGTATTAAGCTGTGCAGGTGATTTTATTCTCCCTCATCATGTTCAGGTCAGTCATCGGGTGAAGTAGGAGAGTCGGTTGGCACCACGTACTGCTTCTCTATCCAATCCCATCTGCCCTCATCTTCCACGTTGGACAGCTCAAACCACAAACAGATTTCTTGGCAAGGCGGATGCCTCGAGTACCCGAAAGGGCAAATAGATAAACGGTTCGTAAATGATACAAAGACAGAATAAAACCTCAGTACATGCGAGATCAAGAATACGTGCGGGATAGGTCCCTAATAAAAAGGTCTTTACAAGAATAGTTCATCAAAAGGGGAAAATTCACAAATATAGATGCCAATAACCAACATGAAAGTAAATACGCACAATATATGGAGAAAGGGAAAGAACAAACGACAGAGAGAGCAATATACAAAACTCATGGTTGCATTTTGAAGAATTAGCATTTACTGCTGCTAACTTCAAACTCGCTTCTAAAATAATTCGCCAAGTAACTTTATATTGAGCCATATCAAATCAAAAGAAATGGTACCAGTGGGGTATAGATATAAACCGTTAAAGACCAGAAAGGCATTAATGATCACCTTCCAGGCGGTGGTTTTTGGTTTAGCGAGGATGAGTGCGTCTCCCTTGAGGTGGAGGTTGACATATTGGACGTATCATGTGTGGCTTGGTTTATAGTTGGTAATTGGGAGGCTGATTGATACCCATGATAGCTTGAATGTGAGGGATGGCCCATAGGAGTTGGTGGCGGAAATGACTGATGATGTGAAAATTGTCGAGGTGATGGTGGAGGGGGAGGTTGTGGATGATGAGGTCGTTGATCAAAGTAACCGGGCCCAGTTGTTGGCCCAGGAGTGGGTGGAGGAAGGGACGGGAGTGAGCGATGGGAACGACCTCCATCGTCAAAATTGGACATTGAAGGTGTTAGTGAGGGAGCCGTTGAGCTCCCACTACTACTGATTGAGGCTGGTGTTGGTGGAAGCACATCGTCAGATCGTACACTTGACCTACGCATAGCTGGATTTGGTATTGGTGGCCCTGGCCTTGATAATGGCTGGGCTCCTATCGGAGGAGGTTGGTGTCGTAAGAACGAGGATTGCTGCTGTATATGAGGGCTTTGTATGGTTGGGTGAATACGGGGGAAGAATGATGGCTCTGCGTCGGCAGTTGGAGCAACAAGAGCTTCTTGCTGCTGCTGTTGGGTCGTTCTGAGAACAGCATCTCTGTAGCGGGCAACGTCTGAAGGTGACCTCGACCGGCGCGGTGGAGAAATGGCAACAGGCTTGGCTGCAGAAGGAGAAACAGATTGAACATTCATATGATGGAAGGCGTTTGAAGAGTCATGACCAGAGGGAGAGGCGTAGGCACTTTGTTCTGAGGATGTCGCTGTTCCAGAGCCAGCACCCCCGGTTCTCCCAATACCACTAAGAAAGGGCGCCGTAGCGCTGATTCCACTATTTAAACTTCCGCTGCTACTAACAGTGCTTGCAAATACTCCGCCTGCAGAACTGGTTTGGCCTTCGATCTTAGGTCGTTTTCGGTTTGCTTCGGCTTGTTCTACTATAAAGGTAAGTAGGAAAGAACCTTAATCGGAGATTTTTCGAGGCTCACCACTCCCTTCCCTACCTTCCTTTCCCAGCTTTGACCTGAAGTCTGAAAGATATTGAATGTACTCCCGGTAACTCTCAGTCTTCTTATACTCCTGCATCTCTGAATTATACTTCTCTTTGGCTATAGAAGCTTCAAGCTCATACGTTTCTTTGTGTTCTGGATCGAGAACCTTCCACTTCTCGCCAACAAGCTTGGCAATATCAGTAAAAGAGAGATTTTGCCCTTTGAGTTCATCTCGTACACCTTGAAAACGAGCTTTAGCAACTTGAACCATCTACTAGAGAGAAGTACGTACGATTGGCGAACATAACATATGCGGATGGAGGCTTTTCTGGTGCCCGTTCATCAGGCTTCGAGAGGGCGACGTCAGCAGCTACATACATTCGAGAAATTACTTCACTCCTTCTTACCTTTGGATGCCGACGATATTTTCTCTTTCCTGTGGGAGGTATTCCTCCCTTTCCGGGATCCGATTTGGAAGAGGGATGCTCCTTAGGGGATAATCTCTCGTCCTCAACATCTTCTGCAGGGTAAATTGGCGGTATTGACGTTAACGCTTGGTGTGGTGGAATACCCCTCGCACTTGCAATCTCTCGTTGTAGAATCTAACAACGATTGATATCAGCAAGTACCCCTGTTTATATAGATCGATGTGGGAAAGCAACAGATATTGGCAAAATCGACGACAATAAATTCAAACGTGGTGTTCGAATCAAAAAGATACCAAGAATATGAATTATTGGAAAGTTTTATCTTACCCTTCGATGACCTAACTTAAAATTGAGGAAGCCGCTGGACCTTAATTATCAGTAACCTGGTGTATCAACCTCGAAGAATATGTCTTACAGATCCTGCTCCGTGATGTCCATAACAGCCTCCCATTTTTCGAACCCCTCATCAACAAGCCGCTCTAGGTACTGCGAGAGTCCCAGTCGGTCCAACAACTCTCCCAGATCCGTCATATACACGGAAACACTATCACCGGGGTGAAAGCCGCCCTCGAACAAGAGGTTTCCCCAGATGGCGTCGCAAATGCCTAATCCACCAACGTTTTTTGCTGTCACTTTCCGTTGTTCCACGAACAACTTGTTAACTTCGTTTCAGGAACGTAGGCCGATAAAGATGTATTTTGGTCGCCAACGTTCGAGCTGTCGGTGTTGCAGGAACGCAGTCGATGTGTTTGAGCAAGTCCAGATCATAACAAAAAGTCTCAGACTAATATTTTGTCGAATTGAAGCGTATTCGCAGCTCTCCCTCTCCAATAAGAGTAATGGAAAGGGAGGCGGGTTTAGCCCCAAGGTGGCTAAAGCGTAAATCTATCAGATACGTAGAAATGCAAGATCGAAGGCGTTCTGATCTGACGAAAATTTCGTAGAAACCCAAGGCGTTGATTCGGCTTAGACGGAAGAGTATAGTCAGATCTACCAGAACCACTCAGCCCAGCTTTTGTGACGCCCACCCGGTTAATAGATACACGGCAGTCAACCTTTAAGGAACAATTTGCACCAGAAAATGATGCCAGAATAAGTATGTCACCGGGAGCAACCAGTGGTTTGTTACGAAACTCGGCGATGCTTAACCGGATAGGATGAAAGGGGAAAAAAAAACAGCAAAGAAATTCCTAATAAATAAATAGATGGATACAATTCTCTAAGTCCCGTAAATTGGGATATAAAATATATCAAAATGGATGGCCGGTTTACGAATATGGAAGTTTTGGGGTAAGAGACTGCCGGAGCAAGGTGTTTGCGTGACACGATATCAGAACCAGACCCGTTCTCATCGCACACAGTTCAGCACATTGTTCACGAGGTTCCGTGGATCGAAATTTCTGAGGGTGATCACCCGCAACGAAGGTTATGCCAAGGCCCAAGAGAATCAAGTCTTTTGAGTTTTTTCTGAAAATCGCAGTCTCGGAAGGAATGATGCCGTTTAGTTTGAAGGACTGAAATGGAACAATATCCTGTCGATCAGCCTGCTGTAACTAAGGGTTTACGGGAGGGAGACTGACAAGAATACCACACGCGAGAGGCGTGAGTACGCGAAATTCAAAAAGAGGAGGAAGGGGGAGGTGAGGTGAGGGGATTGGGGGAGGGTTCAATGAAGTGTGGTACTGGAGCTGCTAGTGGAGGGAGCAGGCGTAGAACGTATTGGCAAAAAAAAAGAAAGGAAAAAGTGCAAAATACACCGTAACCCTTAACGGAAAGAAATGGGCCGATATAGGAAGATTCGAATTGATATTTGCAGTAAGCAGGTGCAAAACAGTAGCTGCAGCTGCGATGGAAGGTTGCGAGGACTCAAGGGGAACGATCGTTGCAGCCGGTAGCCAGTGTAGAGTACCGACTCTCAAGGATATGGTAAGGGTAGTTTTACTCTACTGTAGTTATAAGGTGGGGATGTGTAATGACGTTGTTGTAGGCGGGGATGGGAGGACAGGAAAAGGAAAGAAAAGGCTTTGCTTGGTGTCGATGCTCTGTCACGTATGTAGGTGGTAGAAAGACTTGTAGAGTGCTGTTCTATGACTTGTAACAGCTTCCTTGAAATTTCCACAGTTTTACCTACCTTCGAACGACAGCCAGCCAGAATAAAGCGTCTTGCGCGGGGTCCACCGAGACACATAAATAACAGCCCTTCGCCCCCCCCCCCCCCCTCTTTGTTACTGCTAATTAGCTATTGCAATTGGCAACAGTCTGGTATGTACATACATACTTAGCAGTGCTTGCCGGTGCTAAGTAGCATATCTCGCACATACACATGTACTTGATACACACCAGTTGGCTGCTTCTGCTGCTGCTACTCTACTCTCTCCGGCTCACGGCTTAGGAGAGGAGAGGAGAGAAAGAGAGAGGAGAAGAGGGGGACCAGGGGGGAGCAGAATAAGATACAGTGGCATTGGTATCGGTGGTCATCGGAGACGCGGTGGACCTCTCAAAGGGGGCCGTTGACAACTGCGATGTTGCCCTGTTTTTGTCGGACACATGCACAATGACGTCGGCGGAGCTGTGCATGGCTTAGTTGTTATTTCAAGGGACCTCCCGAAAGAAGAGCGCTTGTTTTGTACCAGGCAAAAACCACGACTCATCACGGGCAGACACCCTACAAAAAGGGCTGCCGGGCGCCCGGACCCGTTCAACTATTCGATTCTTGATTAAAATATGCAGATGTGTCAATCTTGCATTGAGAGAGAGAAAACACAAAAGTATAAGAAAAAGGGAAATAAGCTCCCCCATCTTTCCCATCAATTCTGTATTGCCATTTACGTTAACGGGGGGGGGGGGGGGGGGAATTAAAGAAGATATTGATGAGTGAGAGTGCATGGGTAAGTGAACGAGTGCGAGTGCTAAACACACAGGTCCCAGGAGCTGGGGAGGGGGAAAAACAAAAAAAGGAGGCTGGACATTGCTTACCCGTCTTCACATAAGAGCACCCGACCTATGACGCACATTGATGCCAGGTCCACAGAATTGGAACGACGGGCACTTAGTCGCAGTCTCGAGACGACGAACGACAGGGGTGTCTTAATTGTGGAGCCGGTGAACTGAGCAGACATGGCCCATACTGAAAAATACTGGACAGCGGGGACAACGACGTCGGCCCACCAATCACCTTGCCAGAACTAGCAGGGGTGCTCTTGGGAGCCAAGGGAACTGCGATCGCGCACTCAAGCGAGATCGGTAACTTTTCGCGGTCTGAAACGCGCCAAACATTCAAAGAAGGCGGCTCCGGCCGCAAGTAAGGGTGCCTGAATGACTTCGCGAAACGGAAGATCAGGAAAGAAAAAAAGGCTATATCAACTGATTTAAAGGAGACTCCTGTGATGAGGTTTGTTGGTTCTCTGGGGGATCTTTGTCAGCGATGTGCTGCGAGATGCAACATCCTAAATACCACTCGATACATGCCTTGACGTTTTACTGGCAGTCCAGCGCTTTGCGGGTACCGGGTACCATTTTTTTCTCTATGCGGAGTATTCGGTTCTGGAAGCGGCATGTATGTGTATGTAGGTGAGGTTAGGTAACTTTTGTTACTGCAAGGGCCGTTCTCTCTATGTACCATTTGGGGAAACGGTTCATGCATCAGCATCATACGATGGGCACCTTAAGTTCATGTATCTAACAGCCTCAAGTCATCGATCATCGTATCGATTTGTGGGTAGGTTGTTTCCTTTTTCTTTAGTTTTAAATGAGGACAAAGAAGGGAGCATGGAGAGGATGAAGAGGAAGAGGGCCCTGGACTCGCAGAAGGCTGGGGATTATCCCACCATGTCCCTATTGGCGAACGAATTGTGAGGTGTTGCAGGGTTCATTCATTTGGAGTGGCCTACTTTAAATACATGTATATACAGTTTTTATTTACTGCCTACATGTATGTACAGTCGTCTCTGGGTCAACGACGAAACCAGTTCGATGGCGAATAGGCTAATCGAAGCTAATAAAAGCTAATAAAAGCGCCCCGACCCCTTTGCTTTGACTGCCTATCAGCCCAAAAAGTAGCCACTCGTCATCGAGCCGGGTCCGTCGTTGACCCAGAAACGACTGTACCTACATACGAGGTTTCAAGTTACGGCTTCACCTCACCTCCTGTCACGCGCATTATTTAGGTATTCCCGTTAGCCGATATTTAGGCACATTGGTCCTGTTTACAAATGAGTTCAAATTAGGGCTTAGACCTGTACTACCAGTTACCTAAACCAACGACAACTGACTCGTTGCAGATTACTTACATACAAACATCAAGCTGTCCAGTACCGATAACAATTCCATCAGAAAATCTCCATCACACTCACGCGCGATGCCATCGAAAGATGATGAAGCAGACCTTGCAAAGGTAAAGTTGTCCGAAAAGTACCTTTTTTAAACATGTTGGATAAGGTGCTGATCCGTGTTTCACAGGCTTACAAGGACTTAGCCGAGTAAATTTCATCCTCAACATAGCACCCGGTACGATGTAACGTAAACTAACTAGTTCATCAGAGCTGAAAAGAGTGCAGCTACTCTGGAGGCTCAATTAAACTCCCTGGAACAGAAACTTGACGATTTTCTGGCTGAGCACGACAAACCTACCGCGCGGGAAGGGCTGATCAACAAAGACGATACCCAACCCCCCCTGTCCACAGATAGCAAGGATATCACCCAAAATTTCAAAGATTCGTGAGAGTAGTTACGTGGAGGGCCGGCCATAGGAACACATAGGACCATGATAAAAATGCAATAACCGCAGATATTCCTTTTGGTTGCAGGAGCATATCAGTCAATAATAGACCACAGTGAATTCTTGGGATGCTCGGCATTGGTACCAAAGAAGCTTAGGGCAGAAAATAAAAACCACCATATTACTGGCATTTGTCAGGGTCTGACCCATTATAGGCTACATGCAGTCTAACTTGATATACTAACCCAGACCCATTCTATTCGATTTATCAACTGAAGAACTTAGAGAGATCAAAGGTTCCATCCAAACCCTTCACTGCGACGCCCTTCTCTGTTACGATGGCATCAATCAAGTCATTTGGGGTCACATCGAAGCTTGGGTTATAAACACCAATTCCGCGTGCCGCAGTCCTGACGGTGTTGAAGCAACATAGATCAATTTCACCCTTAGGATCCACGCCCGGTCCTCGAACACACAGTACTTCCGCTCCAGGTCTATGTTCAATCTCGATATCATTACCAGATGCGGTGCTCATATCAACGCTTGTGGTGGGCGCTGCAACAACAAACTTGACCCCATGGTACTTCGCAACGATTGCAAGCTGATACGTCCCGATTTTGTTTGCGGTATCACCGTTTCGAGCCACACGATCTGCGCCAACAATAACAGCAGCTATGCCTTTGAGGCCCATTAATGAAGCCGCCATTGAGTCTGTGATCAAGGTGGCGGGGATATTTTCGTAAACAAGTTCGTATGCGGTTAAGCGTGAGCCTTGATTATATGGACGAGTCTCGGTGCAGTATGCGTGCTCTAAATTCGAGCCTGCGTACAAGGAGCGGATTATTCCCAACGCTGTCCCGTAGCCGGCAGTAGCGAGTGATCTATGGTGATGCAAAGTTAATTAATTATTTACCCAGACGAACGCGGAATATACGAACCCAGTATTGCAATGCGTTAAAACTTTTATTTTCTCATCTGCTCTGGTAACATTCTCCAAAATCCATCGGGCTCCGAAGTTTCCAATATTCTTGTTATCTTGGACATCGTCGACCAACATCTGCTCTGCAGCTTGGACATATCTTTCAAAAACTTCTTCCCCAGTAATCACTTCGACTGAGACAACCTCCTTTAACTTCCTAGCGGCATCGGCAAGGTTGACCGCTGTTGGCCGGGATTTCAGGAGATAGTCCAACTTAGAATGCACAAATTCACGCGCTTTCGTGGGTGTGCTCTCGTCGTGAGATTTCCTACTCTGCAATTCCACCGCCAAAGAAAGTGCAGCTACTATGGCAATAGCTGGGGCACCTCGAACAACCATATCTTTGATGGCTTGGAAGCCATCTTTAGAATCTCTGATAACCACATATATCGATTCGTGGGGAAGTTTAAGCTGATCGAGGATCTGAAGGTCCCCTCGTTTGTATTTGATTGCCTCGAGTGTTTGTGCCATTTGGGGGGACTTTTCTTGTGATTTGAATAAGAAGTCTTTGAGGGTTGATGGTGAGTTGAGGGCGGCTGAAAATATTTTCGCCTGTTTACATATGCGCCAAGAATAACCTTGTTGGCCAATGACCTACGTCATTGTATTTTTCTAATAAAATCTACCACGGCCATGAGAGTTCTGCACCTTCTCATGTTATCGTGGCACTATAGTCTAGAATAAAAGAATAACCCATCAAACCAGCACGTAATCTCCCAGAAATGTACACAAGAAAAATATAGCCAGGATGTCTGAAAAAAGCGAAGCACAATGAAAGAAAGAAGGAGAAGAGAGAAAAGAAAGAAAGAAAAAGACAACTCCTTAAATCACCTAACACTCCATCCCATAAATACCCAAGCAAAAATAAATAACCTAAAACAAAGGAAATATGTTGTAAGACATGGTGTTCTTTTCTTTAGTGCAAGCACGAGGATGTAATCTTATCGCTGTCATTTATTCAACCGATCATCGCCCTTACTCCTGTAGACTGCTGCCTTGAGAAACGCTGATAGTATTCCTGCCCCGTAATCCTGCTGCCGCGACACAACTCTGGCCCAATACTAATGCGCATAATCGAGTCATGCATATTACCAGCTGGACTGGTAAAAGCAAGGCCGGCTGCACCTCTGTTACGGTCATTAATCGGCGTGAATGGAATCTGCTCTACTAGAGGTAGGTAATCTTCGACAGTAAGAAGATTAAAAGCCCCCTTCCGCTCCATCTTGGCATGCTGAGGTAGAGGGGGTACGGGCTGGATGTCAGGCGAGGTTTTAGGTACTTCAATTTGTGGAACTGAACTTTTGATAACTGTGATCATGCTTCTCCGATGTTTTAGCTCCGGTCGTGGTTTCCACAGGGATTTACTGCGCTCTACAACCGGAATTGTTGGTACAGGTGGTTGCTTTATGATGTTATTATTTCGGGCAAAGGCCTTGAGGTCACCTTGAGAATATCTCCTCCGAATGGCCGCAACAACACTTCTCCTTCTCGATACTGGCTGTTCGGGCTTCATCAGAACCTCTTCAGAAAAAACTGGATTGTCCTTTGTTGTCATCAAGACTTCCGATTTACGAGCGGTAGATTTTGATTTGGCATGCTGATGGCTCCATGCTGTTTTCCAACTATTTACGGACTCAGAGGAGCTATAGCCAGAGTCCATACTCTCACCACCAACCTCATTGATACTGGTACGTCGAGTGTGTTTATCGTCCCCTTTTTGATCACCCTCGGAGAAGGTATGATCATGCACATCATTCCCAACAAAAGGCGCTGATGCAAACATCTTTGACATTTTGACATCAACACGTACTGGCTTATCAAAACGCCGGTTCAAACATTGCTCTGAAAGGATCTTGTGGTACTCATATCCGGTGGATATAGCACTGGACGCGGTACTAGAAAGACTCTCATAGCTCTGTGTCGGTCTAAAAAGGGAATGTCGCAAGCTATCCGGCGTATCATTGGCTGGGGGTTCGAATTCGAATGGCGAATCGTCAATATCTTCGCTATGAATACTGGGGCTTCGGGCGAAACTGAATGGACTACTCGGTATTTCATCTTCATCGTCATGTTTCTCGTCTGTAGGTGATGGCGGAACAAGGCGCACCACCTCACGGGTTGGAAGCATCGAGTTTGTAACCACAAAAAGCGGTTTATCTCTCGATAGCGGCCTATTGATTAAGTCATCGTGAAGTGCAATATTCGAACCAAAATATTCAGTCTTCATAGACATTTCCGGAGAAGCCCTTGAAGACGATGGTGCCGGAGATGCTGCACCGTTTGCAATTCTCAAAGATCCCCTTTTGAAAGCCCCAAGAACGCTATATCCAGAAGGTGTCGTACATCGGTCAGAATCATATCCCATGGATGGGGGTAAGAATGTGTAAGAATCTGGAGAGGGTGTATCAGGAAGACATTGGTCCTGTAAGTATGGTTGTACTGGTTTCCTAGTTGCTGTCGCAGGTGGTGCTGCGAGAAGTTGGGATCTACGCCGGACAGTGCCCATCGAAGGTATTTCAGAATTACGGTTGGGAGGTGGTGCACATGCTGCACTGCTGTTGGTTGAGCTGCGTGTGACCATACTCCCTTTTCTGCGCATTCCAGTGCTTACGGGCATGACGCTGACCACCCCAGCAAGGGCTGAATCCACAGCAGATTCGGAATAAGCCTCAAAGTCATGATCCCCCACAAATGACCACATCCCAGATTTCCGAACATCATTAGGGGGTAATGTTTTCAAATATTCGACTCCAATAATGCCTGCGGGTGACTCTTCGGTAGTTTGATATTTCACAGTCAAGGGCCTTGATCCGCCAGAGAGACTTAGTCGAGAGAGCGATGGAGGTAGACAGGAAGCTTCACGGCTCGTAGTGTTGGAGTTAGTTCGAGGTTTGGTGAGTTTATTCCGGGGTGGGTGGGTGTTAGAAAAGTGGACTCCTTCGATCTCGGATGGAATAGACTGCGCGGCACCCATTTTGGCGGGAAGCTACTGCTATATGGGTAACAGGTGCTTGGTAGTGGGTAGCGTGCTCTCAGCTGAAGATAGTGGGATGTATGTAAAACGCGCTCGCCGGGAGAGCGTTTGTAAATTATTGAGGCATAAAGCAGAAGTGATTCCAGAATGTTTGAATGTAGAGGTAATAACAGACCAGGTAGGGCTGGAAGCCTGGAGAGAGAGACAGGAGGGTGTTGGGAAAGAGAGCAAGACGGAAAGAGGAGCTGACAGGATTGAAAGGATTCAAAGCAAGAGATGAGGGAGATATCAGACACAAGCACGTATACCACAGCTATTAGCCACATAGGGTAGGCGGGTATGCTATTCAAACAATGCGTACCTCAACTCAGGTAGGGAACACCATAACTGCTCTCAAACCTGTATAGAGTGCCTACAGAGGTAAACACTCGCCTAGTAGTACAAGTGACAAAAAGCATGGCTTGTGGGCGGATAGAGCAAGGACCAAGCAGTTAGATTAGATAAATGAGGGGTGAACCAGGTCTCCCATGAATCTAAACAATTCGTGTGCGGAGTTTCCCCAGTACCTACAAGTTCATCACGGCCTATCAGAAGATAGGAAAACTCCACACAGCAAGTCATTGCAGGGTTGGGGTTTCAGGTAGTGGAAATAGCAGGGATCGGGGACATCCGTGCTTAATGCACCTCCCAGTAAACGGTGCAGCTCCCTCATGAGAATGCCACCGATATTGCAAATTCGGTTTGATGGTCGTAATCTTGATCACCCATAACCCACTCAAAACCATGTTGGTCGCTTTGGCCCCGCTTCATGAGATTGGTAAATACCTATGTCTTTACATACACACAAAGACCCACGAGTAGAAAATCGGGCATAGCAGGTAGGTCGGTTCGCTGTTTACATCGGTCATGTATGGTGTTTGATAAAAGTGGTAGAGTAAATGCTACAAGTTGCATCGGTCAACTCAGACGATCAGGAATATTAAAGGAGGTTGGGGACACCTCCGAGGTGGCTGGTAATCCCACCCCTCAGTCCGGTAATGCGTGAGAGGGCTAGATAGTGTTATTATTTTATATGATTGTTTAAAAGAGAGATTGTACCGTGCAGCTATGTAGTGGGGTTAAAAGGTGGTGTGTGCACATGGATAACTTTGTCCGATTTCCTTCCAAAATTAGCATTCGATGGCGATCGCTTCGTCACAGACATACCTACGAGAATATGTATGTACTCAGAGTACATGTACTCGTTTACCACGAAAAGAACCAGAAAATGCAAGTGACGGAAACAGGGATAGTTTGTATGAGAGATCACCGCCACTCCATACAAATAATCCTTGCCCTGAGCAACTGGTTCTTTTCGTGGTAAATAAGTACTTACATGTACTTCGGTATCAGGGGTAAGTGAGTAGAACGCGGCGGTTCATATTCGCGAGCAAAACAGGAAAACTACAGCTTTAGCCACGCTGCCACGTTCTACTCACTTACCCTTGATACCGAAGTACTCTGCATGAGCTGACGTCAACTATAGTTTTACTTAAGAATATATAAGTAACTATATGTACTCTGCCAGTGTTAAAATTTAATACTATTCTAGGTATTAGGCATTGACCCAGAGAAATGTTATTAATTAGAGTACCCTCAGTAGTTAAGCACGATTGCGGGGATTATTTACCTCTCGCGCGCGTCATCAAGGTTTTCAGCATAGCTTGCTCGGTTGCATGTCCCATAACATACATACATGTGTGTGGATGACTAATGTGTACATAGCAGGCTATAAGAGGTATATATACATGTACTCTACCTACATGTAGAGTACTTGTAGAGTAGGTACACGGGGTAAGTGCCTATCGTGCATGTGGTATTAATTACATGTAGTTACGCTAATTTGACCAAGATTCGGATTAGCTTGCGTTGCCTGGCGACTAACCAGCCGAGTGATTGTTTATGTTTGACGAGTGATTTTGGGTGCAACAATTGAAAAACTCAATTACAATCATTGTATACTAACTACATGTACATATTAAGACCTAGTACTGTGCATATAGTATACATGTATTTACTATGAATCCATGTAAAGCCTCTATGGGCCCCCGAACCAGCAGCTGTTACATGTAATTATAAGTCCATATTATTAAATTGCGTGAGGGCGCGGCCGCGGGCCGGGCCCATAATCATCAGAATATTAACATTACTACATGTATATTGAGGAGGAGACTCGAGAATCCAGACATATATATACCGATGTAGGACGCTCTATAATTTAAATGTCGTTGTAATAAGTAAGTGGTTGTTTCCACAATGAATTCATGAAGAAAGTTAATATTAATTCAATTTGAGTGGGTGTAAGTTATAAACCTACATATAAGCCTATAGCTATATATATACATGTATATATAATCATGAATGAAAATGGACGACCTTACTAGCTAACCCAAAACCAAAGGAGAGATGGTCTTCAATTAGTACGGCGAAGTCTTATATGTACCATAGTTTTGGCGGGCCTAAATAATTCAGGTACTAACTGTACTATTGTACGTAGAATACATTGTATACATGTATATATGGTTATAATCAGCATGAGCGCAGCTACATACATGTACTAGCAATGCCGACAATTCTATGGGTCATGTGACTTATTATTCTGAGGTCTACGCTAGTGCCCCGTAACGAACTCAGAGCTCGAGTCAAAAACAGCGTCACGAACTCAGCCTGTCATAAACAGCAGTTTTTAACTGTCAGATGTCATGAACTAACCTTGATTTCCACTCCAAATTTACCCAAAGATTACCCTAATCCACCCCAAATTTCATTTTCTAATCCGATTTTACACCTTGAATCACCCTAACCCATACAAAAATTCGGTTTACACCAGTGATTAGTTCATAACCATAACACCCAGCTTTCCTCAAGCCAGTTTTTAACCAGTTTAAAACTGTCTGTTAGTAACTCAGTTTGAAACTCCCGAGTTCGTCACGGGCCCCTAGTCTACGCACCAAATACTGAAGGCTCCACGCAAAGAAGGGAGCACGTGACCCATAGGATTGTCGGCATCGCTAGTACTACGGGTGTCGGGGTAAGTCTGTTGACAGTGAGAACTGTTGCAACCACGGTGTTGGCTGGCTGTTGTGTTCACTCTCTGTTTCTTTTCTTCTCAACGACGATTCGAGACGAAAATACGTAGAATGAATAAAACTTCTATTATGAAAACCAAGAGCAACAAGATGATAGTCTGGTGAACAGGAAGGTAGCTAGCTACAGTAGTTATACGGCCCTTTTCACTTCGGACACCTTTACAAAGGATTGTCCTTTTCTGCGCTGACTAATGTATGACAAATCGCTTAGCAACAAATGTGCCCAACAACGGTCACTGTCAACAGACTTACCCCTACCCCCGTAGTACATGTGGTTTGAGATTCGTCTTGACGTAATGCCGTATTATTCACTGAATCCCGTAGTCATACAGTACTGGTTTCACCCCGTTTTTTCGTATTGTATGCATGTATACATGTACCTACATGTACATGAATTTCCTACCACGGGGCAGGGGTAAATTAAGCTTAATGTAGGTTGTAAAGTTAACGTCAACTGCATGGCTGATAAAGTACTAAGGGTCACAGCTCTCAAATATTTGGTCGTGAGAGAATATAATGATGGGGAAGTACATGTAGTTGTCGCTGCAGCCGACAACAGAAATATTGTGTTCATCAAATTACATGTAGTCATTGACGCTGACTCTAGCTAGAACAAATCTTGTCCCGTTTTGTTAAAGTTGATGCAGGGTACACTCGGCTACCCCTTTGGCTCTTTTAGCTAGCTCGGCACCGCGGGCGTTCTTACCAACCCACCACACTCAATGTCGGGTTTCCCTTCTGAGGTCTGCTTAGGTACTCGAGCCCCTCCTATACTGATACTTACTTTATTTCCGACGTCTTTGAACTCATCCATATCCTCTATTCAGCCCTTTCAGACTCTAAAGCTCACCATTTTATTTTAAAGGTTTCCAGCAACGATGAGTTCATCAAAACTAAACGGTGGTGTAATGGTGGTGGGTTCCAATCAGCTTGGTGTGGGGGGGGATGTGAGTGCTATTTCAGGAGACTGAAACTCAACCCATTTGGTGAAATTAGAGTTAATAGTCCATGTTAGAATGCCCCTGAGAATGACAGCACCGGCCCCTTATGCGAAGGCGCTCCCATGGATCCGAGATCAAGGATTCACCGCTCGTCGACCGTCTCTCAACTTCCATCTTTCATGGTTTCGGCGCCTGGAAAGGTCATTGTATATGGTGAACATGCTGTGGTTCACGGCAAGGTTCGTTCTAATTCAACTATTTCTTTACATCACTCATCAACTAAGCATGGGCCTGGTCTGACAATGATATTACAGGCAGCAATTGCTGCTGCCCTCTCTCTTCGATGTTACCTACTGGTCACACCCCTACCGAAGACTGCTCATAAATTAACTCTGCGGTTCCCGGACATTGGTCTTGATCATTCTTGGGACATTGAGTTGTTGCCATGGGATACGTTTTCTGCGCCCGGAAAAAAGAAATACTACTTCGATACTGTTGAACGACTGGATAACCAGCTAATGAACGAGATAAAACCATTGGTCGCCGATATTCCTGGAAAGGTGCTTCAAGCATCTGCTGTGGCCTTTTTATATTTATATCTAATGCTTGGTTCTAAGTATGCCCCGGCATCAATATATACCTTAAGATCTACGATTCCCATCGGGGCAGGGCTTGGAAGTAGTGCGAGTATATCTGTTTGCCTGAGTACAGCCCTGCAGCTTCAGATGGGAACATTGGCAACACCCTTCAACGGAATGATGTCAAATGAAACACAATTGCAACTCAAGAGAATCAACAATTGGGCGTTTGTAGGAGAAATGTGTATTCATGGAAACCCCAGTGGGGTTGACAACACAGTAGCCACTGGAGGGAAGGCAGTGCTCTTCAAACGAACAGATTACAGTCTGCCTCCACAGGTAACCCATATGAGCAAGTCAGTAATATTCCATGTATCTGGGGGTTTCTAACGTATACTAACTATGGTGCCTAGCTTCCCCGAACTTCCACTTCTGTTAGTCAATACAAAACAGCCTCGGCGGACTTCTGAACAGGTTGCCAACGTCCATAGCCTTCTTTCTGCTCATCCCGAGATCACAAACTCACTTCTCGATTCAATTGACCGAATTACTCTTGATGCTCATAGAATTATTTCTAATCCCGAGTTCTCCGCTCAACCCGGAAGTATGGATCTTGTTCAACTTGGTGAACTGATTCGTATAAACCACGGTCTTCTCGTATCGTTGGGAGTTTCACACCCAAAACTGGAGCGAATAAGAGAGTTAATTGACTACACAGGCATCGGGTGGACTAAGTTAACTGGTGCTGGAGGGGGAGGCTGTTCTATTACCCTGCTGAAACCAAATGTTAAACAGAACGTTCTAGATGATCTAGATACAAAATTAAGTAAAGAAGGTTTCGAAAAATATAAAACTACGCTAGGAGGCGATGGCGTTGGTGTCTTGTGGCCTGCCGTAATCAGGGCAGACAAAGAGGTTGAGATTACACAGAACATGTTCTTAGCCGCAGATGGGGTGGAGGGAGTGGAAGACCTAGTAGGCGTTGGGGCCATTGGGAAGGGGAATCAAGGCTGGAGATTTTGGAGAGAGTGGATTCCAGTGGGGTCTGAGTTTACCTTGCATTAATGATTGAAGTGCAAATTGTTAACTCTGGGACCGTAATCTCCATACATCTCCATCTCTTCATTTGATAGCTAGATATCCCTTTTTTATAACTTTTTTCTCCTTTCTCACAATTATGGAATATGAGGTAATCCATCCCCGACAGATATTTTTGAACATATGTACATGTATGTAATCTTTCACATGAACCTGTTGTAAAACCCGTATGAAGTGGGATAAAACGGAGGATTCCGGGTAAACCACCACACTGTAGCTTCATGCTTATAGTATTGTAGCACTGCCATATCACGATTTGCTCCTATCCCGTGGCCGCCGAATCTCATAATTAAGGTCAGATGTTTTCACCCACGATCGAGACATCAACCTTCGTTATAGCACATTGCAATGGCTCCCAACAGCTGCTGCCCATGGATGAATCAACATCGACAACTTTTAACAATTACAGCAGGTTTCAGAATACTAGGCTCAAATTACTTTCACACACATACAGTGTGATTCTTCGAACCTTAAAAAAAATAGCCTACTTAGGAAGCCCGAGCCCGATATTCTCCCGAAAAAGTAATTTCAACTACCCAGATAGCCTATCTTTCGAGAATTGTACTATGAGTTGAGAATGCTTTCTCAGCCTAGTATTATGAAACCCGCTGTAACACCCTTTTCCTAAATGGGCGACTTCCCGTGAAAATTTGGAAGGCGTTTAGGAAGTAGATTTCTGAATCTGGATGCGAATGCCTTCCCATGGCGAACAATACTTTCTAGGTTTTTTAACCACTACTTGTTTAGTGCGCAACATCAGGACCCACCCGGAACCTTTCTTAATCAATCATATTCCGCCCTTTCAAATTTTAGGGTTTAGAAATTTGAACGTACCCCCCCCAAAATTCAGATTCTGAATCTGGAGCGTTGCCATCCAAATTTTATTACATCCAAACCGCTTCTAAACACCCTCTAAACATCCACGGGAAGTCGCCCATTGTATGCAGCCTTTCAGTTATGATCATGATAATATGAGTATAAACATTTTGACCACCAGGTGGATAAACATATAACTGCGAATAAATATATATACACATACAGTCGTCTCTGGGTCAACGACGAAACCAGTTCGATGGCGAATAGGCCAATCGGAGCCAATAAAAGCCAACAAAAGCGCCCCGACCCCTTTGCTTTGACTGCCTATCAGCCCAAAAAGTAGCCACTCGTCATCGAGCCGGGTTCGTCGTTGACCCAGAAACGACTGTACATGGGCCACCCAAGAGTGAATCGGTACATACAATAGAAGTACATGAATGCGGGTCTGGGAAAACTTGGCTTATGGGCTCAAACCTAACATACCTAAAAGCTTCTAGGATGTTCTAAAGGGTGCATATTATGTTTCTCAGAAGTTCCTTTAGCCAGACGTAGGAGGCTCAACATCATGTTGGTTGAAACCTACTATTTTAAGATACTAGAAAAATATTAAGTGAATACTCTTAAATCTTTTATTCTGACAACACCATGAGAATCTTTGCTCTTGATATAGTCTACTTGCCTATTCCTATTTGTTTCCCATATCTGGTGGTTGTATAGAAATTGATTTCCTTTTTGCTGGTTGTTGCGTTGCGTTCTAACCAAAGTCAAGTTTTCTTAGACCTGCGTTCACATGTAAAGATACGTCTATCATTTACCTGGGCAACCCTCATATCCCCTAGCGTTCATATTCCTAAGCCCGTATTAATAATGGTCTGTTCGGCGTCAAAGTGGACTCGTTCAAAACTACTTCTTTGAGGCGAATAAATTGACTCGTTATTTGTCTCCATGATTGCAACCAGTTCAATATCAACCGAACAAGTAAAGACTCGCAAGGATGTATCCAATAAGAAGTTGTTCAAGTGTTAGACTGTGCAACATCAAGAACTGCAGTAACTACGGCTCGAGAAGCTATGGTGGGTAGGTGTGTAAACTTCGGCGTTTGCAGCCAATCAATCTATAGGAATTGGGGGATCTGCCCCCATAATGGTACTAGCGCCTAGTCTGATGGTGGAATTTTCTCTAATTCCCATACCTCTGAAGTTCACACCCACCTATGCCTTCTCGCGCCATACATGTAGGAATATGTACTCACTAGAGGACTTGGTCAGTGCGGACTTGGTCAGTGCGCCCAACCTACCTCCACACCAAAAGACGTTTCTTTGTTGCTGCACCTCTTTTTAACCCAACCCCACTGCACTCGCTATACAAAAAATCCTCTTTGCGACAGATTTTATCGTTGCTTGTATTCCAACCTGTAACCAACCTTCTTGTCCACTATTTGCAAGATGTCGCTTTATTCCAGGGATCCTGAATGGGAGGATGTTGTACCCCTCCCACAGGATGACGGCGTTCACCCTCTCGCCCAAATAGCATATACCGAGGAATATGCTGAGGCCATGGCTTATCTTCGCGCTGTGATGGCAAAGGACGAAGTCAGCGAAAGGGTGCTCAAAGTTACGGAAGATGTCATTGAAATGAACCCCGCGCACTACACAGTGTGGTAACGATCTTTGACCCTTGAATATGTCACCTCAGGAACTGCCACTAATTTTGTCTTTGTTCCAAAGGCTTTACAGAGCGAAAACCTTGTTTGCCTTGGGGGGTGACTTGCGTAAGGAACAGATATTCCTCAATGAAATGGCTTTAAAACACCAAAAGAACTATCAAATTTGGCACCACCGTCAGTTGATCATGGAAAAGATTGGCGACGTGACTGGCGAGGCGGAGTTTACGGCATCTATGTTTGAGAAGGATTCAAAAAACTACCATGTTTGGTCTTATAGGTTGTGCTAATCTTATCATCTGTTCCGAGCAGTGGAGCTGGGGAATCTCTGGCTGACACGCGCGGGTAGACAATGGCTTGTACGACGATTCGACTTATGGGAGAGTCCTAGTGAAATCGAATATATCGATATCTTACTAAAGAAGGATATCAAAAACAACTCAGCATGGAACCACCGATTCTTTGTGGTTTTCGGTAGAGATAAAGACGTCCCTAAAGAAATTGTTGACCGTGAAATAAGGTGATATCTTCCCACTGTTGAGCTATATCTACATCTTTGCTGATATTAGTTCACGGAATAGCATTTGCGAAGATGCTATCTTCATTGCTCCCCAAAATCCGAGTCCCTGGAATTATTTGCGCGGGTTAGTTGACCAAATGCCCCGTGAGAAGTTTATATTCTAATTTATGATGTCTTTAGGGCCTTAAAAAAAGCAAATCTTCCACTCTCAACAATTGAGAAGACGTGCCTCCACTATGCTCCGCTGGATAACCCCGACAAAATAAAATCATCACATGCCTTGGACATTCTGGCTGATATATATATGGAGAAGGCGGAAAAGGAACAGGCGGTGATGGCCCTGGACCTTTTGGCGAAGAAGTATGACCCCATCAGAGCTAATTATTGGAATTATCGAGCTGGGCTCATAAGGGGGGTATAAACGAGATTGATCACTATTCGTATGCTGGTCTTAAAGGAAAGCGGACACGTTCAATTTTCTTTTCTTTTCCCGTCAGGCCCCTGCTTTGATAGGTGAGCGGCGAAACCTCAGAAGATTATGATATTGAGTATTTTGACGCGTAATACTATTTTTAATTTACTCACTACTATTATTACTATTCAGAACAAGAAGGAAATGTGTAAAATTTAAAATCAGTCAGAAATCAGAAAAGCAATCCAACCACCTGACAATAGGAATCTAAGAAGTATGAGAGCTAGGGACGTCTCTACTATTGACTTCCCCTATAATTGCCTTCGATCCATACATTTCACGATATGCGGCAAGCATATCTACGGAAATATTACTACCTGGATTATAGTTAGTCCTACAAGAAAAATCATGGTTGTAGGGAATTTGGTGAGTGAACTGCTACTCACCGCCGCAGACAACGAGAACAACCTTGCTATCTGGTTGAAGGTTGGGAACAACTTTCCCAAGAAGGCCGTAATAGATAGCAGCCGCGGAAACCCCACATGCAGCTTCCACTGCTACCCTCTCGTCATCCATCAACCTACAGCAGCCCATCGCGGCTTGGGCATCGCTCAACACCACCGACTTAACATTGGGCCTCTGTCCAAGTTCATATGTCTTTGCAGCAACCCTTCGAGCACCTAGAGAAGTTGCTATGGAGGTCACTGCGGGTAGGGTTACATGATAACCGGCCTGTAAAGCTGCATTAAGAGAAGCTGCACCTTCCGTCTCGACAGCTAGAATTGGTACATCGGGGGATCCATGGCCCATAAGTCCTAACTGGATGCCACAGAACAACCCACCACCACCAACAGATGCAATTATTGCGTCCGGAGACCCTCCAAGATCATCAATAATCTCATCAATTAGGGTGGCATTTCCTTCCCAAATATCTGGATGGTCAAAAGGAGCGCAATAGACACCTTGATCGTCCATTTCTAGGAGACCTTGAATGTAATCGTCCGCCTCCTTCCAACTAGCGCCATGAGAGATGACTTCGCCACCTGCGACGCGAATTTTGGCTTTCATGAGCTCAGTGGTGGTTTCGGGAACCACCACGGTCGCTTCATGACCCAGCATTCTAGCAGCTGTCACAGCAGCGAGCCCTAATAATCCAGATAAATCGTATTAACGATCGAACAGGTTCATGGTAACAGAGAAACTGCACATACCTGCGTTCCCACCACTTGAACTGTAGAATCTTATTGGCCCTGGCCTAGACTGAACAGCTTTAAGACACAGGTTTCCCACTCCACTTTAGAAATTAGCAACGCTCAACTAGCCACAAATCCCCCGAGAATACACAGGAATAGAGATATTACCGGGATTTAAACGATCCGGACGGTTGGAACATATCCATCTTCATAAACACTCTGCTTCACAGAGAATTAGCTCGATAAAGCAACTACTAGATTCGGTACACACCATCCTGCTGCCTTGGAGAGAGCATTACTTTCTAATAAAGGTGTTCGTATCCACGGTAGATTCTTGTGCCGCAGTTGGGTAGAAGGGTTTGAGTCTGAAGTGACCATTTTTATGTTTTAAGTAGCAAGATATGGTAATGGAAGATGAATAAAGAGTTAAATCTTTAAGAGTCGGTGTGGTTTTATATCCAATATTTTCTTTTATGTTGTGGGTAGAGGATTACTATACAGTGTAAGGAGGCCAAGCCCGGTAATGGAATCCCATGTACAACGAGTTCATCATACGTAACTTTCCGGTGGTAACCGGCCATCCGCTTATCGTGAACGGACCCAGGTTCTAAAATAGCCAGCGAACGAATCTCATACTCTACTATTGACATCGTCGCATAGAGGTGCCATAATTACTTTTGTAGTCCACGTGATGTTCGAGCGTCTGCTGTACTTTCTGTAATTTCGTAGTCTAGACGCAGTTACCTGTGAGCATGGCGTAAAGTAGCCAATTTTGAATATATACATGTATATAGTGAATCAGTTCGAACTTTCAAGCAACGCTAATGCTATGTAGTCCTAGTTCTCATGCTTATGTAGAGTATGTAGATGATAACAAAAGGAAAAAACTGTAGAAGATTTGAAATTTAAAAGTATATTGGGGCGTGTTTAATCATCGGATCAAAGAAAGACCAATCATTTACAAATGGAGAAGGCTTAGGAGAAAGGTCACAACGCCGTAGTGACAGTTAGAGAATTTGAATGGACAAGGAGAGTTGGGGGGAGTTCCGCAGTAAGAACCTATATGCCGCCGTGTAAGTACATGATGAACAAAGGGGGTTATCAGAGGATTTACCTCCAGTCCGGCAAGATAATCAACCGAGTCCTTCTCACTTTTGAATGTGCCAGGTTGGGGCGAGGGCAAGGTAGTAAAGACGACAGCTGTATCATGAGAATGTTTCCGTATAAGTTCGTTCAAAATAAGATGTTGTGCCCTCGAGGGCAAATCGTTGAAGGATAAAGGGTTGAGAAACGTTGAGGATGCTTGTACCCTATTACCACGTGTATCCGTAAACATAATACTAGGACCAACACCCTCCTCCACCGCCACTTCAGTATCCGGAACTGGTTTACAGGAAAAGATTGGAGTGGAACTACGATGTGGTAGCTCAGGCCTAGCAAGTGAAGGAATAGGTGTTGTTGACGATTCTCCTGTCGAGCCAATAGCCAAACCTGCTTCTTTACGTGGTTGCGCTTCCTCAGTCGATGTGGACTTAAGTGCAGAGGCTCTGAGCGCTGCTTGTCGCAGACTTTGCTTCCTGTAAGTAGTACCAAATCCCAAAGGATCGCCAGTGCTGGCACGTCGAACTTTGACGATAGGAGGATGTTCCTCATCGGTTGAGTACTCATCGGCGTCGTTTTCACTTGCAGCGCTTTTGATGCTCTCGTCGTCGCTAGAAAGGGTGTCGCTTTCACCATCACTTGAAAGCTCAGAAGTGGATTCATTTTCGAGGGCATCTGGATTGAGGCGGTGGGTCCGCATATTCAGAGACAGAGGCATTCCTAGTCTAGTCAGGCCAAAGATGGAATGCCGCTTGCGAGATTTTTTGATAAGCTTATTTATCCCCCCGAACATTGTGCGACTGTCATATCGTCTCTGTTGTTGAAAGCTGCTGCTTGGCCATTGGTCTCCACTTACAAGTTGCGCTACATCGGCGAGATGGTCAGGAGCATCACGAGAGGTTGCTCGACCCCTGCGCTTTTGCAACTCCTTCCACCATTGTTCGTTCCCAAGTACGATCTCCACATTGTCGTCTTCATTTTCACATCCTTTCACAATTGACTCGTAGGAGCTCAGCTTGCCGTCTGCAAGCCACATAACCAAGACCTCGGCTTGAATGCGCAGATTTTCCAGCAGCTTCTTAACGCGAGCTCTTTCCTCATGAACGTCACTTTCATACTCAACAAATACTGCAACTCGAACTTTGTAGGTCTTTTTCCACGCTGGAACAGTGTTTAAAATGCAGCCCTAGAGAAGAATGAGATATAGAAGTGGTTGGAGCATTTGCACAAAAGCTTTTATAGACAAGTAATAAGGCACTTACCAGTTGAAGTATAAGAGTATAAGTATCAAAGTTTGTTGTTAGGATATTACCGGCGCCAGGAGCGCCATTTTCGATTTCAGCAGACATTTCTATTGCTATGTTAGTAATATCTAGGGGCTGAAAGGCTGGTTGAGATCTTACGAATTGGCCAGAGATCAATATACTTTTTGTCATGGTCTTTACCCTTTGAAGGGAGTTCCAGGTTTTCAAATCCCTTCGCAACGGCCACATTTATCTGTAGAGAGAGAAGCAAATCCTCCAAGATATTGACGTAACTGGTAACACTGACCGCGGTTTCATTCCGCATGGTATCCGTTGGGAGCTGGTCTAATATATGAGTTGTAACCCTACTAGACTGGGTGTTGTGAGGTGCGGGTTGATGTGTCGGATTTGTATTTCTTGACTTTGACGTACACGGAATATCTACTAGAGGTTTTGAGTTGCGGTATTCATCTAGATTGTAAAACCCTAAGACTGCAATATTTGGACGCATGCCTCCTAAGCCAGCCGAGAGCACAATATTCCTTGCACCCCATTCTATAGTAGGGGCAATGGATATTTGGGGGAACGCTTTGACTTTGCTGAAATCGATATACTTCATCCAGGCGGCTTGTTGCCGCTTAACCTCTGGGAATGAGTCTTGAAAATCCGGAGTGACAACAATGTGTCCAAGGATGTATAAAGATCCCTTTTTCATAGCTACAAGAAAACAAGTAAGTCTCAGTTCCTTTCTTCGTTTCACTCAAAGAAGTAATTGTAATACCGTTGCAAAACTGAATCAATTTCCAAGATCTCCGGGGGTCATTTACAAATAACAGGATCTAAAGCTGCTTTATAAGAGGATGTCCATTGGGAAATCACGGATTATGTAAATTGTATATACCTGAGGTCTCCAAAACTTCACATGCTCCTGTTTCAGTCTCAACAAGTACTTTCTGACTTGATGATAGATCAAACTCTGAGAAACGTCTCCCCAACTCTTAGGTGGTGTAGTGTAGTGAATAACTAAGAATAGGGTGACCAAGACGCCTAGACAGCCTCCAGCGTAAAGTTTGTCAACCTGCTCGAATGGTTAAATTGATATATTCCAAGAATGGCGATGACACATACAAATATCATAGTCGCACCACTCACAACCGCTCCGATCGCAGCTGTCCACCAGGTGAAATATTTGAAACTCGGCCTGAAATTCGGTGCACTTCCGACTTTTAGCAGGAAACAGGCCAAATTTGTGACTAGAAATGTCATGAGATACGTCATAGTCACAAAGTTGGCGATCTGGTTAATATCGCATAGTAGAGTTAATTGAGAGAGAAGAAAGGTTAGCATAATCGCATATGTTGGCTCATCGTTTGACTTGGTTCCCTGGCCAAATAAAGATACACCGGGAAGTATCCCATCACGGGCTAACGCTTGTAATGACTTTGCGGAACCGATTACTCCCATAAGAGCTGAGAAGAATGAAGATGCAAGTTCCCCGCCAAGAATGAGATGTTTCGACACGTTAATCTATGCAATAAATAATTAGTTGGTTATATACTTGTATTTGATGGGATCAGTAGCATACGTCCTGGATTATGTTGAGGTTTTTATATAGGCTCTCGCGTCTAATAGTGGCCCCCATAGAGAGAACAACCAATGTATAGGCCACAAATGTCAACATCAAACCATGCAAAGTACCTCTTGGTATCGATTTGCTGGGATTCTTAAGGTCGCCGGACATGCTTGCACCGGCGAAGATTCCGGCAGTGGCTGGAAAGAGAATACCAAACAAATCTTGCCAGTTCTCTCTACAACTTGTTAGAATGCTATAAAGAGCATAATACTCACTGCTTACCTTCCTGATATCTGACTTCCGGCGGCTCCTTTCGTGAACCTTGGCCGGAGGTTTTCCATAAACGTATCCATTGACAGACCGGTATAGAGTACGTCATGGCTGATATCGTGAAACGGCTTGACCAAAAGAGCTGATACGGGGATAGAAAATGTTGCAAAAAGGAGAATCGCGAGAAGAAAGTTTGATGCACGAGCAAAAATGGCAGAGCCAAGAAGGCATATTATTGTGCAAAAAACCAAGACTGCAGTAGCATAGAGATATCGATACCACTGTTCTCACACCATTACGCATCAGTAATAAGGAAACCTCATCTTAGGGACCGTTCAGCAATAGGCCAAAACAGAGTTTATGGCTGTGATAAATCCGTCTCAATAATATTTTGGTTAGATTTTCACTGTTGGAAACTCCGTTCCGCCCCGCTGCCAAACGGACCCTAAGACCACCCATATCCTCGGAAGAGGTAGATGTGTGGATTTAGGTGGGGGAACCGACGAATGTGTCTGGAAAAATCTGTGGACCACTGCCAATTTTTTCTCCAAAATTATTCATCAAACAGTCAATCATGCCAACAGCATTCATGCCTGTGTTGAATACAAAACCCAAATAAAATACTAGGCCTATACTTCCTCCGAACTCTGGCCCTAAGGAGCGTGAGATGAGATAATACGCGCCACCGCCACGAACTGTACCATTCGAAGAGATGGCGGATATTGACAGTGTAGTAATTAAGTTGATAAGGTAACTATTTATGCCGCGTAAGTCAGCACGTGAAGCGTGAAGATTTGGACTGGCCAAAAAGAAAAAATCGTTCTGTAAGAGTTATAAGAAGTCAAGTATTACGATGCAGTACTTCGCTCCGGCTTTCTTATTGAATGGCCTAAGGTGATCATTGTCGGGTGAGATTATTTGCATTACCTGACTAAAAGCATACCTTGATTACGAAGGCTTTGTTAGGTAGGGTTTTTTGACATATCAGGTGAATACCGGTTCATACCAAACATTCCAAGTATTCCTCCTTGTCCCAGGACGAAACCGAATCTCAGGAACATGAGAATGGATAGAACATTTAATGTGGTTGGAACAAAAACCTAACAATCCACTATCAACGAAATGTCTAGCCCACAGGAGCTCTATGGATACCCACTCCGCTAAATGTACCTAATTTCTTGACCTTTCCTACATGGATCTTCTCCTCATCGGCTATGGTGATTCCCCGGACCATTTTAGGAACATTGTCATTCGGCTTTCCCACACCAAGCCATCGCGTAGCTAGAGATGGTAAATTCGACTCTTCGTCGTTAGGAGGAGCGTTCCGGCGAGTAAGCTGGGAGGTGAAATCCTCGCTGGTCCGGGAGACGAACTTCGACGTTCTAATCGACATGAAGGGAATATAGATGACTGCGAAAGTAATGGCGAAAGTAAACTTAAGGAGAGAGTAGCAGAGGCTTCAAATCGATTGGGAAAGCATCAGCGGAGAGGGCTTGTAGCGGGTATCCTGTTGACGAGTGACCTTCAGAAGCGGGAGGGGCAGTATCGAGTATCGACCATGCACGGTATAAACCGAACATCAAACCCGGGATAAGTGAATCTTGGCATACGTTATTTGAACACCTAAAGCCAACCCGGCAACTGAGGACAAGCGGTAATTGCGGACGCTATTTAGTGCCTTAACCGCAAAGAGACGGTTGCTGGTGCTTCACATGTGCGGCCTAATGTATGTATTATTATAGGTGACCCCCACTACATAGGTCGACTAAGACAATGCATAAACACTGCATAACGTTTTGACCAAGTACTTGAGTAGATTTGTATATAAATTTTGGCTCAATAACCACAACCAAATTCGCCATAGTGTTTGTAACAGGGCCACTATAAGCCTGTTACAAAGGAACCTGTTCCATCAGTTTGCCATCGACCCTAGAGTAACCGCAGCTTGTCCCCCCCACCGACGGGTGAAGGCAAGGGCGGGTGAGCCACTACCCCTAACGGTATCGGGGTAGGGAACCTAGCGGGATTTACAGATCAAAAACGGCAGCTGGACTAGAGTGGAACGGAAGGACAATAATGCCTGAAGGGACGGGTAACCCTGACAGGAGGTTACCCTACCAAGGCTGTCGAATCTTTGAAGTGCGATTGTAACGAGGTCAGTCTTTCTATGTATCACTAGAATCCAATAGAATAGTTGCGGCCATGCAAGGTAAGAATCAGGATGCAGATTATTCAAAGATACTATCGCTAGAACTCAATAATCTTTAAGTGACCTGCTACCGAGTAAGATACTTGATAGTTCTTACTTTTTGATGAAGACTGAAGAAATTGAATGGTTGGGTGGGAAGGGTATTGAGTACTTTGTTAAGGGTATATTGAGAGGTGATAAGAGTAGGAACGGTTGGAACGACTTGTACAATGCACCATCGACTGCTGGCCGCACCTTCGAGGCACATCAGCAAGCTAGCATCCGCCTCCGGGGGATTGTCCCTTTCTCCAGAGGTTGATGCCAAGACAACTAGTCTCCCTACCCCTCCCATGTCTCCTCACCACCTCGCCTAATCCGTTGAGCCTCCGGAGTAACCTGGCACTCTCTGGAGAACTCTCCGCCTCAATTTCTTCTCTTGAGTCTCTCCCGCTTCCTCTTTAACCAGGCTTCCCGAGCCTTCTAAAAGGCTTCCTAGACATTTCGGCGGGCCTCTCGAGCTTCTCACAACCCTCCCCAGCCACTCGACACCCTTAGACCACTCCCCAACAGGCTCCGCAAGCCTCCCAAAAAGCCTCTTGAGCCCCCTCAACCTCTCTCAAGGCCCAGACTCGTCTTATAAATCTATAGGCTTCTCGAGCCCCCCAAACGCTCTTCAAGCCCCACTTAGCCACTCTCTAGGTGCCTCACGCCCCCCCTTAAACCACCCAAAATCTACCTAACAGGCCCCTCGAGCCTTCCAAAAAGCCCCTCGCGCCACTCCTGATCTCTCAAGCCGCCCGGCTAGTTACAAAACCTAACACCTAACACTTTTACTTGAGCCTTTACCAGCCCTTGGATTTCTTATCTGTTGAATCTTATATTGCCCATGTATATACATATCGTTTAAGAGGACCAGTCTTCAGAAGCATTTGCCTAGGTTCCTTAAGCCCTCGTTAACCTTATATATGGAATTCGTTCCAAGTTCTTAAATCTACTCTAGTATTTACCAGCCATTGTCCCTGCCCCAATTCGAACAAATGTGCCATTCCCAAGACGCTACGAGTATTAATTATCCAAAATCTTTGCCGGGAGCGCCTCGCGACTCTTAGAAGTCCATGCGAGCCTTCAGGAATGCCCCTGTCCCTTGCCTCCAGCAGCTCAACCAAGCAAAGTTGATATGTCTTTCTAGTAAAGATATCACGTAGTCTGAATATTGCCTTTAGGTGCCCTGGTAAACGTCCCTGAAATGCTCTCCAGGGGTCCGTAGTAGCTACCTTAATCCAAGCCCAATCATTCCGAACTGCCCTTTTCCGGAACAAAGCCTCTCCAGTGCATTGTATGTTATGTATCTCGTAGCTATCACTCTTTTGGAACACTGATACTGGCACCTGCAGGCATTTGAAATACCTCACTGGGTAGTCAAGAAGGCTCAATAAGCCTCCTTCTTCCCGTTGTAGTCCCTGACCATATCCCGATACAGCTCTGGCAAGTGTAGTCCTGTTCATCTTGATAATGTCTGCGATATCAGATAACTTGGTCGCCGAATTGTCCGGCGTCGTCATCTTAGGTTTCTGTGGTGCATCTCCATCCAGCAATCGCTCACTGCCTCCTCTTTGTTGGTCTTCATTTTTGAAAATCTCCAATAGGTCTCTCAAGCTTTCTCGATGGCTCGGCAGGCCCTCATAATGCTCGGGCAGGGAGAAAACAATATCTTTCAAATTCAACACTCTCATCTCTATCACCATACGCCTTGGGTGGTAATCAAGAATCTGGACCGTGGCATCTACCTTATTCGAAGCAGTGTAGGCCATCTTAATTTGCCGCCGATGAGCCAACTCACTGACATCCGTTGAAAACATGGGTATATTTCCGAATCGCTCCACATGCTCTCTAAAGTGTGATAGTAGATGCATCTTAATGAAATTAAAATGGGACCCCTCCCGAATCTCTTGAACCTCTTCTAGGCCTCTTCCAAGGCTTCCGGAGTCTTGCAGTGCTTTTGTTCGATCCTTGGCGTCCTTCCTCGTTCGTTTATAGGCCCGGAATTCGAGAAATATATCTTTATACTTGTGGAAGTTTTCGAGATAGCTTTGCAGATACTCTAGAATCTCCTTTGTATGAGTTGTATACTGTGCCATGAGGTGGAAGTCAATCAACGCTCGTACACACCGCAAAGCTCTACTAAAGTCTTTCCTGCCGCCATTGGAGGGGCTTGTAAAGCCACCGCAAAGGCTCCAAAACTATCCAGCCAAGATGTCGCATTTCTTTACCCTGCCACTGTGTAGTTGCTCGATACGCTTTGTTGGGCACACATCAGCAAACCTGTAGCCTTCGCCAGACGCCCGGGGCGCTCAGGGCGCTCAGGGCGCTCGGTAGGTAAACTACCTCTCCAGAGATACCGCCAGTGCTCCTGGCGAGGTCTGGCGCACATTATTCCGCCCCAGCGCACACTAGTCCGCACAACGGGCCCCGACACTAAATAATAGCGCCCGGTGTAACTAGGACGTCACTCTACCCGCTAGAGAACGCCAGTTGCACGGTTGGATATCCTGACTGCTCCTGGAGCACTCTTCACTGCTCCAGCGGGCTCTGGGGATAGAATGATTGCCCTGACTCCCCCTGACGTTGCCGGATGGGGTGCTTTGAAATCTGGCTCATGCCCGACGTACCGATTCCTACATGTCGGCGCCCCGTTCTCTCTAGGCATACACCTCTCCGCCGTTCCGGCCTCTGGTATTCACAATTCCCCCATGAGATTACAAAAACATCACTCGCACGACGATCTCTACTGTCTCCAGAGCACTCGCGACTGCACTTTGAGAATTGGTGTATTCAACACCGTGATCCTCCGCCTAATACTAAATACAATACGCCATTTAACACCCTAACTAACCCTAATACAATATACGAATCAGAAGAAATCCCCCACTATCTCCCTTAGCACTCGTGATTGTTCTACACATCCTCCTCCCCCCCCCCTTCGTAATCCCCCGCTACAGGTAATTCCGGCTCTTCTTCTTCCTCCTCCCCCTCCTCTTCGGTGTCAATGCCGCGAAGTCGGGCATTAATCACTTCGTCCTGGGCGCTGTCGGAATCAACCCGACCTCCTGGAGCACTCGTGGGTGTTCTCCGAGCATCTCGGAATGCGGCAAGATCCGCAGCCAGAGCTTCATCGTCCTCGCTAAAACCCTCCTCCGGTATAATCTCAATCGTTACCCCTTTTTTATCTCGTATCTATTAGGGTTAGCATTTAGAATACCACTCGCATTACCGGCATCTAGAAGTATCATACCTTTTCTCGAAGGTTATCTTTGATTACCTCCAAGGTTGCCTCCTGGTTCTGTTTACTTCTCCCCTTCCAAGTGTTGCTCATCCTGTTGAACGTTTCTACTCGTGTTTGGATGTCAGCTTGGCAATCCCGTATAGCCCTAGGAGCATCCGTCATTGCTCCCAAGGCACTCGCCATATCAATGAGGGCATCGGGCCATACTTACTCACAACACTCTCATTCTGCGACTGAAAATTATCAGGCTTCACGTAACTCCCTGTTGACCACGCCCGAATGCCGTGCCAGATCGCCGTCGATATCAGGCAAATAAGGGTAGGGGTTATCCGCTCTAGAAATTCGGGATCCCTAACCCCTCGCATTCTTACCCCATCGAAGTATTTAAAATACAATATATCGATAATTTCCGGAGCCAGGAAGCGCAGTCGGTAGGTCTAGAATCTGTTACCGGCTATCCCGAGTGCTCTCTGGGCATCCACTGGCATCATACCTCGTAATGCTGTTGGGGGCTCAAGAAACGATCATTCTTCAAAAGGTATTCCACTTGAGCCGCCCTCGCCTCAGGCCCCACAAAATTTCCAAGCCCGTATATCGTAGAGTCCGCCAGGCGCCCTTTCACCTCGTGCATCAAGTGGGAACGGACACGGGAGTGCAGACTTCTGACCTATCATTCTCAATTATGCTTCCAGAGCACTCGTAATCCTTTTGGGGGCACTCACCTGTTTAATAACGACCTCATCAAGGTCTACTCTACACCCCACTCGGCGACTAGCAGTTGCCCACATGCTCACTACCAGTACCGAAAGTCTTGCTGCAGGTGGAAAGGGCTCATGTAGAAGAGTATGCTCCCCGATTAACACGCTACACTCCTTCTCAATCCTCTGAGCCTGCACTGACAGCACATTTGCACTCCTAGAGT